ACTGGTTCTGACTGAAGGAGAGCTACAACAGTCCGAGGTGGCCGATGATCATTATGGTTATCTATCACGACACCCGATATCCCCGTCTTCAGTGCTTCACTGCAGTTTGCTTCAGTTCAGTTATCGTTTCCCTTGGAGAGCGATATGTGCCTTGAGTCACTGTCGAGTCATCCAAGTATACTTGGCTGCTTTAGTGTTGAATGTTCAAAAGGGAAGTTGAGCCTTTGTGAGTCGTTAGCACTGCAGTCACAGTCCAGTTGCCGTGATGATTGCAATGATGGAAGTTGCGATAACGTCACGTCGCACAAAGTGTGGCGCCATAGGATATTGTGGCGCACGTGAAACCATTCAGTTCAGCGGTTCAAGCGAGAAAGTGTCGGGCTCCACTCATTCCGCCTCCCCTCCCGCCATCGCAGTCATGTGGGCCGCCAGCCCGAACTCTGTTTTCTGTGCCTTCTGCAGCTGAGGTGTCTCCAACTCAATTCCTGTTCTTGCTTCCCGCCTGTCATTCCATCACGCATCCGTCCTGTCCTCATACATCCACATCAGTTGAAAAGCAGCGCCGAACTCACACCTGCCTTCATCTGACTTGACCGCGGCCTCTCTGCAGGACAACTCCAGATCCAACTTCTTGAACTCTTGCGCACATTTCGACTTGTGCCCTGCTTCATTCAGTTGTCGCTGTAGCCCCTACTACTACTCCTCCACCACTTTGGACTTGACGGTTCTTGATTCTCAGCTTTCTGCGAAGCGCGAAAGACAAAAGACCGGGTGGTTCCAGACTGACGAAAGATCTCTTGCTTGCGCGTTCTGTGGCATCGCGAATCCAATCCTCGCAGTTCTCTTACCGCGCCTATCTTTGTCGCGGCTTGCTTCTCTTCACCTCTAGCTGAAGAAGAAGTCGACGTTCGTTTCTCCTCCTAGTTCTGCGCCTGTTTTCGTTTCGAATTTCCTTTTCATCATCTGCGCAAGTATTGATCTTGCTTCGCTTGTTCGAACCACAGCTGAGCAGAGCGAAAGCCATCGCGACAGCCCGCCCGGCCTCGGATTCAGTCTTCGTCTGATTTCTTTGCCTTCAGTTCATCACGAGGACCCTGAAAGGATAACCCCGCGCTTCTTGTCTTGATTGCCCCGCACAAAAGGTATAAGCGTGGCGTGACCCAAAAAGGCTACTGACTGTTGCGCTCTCCATGCTGAGGTTGTAGGCTACATCGACCGAGATGGGTAGAGAGAAGAGAACCACTGGCCATGGCGCGGCCAGGGGAGATCATGCCAAAGCACGGCATCAGAGGGACCGCAAGGGAAACATCATGGACTGGACCGCGCCGCTCCCTCCTGGCCTGGTAGCGAAGCCTGACAGACCACAGTGCTCATCCAAACACAAGTCCTGGTTTGAGTTCATTGAGAATAAGGACAAGAAGAAGAAGCTGGAGATCGAGGTAATGACCGACCGGAACTGGACATCTGTGTGCCAGACAGGCGCTTACATGTGTGCATTTGTGAGAGTAATGCGTTGGCTAACAAGCAACAGTTCACCGAGAATCGCGAACCCCCGCCAGGCTTCGAGTTTGTCCCCATTGGCAATCCCACCTTGACCACTGCTTGTAAAGAGCTTTCCCGAGAGCAAGGTGCCATGATCTTTATCGTCACGGTTTGTTACAAGTTCAGTCATCCGACCTCTAACCTGTCCAGGTTCTAACATCACCCTTCATAGTCCTCCAACGGCCAGTTCTCCAAGGAGCTTAGTCGCCATCTGAACCGTGTTGGTATTCATGTTCGAGAGTCCATTGTCGAACAGGCACGTCAACAGTTGGGACAAGACTCAGAACTGCCTACACCTGATACAGGCGCCGGTCAACCGGAGCCCATCCCAGAGAAACAAGAAGACATCAACAAGCAAGCTGACGCAGCTATAAGGGATCTGTTTCCGCGCATACCGAACACTGACCGCCAAATGATCATTGAACACTCGTTCAACAAGGTAGGCGCATCATCCATGCTGATAAACCGTCGAGACAATTTCTTTGAGTGGATTCACATTCTTACCTTTCCCTGTTCTAGGCACGACTACAAGATAAAAAGGATCCGCCGGTCGGTCTTGCTGCTCATGTTACGCTTTCACGTCGTGTTCAGCTTGCTGTTCTTGCTCACATCAGACACAACCACACGAGATATGACAAGCTTCTAAGAGAAACAAGCTATGTCAATGCTAGGAAAGCGGTTGAGGGTCTCTGTCTCGACTACCTGGTCAAGTGGCGAGGAGATGAAGAGACGGGCCGCGACCAGCTTGACGAAATCTTGGCCGAAGTTGTCGTCATTTCGGACTCGGAAAGTGAAGATGAGGACGAGGACGAGGATGACGATGATGACGAGGATCAATCTTCTGACGCCTCTTCAGTGGAAGAGGTCTCGCCAGATAAGCAGACTGCGCCGGTCCGATCCACGCTGCCTGCCCCAACCCCGAAACCATCTCCCCCAACTGTCGATTTAACCCAGCCCAGTCATGCTCAACCAGGTCCAGCAATTTCGCGAAGAGCAAACAAGAAGAGGGCCAAGAAGGAAGCTCGAAAGGAGAGACTGGCTGCAAAGAGAGCCGAAAAGAGAGCCGAACGTGGCTTCAACAGGTACCGAGCCGTCGGCCAGGCCTGGAGCCAGGCAGTCGAGCGTCAGCGGCTTGGGAATGTTGAGCATGTGCCCAGCCCTACCGCCACAGATGGTATCGAGAGGTCAGTTAATCGGGTACCTCAACCTTGGCAGCCTTCTGGGCCAGAAAATGTCCGTCCCATGGATCAAGGTATTTACTACACAAGGGAACCACTACAACCAGCGCGATATGTCTACGACAACGTCTCGCAACAATCACCGCCGCCTTACAGCAGCGTGCAGCGGCCTAGCTTTGTTGAAGCAGCACCACGAGCGGCTGATCCCGATCTTTACCATGGACAGGATTGGCCTATTCGACGCCTGACGCTTAGAAACAGCTCCAGACCTATAGTTGGGCCTCAAGCTGCTTATCACGCGGACGCTGTTGTCGAACGGGTAAGACATCACGGCGAAGACCTCAGGGACTATCTCGTGCCGTCCGTTGAAGAAAGATCCCCGGATACTGCAAAGTTCTCGGCCGAGTTTCCTAGTCAGGAGTACAGGCCGCCGCGGGAGGCCCACAACGATATGCCAAGTAGGCAGGTGCAGTACACACTGAATACTCGGGAAGAGTTCATCACGCTTCCACCACGGAGTGAAGGTATCCGAACCGCCACGGCGCCTGCTGCACGCCCCGAGTCTTATGTCGTGGTTAGCTCGCAACCGCGTGGTATGACTCGAGCCTATGCTCCAGTTGCAGGCACTGGTAACCCCCGTGACATGCCCTCATATCGTGACGATGCGCGTTTCGGGGATTACGGACCACCCGTCAGAGCGGATACCCAGTCATGGATCAGAGACGACAACGGCTATCCTAGGTCGGAGGCCCGTCCGATTGTGATCCACGATTCTCCCGGACCAGTGAGGCATAAGAGCGTAGTACCGGCGCGCTTCCCTCCAGAGGCACGCCCTCCACCACCGCCTAGAAGAGAACACGAAGACGTCAATCATTCGGGCGCTATTTACGTTGGGGACCGTGACAGGTGGCGTTCTGACCCTAGAAATGGCCAGTATGTCGAGGACCAACTGGGAGACTTCGCTGAGATCGTAAGGGTGTCCAACAAGTTTCCAAAACGTCACGGTTCCCAGCCCGTACCGGTAGATGCGGAGTTGTACGACCCTCGGCCGCCAGCTTCACGCCCTCAAGACTATGGACATGCTTATCGCGAGGATGAGCGTATCTATGACTCTCGGTCAGGGCACGCAACTTATCCGCGAAGCGAGCGCGTGATTGGGAGGTATGAGCAACCTGCCGATTATCGCCCGGAGGAGGTTGTATCAGGCATCAAACGGCATGCCGACGGATATCCAAGTGGCAGCGTAAAGCGGCAAGAAAGATTTCTGGGTATAGAGTACGTTGCTGCGTCTCAACCGCAATTTCCCCTTCGTAACACTTTTTACATTCTCGTCATGTACTAATCAAAGGCTTCACAGGACTGACGGGCATTTTCAACCTGTTACTACATACATTCCCCTAGACCACGACTACCGGTACCACGGACAAACTCAAGTCACACATGCGCCACTGCGGACTCCCATCTATCCGCCAGTTTCTGCTTATCCGCCGCGTCACTAGAAGCGGTGTCGTACGATATAGCGACATGGTGGCATATGAACTCGTTTTCAGTTGAACAGACCGACTGTTGATTTTCCTGTAGGAGCTTGCGTGCGGTTTTGTTACCATTGCTCTTTCTCATCTTTTCACGGCCACGGATGAGTGGCAAGACCTTCTCATACATATCTTTGAGATACCCTGTGGATATCGGAGGACTAAAGCGGAGGCAGGTTAACGGATGGATGCATGACCAGGGCGTTATGATTATCGTGTATGGATGGCAGCTTGCATTTTCTGGTGTTCAAAAACTGGCTCAAGAGCATGGAACTTTCATGTGGTCAGGGCGGAAGTTTTGTATTTTCTTGTGAAGGAAAGGAGCATCAGGAGCGTATCTTCTACTGGAAGGGGTTAGGGAAATGATACGAAATCATGGTGTATTGCATACCAATGTGTTCAGCATTAGACCGAGTAAAGCCATGGTGTATGGTGTAAGGGTGTTGGATTTATTTTGCTTCAGGAGCCATGTAAATGAGGAGGAGATTACCAGGCATGTGAACATGCTCATAACAGCGTCGTGGCAAACCGTAATACAATGTACAATGAATAAGTCCATTCGAAATGTGTATCATTGGACGTTGCATGATGAATTTGGACAGTCGACTTTTAACGCGGAAAGGCGAGTGACAGTGGAATCATAAATGTCCGAAGTATCTGAACAGACGATGAATGGACGAACCCTTTCCTCTTTCATAACCTAAAATCCGGAATCGAAAAGCTGGGTATTGACAGTCATCTCCAAACTAACTTCCTAATGCCCTTAAATGTGTTAAGACCCAGAATCCCCGTTAATCAAAAACTCCAAAACACCTCTTCACTCTGTATATATATAATCATAACCCATCATCATCAAGCCAGCATGGCCTGTCTCTCCTCTTGCCGCTGCCGTTGCTGTTGTCTCTCTTCTTCCGCTCTCGACGGCGTCGACGGTAACTCGGTATCGGGAACATTCGGTAGCGGAACCTGTGGTACTGGCTGCACCGGTACCGCCGGTTGCGGTTGGTTCTTAGCAGCCACCTCGGCCTCCAACGCGGCCAACTCTTCTTCGACTTCGTCTTCGTCCTGGTTTGAGATGCGGCCACCGAGCATATCGCTTACTTCCTGTTTTGGGTTGTTAGCCATCACATTCCCAAGAATCCACAAAGACCAGAATGAGAGCGGTAAAGACAAACCTGCTGATAAGCAACCTCCTCCGCCGTCTCCCCCATCATCTTCTCCACGTGTTCCAGTCCTCCCATCTCCGCATGAATCTCCTTGAGGACCTTGGTCCCCTGCTGCAGACCAAAAAACACGTCCTTTTGTATCAGCGCAAACTCCACGCTCGACGTCAATTTTTCGAGCTGCTCCAGCTGCCCGTCGGTTTTTTGGAGAAGCGATTCCTGATACTTTTTGCGGCGTAGGGCGAGCAGTGCGCGCTGCTTGTCCCCCTTGGCCAACATCTGCCGCGCGATGGCAGTTTCTCGGTCGGTTAGGACGGTGATTTTGCGCTGGTATTGGTGGAGTTTGTCGCGCTGGGTTTTAAGGTCGAGGATTGCTCTGGAGGGAGGGAGGGAGGGAGGAGAGGGTTAGTTGGGTTGTCTGGTTGACTGTTGACTGGGTGGTTTGGAGTTGGTGAAGTTGGGATGTTAAGAGGAGTGTGAAACGTACTTGTCTTGCGCCGTGACGCGGCTTGGAGAGTTGCCCATTGTTATGGCATGTGAGAGGGGTTTCTCTAGAAACTATCTTGGGTTCGGTAGGTTTGGTGAAGAATGGAATCGGAGAGATCCTCGGTGGAGGGTGCTGTTGGTCTCGTTCACACGAGACACGCACACGACGACGATCCGGGGAAGCGTGGATGCGGGAACGGACTTGTGAAGCGGCGGGAGGGTGTAATTGCACGGGACTGGCATGAGACGTCACTGCTGGGTTATCAGGCTTATCATTGGACAAAATGGAGTACCTGCTACCTAGCCTCGTCTGTACAGTTGCTCCCATAGGTAGGTATCTCCTTATCAGCGCCCGCCGTTATTGTGGCTCAGGTCCCCGGGCGACGTAATCGGGCCATGGCGGGCATAAATGGTCCCCCGTAGCCCAAGCTCACATGCGATGCCGTGATCCGTCCCAAACCAAGACTGTTCCAAAGCAGCATCCGGATCTCTTTTCAGGCATCAGTCGTTCGGTTAATTGGCTGTGACACACCATCTCCACCGTTCTGGAATCTCGCAGATAGGCTGCACAATTACACCGTTATAGCCTACCTCTACATGCCAGGAGGCTACCTCGCTACTCTTGACCATTTCAACCATTCTTGAACTTAGCAACATCCCTCATCATCTTGAATCTGCCAACCCACCGTCTGTGATATTGCTTTCGGTTCGACACTGCGCTTCCAATCATCAAAGATCCAAACGTTTTCCAAGAGTCCAGGTGGCCCATTATGTCTGCGCCAACCGACAGCAATGTTGTAAGTCCCTCCCCACCGATACTCAGGGTGATCTTGCAGCTCCCGGCAGATCCAACTTGCTTGCCCCCCTCCGCAGGTATCCTAACCTTTCTTCGTTGAACAGTCCAAACACGCAACGGTAGAACCCGCGCCCGAATCCCCTACGACAGCTCGACCGCTCGAAATGGATGACGACGAAGCTCAGGAGAATGTCCCTTTGGGCACTGATAGCACAACGACTGCTACCACCCAGAATGTGTCTGGCTCCGACGAGAACCCTCCGCCGAAGCCTCCCCGCCCGGTTTCCGAGGAGCAAAAGAATCAGCAGATCCTGAAAGAAGCGTTCCCTTCCATCGACCCTTCTGTCATCAAGGCGGTCCTTAGGGCCAGCCGCGGACAGATCGAGCCCGCCTTCAACGCTCTCCTCGAGATGACGGATCCCGATGCAGTTCAGAACGATGACGTACCCCCGCCGCCTCCCCCAAGGCCCGCGGCCACCGATAGGTCCCAGCTGGAGGCCGACGAGATATACGCCCGCCAACTCGCGGAGCATTTCGAGAGCACCGCCGCATATGAGGCTAGAACCGCCAACCGTGGCACTCCGGGCTCATCCCGTGAGCCCACTGGCCCTCGCGGTCCTCACATGCCTCCGCGCCCCCGGCAGGGGACCGGCCTGAAGCCGAATGAGCTGTACGACGATCGGGAGCACAGTTTCATTGACGACGATTTGCCTGTCATCAAGGAGAGCTTGCGCAAGGGGTTTATTGAGACGCAGAGCAAGGTCAACTCGTGGTTTACGACTATTAAGAAGAAGATCGACGAGACCTTTGACGAGGATGAGGAGGACCAACGCCGGCAAAACGAGAGTAATGCGTTCATCGGAAGACCAACCCGGAATCAGCAACGCAGAAGCGCAGATTACGACCGTTATGATGCTGATCCGGCCATCCTCAGCGATGACTTTGCGGGCATGAAGTTTAACAATGACGGCAGTAAGTTTTGTAGGATGCCTCCTCGGCGCGACTGTAGCTAACACGATCAATATAGCCCCTTATACCGCCCAGAGCACACATCAGCAGCTATACGGCAACCCTCATGCTTTCAGACCACCGCCGCCTTCCAAGTCGCCCAAGTCCTCAGACGGCAGGAAAGTGTCGTTTAGAGATACGGTGGAAGACATCAACGCCTACGACGCATCCCCGAGGATCCAGCCCAAGGATAGTGCCGCTGCGGCCTCGGGAGGTAGCAGCGCTGCTGGGTCGGCAACGAAGACAAGCAAGTGGCAGCCTCTGTCGTCAGTTGACCCGAATCCGATTGCGGACAATGATCCCTTTAGCCTGGGAGACAGTGACGACGAGTTCGAACATGGTCATAGGCGTGGCAGCAGTCAGATCAAGATGGAGGATACAACAGCGACGGATGCGGACCACGAGAGGTTGAGACAGGCAACAGCTGACGCTATGGCTGATAGTTTGGTGGAGGGCGATAAGACGAAGAAGAGTGACGAGGCGAAGTAAAGAATTACAGCATTTGTTCTTGATGAAATAGGAAGTTTGTATAATTTGTCAAATCAAGATATCTGTTAGTGCTTGGAAGCTGGCTGAGTAGCCGTGAAACCAAAGGTGGATAGACTGAGCTGTTGGGTTGCATCACATCTCCTGTCTCTGTCTTTTGAAACCTTGAGAATGTCCTCTCCCAAGCGGTCCCTTAAATGTGAGATGCGGTCGATTGGATGGACAACAGCACATGCTTGCCCCGCACTTACTGGAGAAAGCTCCAGCATGGGATGCCCCTCTGCTCATCAATCAGCCTTGTAACACAGGCACATGGCACGATGACGGCTTCCCATTGGCTTGTTGGACGACATCAACCAGCTTGAGTTCTTTTCTCGACCTTTCCGCTTTTCGCTTTTTCTTGTCGTCGAAGCGGAAATGCGAAGTATTCAGTCAGAGCAGGGCCTCCCTTTCCCTACGGCGTAAAACCAATCATTGTTTGTCACAGTGTTAGGAGAGATTGGATGTAACCGGCGAGAGGAGTACCTAGGCGTGTTTGTGCATATGGACAGCTACAGCTGATGCTGATGGCACCTACTGAGGTGGAAGCTCAGAATCGTGATGGAACCTCATTGACCTCTCAAGATACGACAAACTGCTCACGAGACCTTTTGCTCGTTACGAACACACTTTTTGCACATGAGTGACATGTCTCAAGATGAGAGCGTGAGACGGGCATGTGTTGATACCTCTACCGGTAATGCGGTACTTCATTCTAGGGTATCCTCCGGCGGCTTGGCGCCCACTGGCAGCGGCAGCATCAACCCTGCCAACCAGCGCCTTGATTGCTTCCACTTCGCTATCGATAACCACCCGCGGGGCCCTCATGTATACGCGGGACCGATGTGGATGGGACTCGGGGACCCAACATCAACCACTCACTTCAACACCTGCCCACCTTGGTTCGGGTACCTTAAGCTTCCCTTTCATCCTTCAAGCCTTTTTTTTCCCTTTCCTCCCTGGATACTGCTTACAAGGACCACTGGAAACTGCTCGGTTGAACAAGTCTGTCTCAACCACCCGACTGTTTGCCCTACACGAGGCTCCATCACCAAGGCAACCGCACAGGTTCTCGACCATCTCAGACTCGGTCATCTTTTCGAGAGACGGAGCGTCCAAATTACTTTGTACTCCATCCCTCACAGACCACTCACCTCGCTGCATCAGTGCATATCTGAAGCTTCCCCGTCCACTCCCACCTCCCGTCTATCCGGATTCCATCCCGACCTTGAACTTCCATCCGACCTAGCTAGCGCCTTTCACGAGTAACGGTCGTAGTCGACTCCATACCTGGTCTTTCAAAAGCTTTGCCTCCCTCGAACACTGGACTTTGACCTCATTCCTCCACAGCCGTCCTCATTACCAGTCTCATCCTGTACACCCATCATCAGGAGACAGAACATATCGTATGCGCCCAAACACCCTTATGGCTGGATATTTCCACCACTCCACATCTTGCAAAGACCTGTTAGCTAACACACAGACGATAGGCCACCCCAGGCACGGAATCTGATCACCGAACCGAATCTCTCGTGATATCGGTCTTGTCCCATCTGTTCATGTGCTAGCCTTGTGAGATCAACTTCCGGCATTGTCTCACCACGAAACACCAAACAACTTCGTTGCCGCATCGCCAGGCTTCTGCACGTCAGTAGCCGTCCTCAGGCACAATGTGAGTCTGTCATCTCTAGTCTCACTTTTCTTCACTTCACAAGCATGAGATGAAAGCCTTCATCCTTCATTTTTATCTGGTATCTTTGGGCGCTAAGACTATATGACACTATAGGAAGTTCGGCAAGCAAATACAGAAGCGGCAACTCGAGGTCCCCGAGTATGCTGCCAGCTTTGTAAACTACAAAGCCCTCAAAAAGGTATGTGTCCCGGTTGTTGTTTTTACTGCTCACTCGCATCATCGTGACATTGCCAAGCCTAGATTCAGGGGCTTATATCAACAATTCTTGGCCCTCACAAGATACGGTTTCCTGTGACACATATGCTGACACCTTAACGTACAGCTTATCAAAAAGCTCTCTGCGACCCCCATTCTACCTCCGCAAACAGACCTTCGACGTGCACCCGGCGAGCCTCTGGATACTCAGTCTGCTCTTCAGGCCAACAAGGCCACATTTTTCTTCCAAATAGTACGTAAGGCATTCTTTCAGCACCGTGCACTACTAACAGTCGTCTAGGACAGAGAGCTGGACAAAGTCAACGCTTGCTATGTCCAGAAAGAAGCCGAGCTTAAGATTCGGCTCAAGACTCTTCTTGACAAGAAGAAGGCCCTACGGTCAAGAAGCGGCGGGACTTCACGACGATCTACCAAGTTCACTACCCTTCAAGAGGGATTCCAGCAATTTGTCAACGACCTAAACAAACTGCAACAGTTCGTCGAGATCAACGGTACAGCTTTCTCCAAAATTCTGAAGAAGTGGGACAAGACAGCAAAGTCCAAGACAAAGGAACTATATCTATCAAGAGTCGTTGAGAAACGGCCAGCCTTTAACCCAACCGTCATCAGCGAGCTGTCAGATCAAGCGACCACTAGTTTACAAGAACTGGGAGCGTGGGCTGATGGCGACAACGTCAGCTTCGAAACCAGGCCCGACCATGACCATGTCGTCAGCACTCAACATCTCCTTGGGACTGACGAGGGCGATGCCGATACGTTACTGCTTGACACTGTTCTCTCGGGGAACATCGAGTCTCTCAAGGACATGCTGGACCGTATGAAGGCCACAGCAGCTCCAGATGGCTCTGCAGATGTCTCACTAGCTGACCGAGTTACTCGGACGTTCCTTGCGTCCATCAACGAAGGTTCGCTTGAAGCGCTCAAGGTCCTTCTCGACACTGGACTTGTCGACATTCAGTCCTGGGATGATATCAATGAGCGGAACTGTCTTCACCAGGCGGCCATTTACGGCAACTCGTTTGTTCTCGAGTACGGTCTGTCGAAAGGGGTCGACGCAGAGAGGACAGATGCGTATGGACGTGTGCCTCTGCACTACGCTAGTACGCATGGACGTCTCGACATGGTTGATGCCTTGCTCAATGGTATGCTCACGCTCTCCCCAGCTAATTGTTTTGCTTTCCGGCCCATGACTGATTTCCATGTCTGTAGCTTCCCCCAAGACCATCAATCTTATCGACCACGACAACTTCACGCCCCTTATCCATTCCATCGTCCATAGCCATCTCGAGTGTGTCGGTAGGTTACTCGAGAGGTCTGCTCGCATAGACCCGGTGTCTGATACCGACCACGTACCACTAAATCTCGCCTGTCAACATGGCTCAGTAGCCATCGTCGAGCTACTCCTTAAGCATGGGGCCAAGATTCTTGCTGACGCCGAGGGTCTCTACCCTCAACACTTGGTCGCCAGATCAAGACAGACTCCGGAGATTCTCGTACTGCTTAAGCAGTACGGAGCCGATCTTGATCAGATTGATAAGCTCTACGGCTGGACACCGTTGGTTCATGCAGCAAGTGAGGGTAATGTCCCGTGCCTCCAGGCCTTGCTTGATATCGGCGCGGATCCCAACATTCTCGATGAGAAGGACCTCCCTGCAATGTACTATGCGGCTTGGGAAGGGCATCTTGAGTGTATGAAGCTTCTCACACCGGCCAAAAAGGAGAAAGCGGCAAGCGAGCTCCCACCTATACATATTGGCGGAGCTTTGCCTCCCATGGCTAGCAGCACCGCGCCAATGCCCATGTTTCTCGACGCGATTGATCCCATTCCCGCGCTCGAGTTACCGCCCCCTATCATTCCCCTACGCCGGTACGGCCACAACTTCCTTGACACCAAAACAGTTGTGCAGATCAGCTTTGAGGAAGACAGCGAACAACCTCTCCTATTCTTCCAGGACGGGAAGTATCCCGCCGCCCGCCTTACCATCTCATCCAAATCTTCGGACCTCATCCCCAATAATATCATTCTTCCCTTCCAGGAGGACACTAGGGTTGCGTCATTCCAGATCGACAACCTTGAGTCCTTCACTCTGGACTTTGAGGTATTCCCGACGTATGGCGCCAAGGTCATTGCAAAGACCGTTGCTCTACCAAATATTTTCCGTGCCTTGCTTAGCAGCTCGGGCAAGTGCTGCCTGCCGCTATTTGACCCCCGTCTGCGCGCCATCGGTCAGATCAGCTTCCATGTCCAGATCATCAAGCCCTTCAGTGGAACGCCGCTCGAAATCACGGACTTTGAGACGTACTGGAAGGCCACAAGCCAGTTCGACGCGAACACGAGCACCTTCGTTACCGGCTCCAGTCTATCAGGCGACTTTGTCCAGATCTACGTCCAGCACACAAAGGACGGCGTTCCCGTGCTCTGGCCCAGATGGACCATCAACTGCGGCGGCATTGATGTCCCCGTGTCCAGACTCACCCTCGCTCAGTTCCAGACCGTCACGGCAGCCGCCAGGAAGGGCATCAACCTCTCCGAGCTGTCCACTTACACCCTCGACCAAATAGCCGACGTCCACCGCATCCTCGCCACCGTGGGAATAAACCTTCACGAGGCCCTCTTCCTGCTCCCCAAGGGCATGCACGTCAACATCCAGGTCTTGTACCCGACAGCCGACGAAGAAGCCGAAGCCAACAGCAGCACCGCAGCGGACGACGTCAACGAGTTCGCTGATGCGATCCTCGGCGTCGTCTTTGACCATGCGCGGGCGCAGAGGGCTGAGAGACCCGATAGCGTCCGGTCGGTGGTGTTTAGTTCGTATAATCCTACTTTGTGCACGGCGCTGAACTGGAAGCAACCGAATTTCCCGGTGTTCTTGTGTAATGATCTGGGAAGAGAGGATCGGAAGCAGCAGCAGCAGCAGCAGCAGCAGGGATCTTCTAACAAGGGTGATGGCGATGAGGATATGGGCGGGACTGCTACTACTGCTGGTGGACAGGAGCATGAGGCTCGTGAAGATGAAAGGACACTGCAGAGTGACGGGAGGAGGACAAGCTCGATCAAGGATGCGGTGAGGACGGCGACGAGTAATAACTTGATGGGGTTGATTTGTTCATCGAGGTTGTTGGTAAGTTCTCTCTCTCTTTCCCCCACTCTTTCTGTCGTTCTTTTTCCCGCTAACGGTTATGCGTAACTACAGGACATGGTGCCGGCGCTGGTTGACGCTATCAAGTCTCACGGGTTGGCTCTGGTGGTGGACAAATCCGGTGAGCCTGAGGCGGCAAATAGCAAAGATGATGATAAGCAGTTGGGGATTAGCGGCGCATTGGGAGGACTGGCTGGGGCGGATCCCTTTCCCAAGCTGCCCAAGGGGGTGGATGGGTTGCTCAAGAGTAATGGCGTGTTGAGGTTCAATGAGTATATTGATGTGTAATTGCGGGTGAAAGGGTGGAAAGGAAGAGGGTTGGGTAATGCATATGCTTAGGGAGTTAGCTGGTAGACAATTGTTGAAAATATTGATGACTGAAAAGTTTCATTTTTACAAGTATTTCTCGTTGTTGTTCTTCTCTCTTTACCTCCCTCTTCACTCTTCCTTTTACTCCTCTTATCATTTTCTTTCCCCTCCGTGTCTCCTCACTTTCTCTTCAGTATCTCTTGATATATTTTTTTTCTTTCTCTATTACTTCTCTTCACTTCTTTCTCCACGTCATTTTAGCTCACAGGTTGAATATTCTTCCATCTTCCCTTCTCTCTCCTCAATCATCTCTATTTATTGGTTAATCCGACACCTACCAGTAACCATCAAACGCCCACCCATGTCACTTCATTGTCGTGATGATCGAACCGGTGTAACAAGCAACATGTAATCTGCAACGTTATCTCCAAGACGGACAAATGCATCAGGCACACACACAACTTCCGCTTCTCCTTCCAGAAACCACTTGTCATCAGCCCATCAGCCGTTCCTCGTGGCTTTCTCAGGGCAACCCATCACCGCAGGCAGCAAGTCAACCACTCAGCTCATGAGGCTGTGTAAAATAGTAAGCCAAACATTCCACCACTACATCCTCATTCTCATTCGACTGGAAGACGCGCAGCATCATGTGTACACTAGCACAGTAGTTAGTGTACGCCACTGGCGTTCCGGGAGCCGAACGGACGGACGACAACATTTTTCCATGCGTAGATGCCATTGGATGACAGTTGCTACGTTCGTACTTGTGAATGATACGAATGATACGACACGATACGGTCGTCGATCTTTTTTGGTCATGAACTTTTGATCGTTCTGATCGCTTTTCACTTTTGTTGACGGTTGACGGTTGAGCCTAACTCATAACGTGACGTTTTGTTATGTGGGATATTTTTATCTTTTACCGCAGTAGGCAATAAAGCGAAGTGCGTACTCGCCACTCATGTGCATATCATCAAGCTTATCGGATTAGATGTTGGTTGGTTGAGACAGATGAGAATTATGTTCAATGAGAATTGCTGGATGGATGATGGATGCAGGTACAGACTGTACGGGAACTTCAGTTTCCGAACATGTTGCTCAAGTTCAAGTGCAAGTGTAGACGGACACTGCCTCTTTTGTATAGAAGTACGTTTGTTTTTGTAGTAGGTATTACAATCACATGTCGTTGACGATCCCAAGGATCGATCTCTCCAGTGGGAAAGTGTAAAAACATGGATGGGCATGCAGTGGTTTGAAGCTATCTCCAACCAAGGTCGAATTCGCAGCTGTCACCGGCCCGCCAAATCCACGACAGCGAAAAACCAGTTTCCGGCCATCCGCTGGCTCGGGACTCTGCCAAGACCGGGGAATCCTGCACTATTTGTGAGGCTGGCGGCTTGGAATTAAAATTGAATAGGGAAAAACGCGAACACCACAACCCCGGTTTTGGGATCGATGGAGATGTCTAATTTCCCTTTTTCCCCCTCGTCGCCCTACATGCCAATGTTTTTCCTGGTCAGGCGGACAAAAGCGGACGATCTAGAAAAGTTTTGGCGTTGGCGTTGTTCGACTTCGGGGGTCGCCGTTGGTAACTAATTGTTATGCCTTATAACGCTAACTAAGACTTATTGTGAAGGATTTAAGGACTACGGGGTAAAAGTGAAGTGAAGTGGAAGGAAAGGTGCGGAAAGGAGAAGGTTCAAGAGCGGAAACTACAAGTACGTAGGAACCAGGAAAAGAAAGCCGTCAAACCGTGAGAATGGGGGAATTGCGATCGATGCTGGGATTTCTAGGCAACCTGAAAAAAAACTTGTAACAGAAGGTGGAAAACTGGAAGGGAAATGACGTTGACGTAGGTGAGAGCCTGAAAGGTATAATAAGTGGTCATATAGACCCGTGAACCTTTTGTCAGGTTGTGTCAATTGCGACTTTGCGATTCTGCGCTCTGCCGTGTTGGAGTTTTCGGTTGGAGGCTTGGGAATCCTCTTTTTTTCCTCGTATTGGCGGGCAGGCGGGGTATGTAGGATTGAAGGTTTCCAGTGGGCTAGCGTACGATCACAGGCCATCGCGATTGCCAGAAGCGCTGAAATGGGACTGGAATGCAGCAGGTCCACCACCTCGCTCCTTCGCAAGTGTTTGGAAGACGGGCTTTGTTTCGTTGATGGCATCCACAGAAGCATCCACGCCTTGTGGAGCCGCGGTTCTCTCGTGCTCTTTACGGGGTCGGGTACCTAGGCTGTCTTCCTGTTTTATCCCCTCTCGCTTCTCTTCAGAATACGAAATCATATCCAGCTCACGTCATTGACCCGTGTTCTGGGCCTTTTTGAAACTTTGTTTTGGATCGTAGGGTGTTGGGTATTTCCAGATTTCCAGGACCTTGGGATATCTCCGAGTTTTGGGAGCACAAGTAATTTCCATAGTGAGGTGCAATCGCAATCACAAAAACAGTACATACACCATCACTGTTTTTTGGTGAGCCCGTATGTAGTCTTTTTTTGGCACCACCTGGCACGCACTGCACCCTGCACCGCAAACCGTTCTGCCACCACTGCGTTCCTGCAAGCGAGCGGTCTGGCTTTCTTCTCATTTGAGCCTGTTTTGTGGCACCCACCGATCGACACTCCAGTGATACTCGCCCGCCCCACCCAAGAAGCGCACAGTCCGTTCAGAGACTCTTCGAACCCGTTCATCCCAACTTCACCCAGACACCACAGACGTCAGTTCACCTTGTCCAGTACGGGCACAGACACCGGCTGTCATCTCAACTCTTTCACTTCCATTTCCTTGACTATCACCTGAAGTGGCATCTGGAAACATACCTCTATACTACATAGACGGAGGATATCAAACTCCAATCGGAGAACATCCAACGTTTATCCGGGTGACTTTGACCGTCGTACCGCCTCTTTTGGATTTCGCAGTGACAGAAGCTGCCCTGGAGCACCGCCCTCCGAGGTACCTACTCGTGCTACACCCGGAAGCACCACGGAACCGGCTTACACACAGGCAACGGACCATCGTGTTTGGCTTAGCTCATCCACCAAGACACACACCATTGGAACACCAACTTGCAGCCCAAGACTCAAAAGGCAACGGTCCAAAATCTCGCCAAAGCCCGCCCCCCCTGTCCATCGCTTAAGTCGATTCCATTTCATCCGATCAAGCAAGACTCTTGGTCACCCGCTCTACCGCTGTTGCCGACTTTTTCTCTCCAACACCATCCTCAACACCACCACTACCTCTGTCCGTCCGATACACGACAGCCCGGGTCTCAATCACAACCGCGCAACCCGCCCTGCGCTTCAAGAAGCTGTCTTTGCTTTTCAGCTTTCTCAGCCTGTCCTTTGCCGCCCAATAGCTGATCGCCCGGGGCCCTCTGCGTTTGCCCCTGCGTCTGCGACTCAACGCCCAGAACTTGTCCGCCAGCCGAGCAGCCGCTAGTTTTAGGTGACTGCCTGTGATCCGCATCGCGCTATCTCCAGCCAGAGAGCGGTCTTTGTTCCATCTCGCGCCTCAACTCCTCAAACAACTCCCCATCAAAGTCCAAGAGACCCTCTCGCAAACCGCGCGCGACCGATTGCTTTTTTAACTGCGCGCTGGACTAGGGTTCAGCCCATCAAAAGGTACGTTTGCTGGGCACTAGCCGTGGTTTCCACTGTCAGGTCAATCCATATTTCTCACATCAACAATGCTCAACTGTTTGCGCTTGGCTTTCAATTATCTCGGAGTCTTCGGGGCCTTGATGACTTCTCCTTTTCTCTTTCCCTTTTGACCTTTCGTCAAATGCACTTTCTCATACTTGCCAATGAGCATTTTGAAGAGTCCATATCGCTAACATGACACCCCGGATCAGAAGGGACTTCCCACGGTTGGAACGCCAGGTTTTCAACATGTCCACCAACAACACAAGTACGGGCGTCTCAAGTCCGGAGGCAACAACAGCCCCTGGGGCTCCTGCTGACCCGAATACAGCAACGGTCAACGAGCCTACCACGGCCGGGCCGACCACTATAATCAGCAGCACTTCAGTGCCTTCAGTGCAGCCTCCTGTTAGTACGACTTCCTCGGCTTTGCCGACTACTCCTTCCTCATCCTCGTCTATACCACAACCGCCACCGCCATCATCGACGCCCCCTACCTCGACGACGCAACAGCAGCCGCCACCACCAAGTTCTACCACAGCTGTGCCACCGTCAACAACATCGACACCGCCTACCACTACGCAGCAGCCGAGCACGAGAACCTTTACCAGCGTTCAAATCATCACGACTGAAGGGGAAACACGAACCAAGATTACGCAGATCATTACTACCGAGACAGTAGTACCCTCCGCGGAGCCTACTACCTCCGGTCCTTCTACTACCACAGCGGCCGGTGCCATTGATCCTACCAAGGGCGCTTCCTCTGGCGGTGGTGGATTGGGCAGCGGTGGGAAGATTGCCATTGCGGTAGTGGTGCCCATTGTTGCCGTTGCCCTATTGGTATTGGCGGGTATCTTCCTCTGGAGAAAGCGGAAGCAAAGGAGGGATGCCGAGGAACAGAGGCGAAGGGAGGTGGAGGACTATGGCTACAACCCCAATGTCGACCCTACGATACCTGCCGTTGCCGGCGGTGGTGCTGCTGGAGCGTACGAGATGAGGGAGGATGGAACGTCCGGGTATAGGGGCTGGGGCTCTACGACTCTCGCGAGTTCGGCTGGGAGGAAGGCTTCAACGACCATTTCAGGCGGCATGCCTGGCGTTGCCTATTCCGACGCCACATCGCCGACCCGGGGAACTGTATCCGACGCACGATCTGGCGAGCCGTTGATTGAACCACCTTCGCCCGAAGGCGAGATTCTGGGAGTAATGGGACCCTCAGCCGGTGACAACCAAGACGCCAATGTTCACCGAGGTCCCTCAAACGCCTCGTCTCATTATAGCACAGCTGCCCGCTCTGACGAGTCCGGCGAAGCCCCTATCGGAGTTGCCTATGGAGGAAGACACAGTTACTACGGTGAGCCGCAGTACGGTACCGCCAACGCATACAACGGCGCCGAGGGTGCCTATAACGGACCAGTTGCCCCGAACAACTTTGCTCCTCCCCCAGGACCTCCGGTCATTCGAGATGTCGTGGCGAGGAGGAACACTCGCATCGAGAATTCCGCTCACTACCCTCAGCAGACGGCAGGCATCTCGCAGAACTTTTAAAGGAGAAGAACTAGTTGTTGACGGTCGTCGTTGGTTATCTCTTTTTTGACCGCTATATATCATGGTCCACACGTCGTTTTTTTCCGCACACAGGATACCCATTTTCATTGTTCGAGCTGCGCGTTCTTTGTTTTTCGCTCGGCAGGGACGTTCGCTGGTGCTTTTTGGTTACCCATATACGCCTTTGCTTTTGGCGATAGCCGCGTCAGTGGAGGGGGTCTTTGGTTGCAGTTTCGTGGTTTCTGGTCCTCCCACCATTCTCCTATTCTAGTCAAACGCCAACGGCAGGAGGTGGTGGTTCTGATCTCAGATACGACAACGCGTAATCAGAAAGAAAAGCGGCTGCTTTTATCAGTACACGGTACATTCACACATTCGCTGCACATATCTTTAGAATCGGAAGGCTGTGGCTTGGGCAAGAGTTGAGAAGAGTCCCAAGGAGAAGAGGAAACAACCTAAGCGCTCACGGGCGCTCTAGGGTTCAGGAAGCATGGGGGAAAGGGAGGAAGGGAGAAAGGAAGCGAATGAAAGGGCCACGAATGAATTCCAAGCTGCGTCGCATCGGGTGATGTTAATGAGGCGCAAGGCGCTTGGTGATTCATTGGAAGTAACGGTCCTTTTATAGTGGGAATAATGCTACGTTTTGCTTAGCTTAAGGGGAGGAGGGGTCAGTTGGGAATGGGTTCACGTGTCTAACTAAGGTGTGGTGGATATCTGTCTGTTTTTGTTTAAGGATGGGATGGAGGGAGAGATGGGGGGAGGTTTGGTTTGCTAGCTGGGTGAAGAGAAAGGAGGGACGGAAGATGATGTGAAAAGAGTCTATCCTTAACATAGCTCCCGCATATCTCCCAGCTACCACTCTGGTTATCTACTACTACTTATGATAATGCTATAATGCAGTTACATATCCGTATAATTTAGCTCAATTACCTTCTATCCGGTCACAGATGCATGGATCCTCTCAACCATATATGAAACATTCATGTAGTTAGATCCGACAACCTTGACCACTTATACCTTGATACATGCAAGAGGGCATAAATTCTCAATTGACGTGGTGGCTCAAATGCCGTCATAGCAATTTCCACTCCCGTCGCCTTTCGCAAATCCGTTTTCTAACCACGTGAGTGAGCATTCTATATCCATCCTTCTCTCTCCCTAGGCTCACTAGGTTCTCATACCCCCCCTGAGATAGACGAACGTGAGAATGAGGCTGAGCAGCTCACCCCCCGGTCCCCGGTCCCTGCCGCGGTTGACGACCGACCCGTCGTCAACCCCCTATTTCTTCCCGAAGGAAACCGAAGAAAACACACAACAATGGCCATTATGAGATTTAGGGCTGGTCGGTCGGTCATATGACCTATCTCCCTGTCTCACGGGGATAGGGACATGGGGAACTCGCTCGCTCGCTTTAAGTACCGCGGGATACGCGTAGGCTGAGCTGACGACGGGTATCCGCTTAACCAACTAACTCACTTCATTCAGGTTTTTCAGTTAGCTAGCCACTTCATCATGTCCGTATCCGCTGCTCATAGGAAATACATGAACATGGTTGTGCCAGGTCAGATTGTAGTCCAAGAGTGAGTGTTTTATTCAAGATTCGGCGTTAGTGGTTGGTTGGATGGGAGAAGAACGTTTTAGGATAGTTAGTGTATCACCAACCTCGTTAAATAGAGACAAACTCTATAACATTTGTCTGAGAAGAGGAGGAGCTAGGTGGAGAGGTGCCAAATCAAACCAATGCGCTATACCTCAAGTTGTAGGACTGTTGATATTGGAAGAGACAGTGAGAAACTTGGCGTTGAAGAATTAGGTTGGCTAGTAAAACGGAAGAGAGAGAAGTGAAGAGAGAAGTGAAGAGAGAAGTGAAGACATGAGTGAGAAGAGGAGTGAAAAGAGGAGTAAAGAGAGGTTAAAATGGAGCTACAATGCAAGCGATAGGTAAATATACCGGCCGTGAATTCAATGGCAAAGTTCCGAGAGGACATGCATTCTTGAAGAGCCCAAATATCCAGTTGCCCTAGAGAGCGGTGTACGAGTGAGCCCTGATGAACAGGAACGCACAGGAGACGGGATGTGGCTTGAATGTATTTTGTCAACTTCAAAAAAGATAGTGCATAGCGACTGAGCAGTAAGGGTATTTGAACAAATTCGCTTGTTTATATAAAATCCGTAAAAATAATGGGGGTATTTTTTTTCATAACAATCTCACTGTATCCCACCCCATCCACTTTCATCCTTGAACACCCGTGATCCTTCGTGATCGCGCCCGAACTGACTAAATGCAGACCGGAAGAACTCGCTATGTAACAATGATGGTGAGCCCCCCAAAGCACCTCCAGAAGCGACCGATCAACTCCCATCAGTCCTTGATGATATGTATGAGGAAAAATGTAATCATGAACACCCAATAAAACAAAATTCCCAAGCCAAGGTGCCTGGACGCCAATATATAGAAGGCAATAGAGCAAGTAGCCAGAATGAGAAAGGGGATGCAATGGAGTAGAAAGACCTCCTAGTACACACTCCCTCGGATGCTTCTGTCTTCCTTCTCCGCATCTGCCAGGTTCTCTAGACTCCGCTTCTTCGTGATCGACTCCGGAAGGTTCTCTAGGCTCCGCTTCTTCGTTATTGACTCGGTAAGCCTCGCGCCCTCTTCCTGTTCCTGGCAGCTGTTTTCTTCGTCTTCTTCGCAGTCGGGCTCATGCTCCCCATCGGCTTCATCCTCGCCATCACTACTGGGAGGATGGTCACCTAAACGGTTGGCTTTGGCGCCGCGCCCCATTTGGCTCTGGTCCCGGCTAGGATGGCGGTGTGGTACCGGACGGACAGCATGGGGGGTGAGTCCGCCGCTCGGGGTTTTGGCCTTGACGTTCTTATGCCGCTCATCTTCTGACAATTCGGTTTCGCTGCTGCTATGCCCACTGTAGGTGCCCCCACCATCACGACCGATATGAAGGCTATGGCTATGGCTATGGGGACGGGGCGGCACGCTGGGGCTCTTGAGATGGCTTCGTAGGCGGTCCTCGATCGATATAAAGGATGGTGTGCCGTCTGGACTGGAGACTACCTCTTCGCGCGCCTTGGTTATGTCGATGACCGGACCAGCGTGTGCCACCTCTGGCGACAGCGTGACCCCGCTGCTGCTCGACTGAATGCGCTTGGCCGTCGGTCTCCGGCTCGCAATCGTCGGCCCATTAGGCAGTGCGGTACCGTTGAAAGAGGCGTTGGCGACTCCTTGAGCCTTGCCAGTAGTAGGGCCGGCCCCATCTGTAAGCGCGATGCTGCTGCTACCAACACTTGGGGTATCGACGTCTGTCGAATTACCACTCGTACTATCGGTAACAGTCATATCGGTGGAGGTAACGTGGCTCGAGATCATGTGGTCGGTCTTGACGAGATCGGCGAGCGTCGAACGAATCTTGAAGTTCTTGTCGTGGTTGCAGCCGTTCGGACAACCTCCCCACCGGCGTCGCATCTCGACACGCGGTGCGCTGGGGTCGGAGGGCGTGCGTGGGGTGGCAAAAGGGGCTGAGTCTAGCTTGAAGTTTCCTCCGGTCAAGCGCGCCTGTTGTGCAGCCCGCTCCTTCTTCAGCTCCGACCACGTTCGTAACTTGGTTTCCAGTATGTATTTGCCACTGTCGCTCTTGCGCATTATGAGAAACTCGCAGTGATTAACGTTTCGAAGATCCTCGAAGTACTCGACACTAAAGTGGTACCACTTCATAAGGAAGACTCGAGACATAAGACCGTGTGTAACTGAAACAAAGTTAGTTAGCATTCCGTCCAGTCTTTTATTCTGCAGTCCCATCTCGAGGGAGTTGACGCACCTAGAACGCAAACGCTGGCGAAGTCGTCATCGTTGAACTGGCGCCAGAGACTCTCGTTAAAGCCGCTGACTCGGTCGTATGCATCTGCGGCGCTCTCCCCATTAGGGATCCGGTAGAAGAAGTGACCATAGTCAGCACGCTCCTGCCACATGCGTTCCATCTCTGCGCTGCATGGCTGAAAGTTTCCAAAGTCTTGCTCTCGTAGGCGGGGCTCTTCGTAGACTTTGATATGGTTTCGCTTGAAGGGGCTGGGTTCCGGGTCGTCGCTGGTCAAAGTGGCCAAGATGCCTTCTGTGGTCTCGCGTGTGCGGCGGTAGGGGCTGGTGAAGAACTGAACGGTGTCGTCAGCGCGCAACAGCTTGCGCAGCCGGCGGCCGGCATCGTATGCTTGTTGCCATCCTTCGTCTGTGAGCTTTACGCGGTGGTCGGGAATCGTTTGGTGGATATCGCGGTTCTCTGTTGATCATCATGTTAGTGTTAGCCGCGAGGAGGGATACAAGACCGAGAGGATGGCCTCGAAGTCGTGGGTGACGTACTGTTGCCCTCCGACTGGGCGTGTCTGATCAAGATGATGAGTCTAGGCTTCCCCATGGTTAAGAAGGCAGAGACACCACTGCAGTACTATGTGGTTGCGTAGTAGTTGCAGCAGTTGTCAAAGTCGGGAGGTGCCCTAAAATTTCCCCACCCCGTACCGTCTTGTTTGTCGAGAACGAGTATCAGTGGCGGAAAGAGCAAAGCTGGTTGGTTGTGTATTACAGGCACCGTCAAAGTGATGGACTGGATAATGAAGGGTATCTTATACCACAAGGCTATGGCAAGGGATCAGATGAAAAGAGTTATTAGAGGACAAGCGTTGTGTATGTAAGATGGAAGAAAGACAAGAAGAGACGAAAAGAAGCTAAACGAGACGAGGTCGACTAGGTAAATAGGATTGCCTGCTCATGCCCCCCCGGATTGCAAGTCCTTCCAGGCACTGCGTGTTCGAGGCCGCCTAGCAGGTCCCGCGTTCGTATGCGCGGGGATAGGCAGATCTTCCAGGCCCCTTCCCAGTTCCTGGGGACCTGGAGCCTGAGCAAAATGCGCAACTGTATGCGTCACAAGCCACGGCGCAACCCGTAAACATGTGTCTGTACATTGCCTTGCATTCGAGTTGGCGTTTTGGGCCGCGAGCTGAAGCCAAGAAACGGCCAAATCAACAACGTTGGGTTGTTGTCCGTAACGTGGTTGTCTTACTTCCAAAGACTCTTGTAAGGCAGTGTTGATTCTTGTTCGAGTCTGCTTGGTCGGCGTGTCACCTCTAGGGTGTACTAACAGCTCTGGGTGAATGCGCACCTCTCCGCTTTCGTTGAGGTACATAGCCGCACTCTGTTTTTAGGTAGCTTGTGAATGGCTACTTTCTCGACCCGAACCGCTCCCAGCAGGACGGAGTTTCAGTTGGAGGTCGAAACCTCGTGACCTGCTCCCAACCCAGAGATGATGGACATGATCGCTGGTGGTGGAGGAGGGTCTAGCTGCCCCAGGCTGTGCTGAACCGTGATTGGATTCGACAAGAGCAGGGAGTCATGCATTCTTTCCCGCCGTTTTGCAGAGCCCCTCGTGCCTTCGACTTATCGTTTTTCATCGCCCCATTTCTGGCTCGATTGGATGCAGCGGGGTTCCATGTCTTCCTTCAGCCAATCAGAAATGTTAACGCTCACAACCGCAGAGGTCGGTTCTTTCCCGATTCGCAGGTCACCGCAACTTTGACAGAGCAAGCGCCAACAACACCAACCGGGCCGGCACATTCAGCCATTCAGATGCGCATTCGTCAACTCGTCCCTGGCGGCTTCTTCCCGTGTTACTAACTTGAACCGTACAGTACCGATGAGCAGATGCCGCGATCTTTGGCTAAATTGATGGATGAGTTCGATGTTCTGGACTCCCAAAGGAAACACCACAATTGACTTCGGAACTTACGACATCCATGACATCGTGTCCATGTTATTAAGCACGTGTAAAAGACACATGACAAGAGCGAACTCCAGAACCATTACTCAAGAGCTTGGCTGCCAGGACTCCGTCTATGGGGGTTCAAAAGATCCATGAACATTCCGTGATTCCAAATTAAGACACAAGCCACATCATTGACGCATGTGGTTCTGATCTCGTGACTTACAGACATCTGGATCTTGTACATAGCTTTCAATGTGGAACTGAACCAATAGCCATCTTCAAATCTTCAAAGGTCAACGGCCATAAAACAGCCACGCGCACAGACCACCAACATCAGCCCTGTAGCCTTGCCCAACGGGTCCAGCTCCCATCAGCTGCAGCTCAGCTCAGCGTCGCATTTGGTCGATCTGGAACTGATCGCTGCAATCGACCCGTCCGTCGTCGCGACTTCATTTTCCGTCAGATTCCACCTCCAACTTCACATCACCACCTCCTCCAGCATTTGTAGCAGCGGACATTAGAACCCATCACCCAACGACACTACCAAATCATCCCATAGCTGCACCGCAAAAAGAACAACATCCTCAAAAGGCGTGCGCGCCCCTCGCTCCTCGGAACATCACAGCCACCAGACGGGAACAACCCGCCGCGTCTCAATCCGGCCCGAAAACACCCCAAAACCACCACACCTTAACGCTGGCTGGACCTTGAAAATTGCACCGCCGCCGCATAACCACCGCAAAAACAACGAACATCAAACACCACCAACCGCAAAAATGTCAGCCGACGACCCCTCCTCAATCCCCACCTCCACCTCCCGCCTCTCCTCCCGGCCCACCAAACGTCTCCGCGCCTCCTCACCAACCAGCCTCCAAGCCTCCCACCTGCAACAACTCTTCGCCAAACCCGACCGAGAAATCATCATTCCCCCCTTGCCCTCCTCCTCCTCCACCTCTTCTTCTTCACGACTACCTCCGCCCCCGGAGATCGTGACCAACGTCCAGGGTTCTTCCGCCGGTGCGGGATCGGGCGAGTTTCATGTGTATAAAGCCGCTCGTAGGAGGGAATATGAGAGACTGAGAATTATGGATGAGGAGGTTGCGAAGGAAAGGGAGAGGGAGGAGTTTGAGGCCAAGAAAAGTGAGAGGGAGAGGGCAGATGAGGAGAAGACTAGGAGGAATCGGGAGAAGAGGGAGAAGAAAAAGAATAAGGGGAAGGGGGGCAAGGGTGGTGGTGGAGGTGGGAATGGAGGGGGTGGAGGTGGAAGTGGGAATGCGGCGACAGTAACTGCGGCGGCTGAAAATGGGGCTGGGAAGAAAGAGACGAAGAAGGAAGAGGATGGAGGCGTAAAGGAGAGCACAACTGGAGCTGGAGCTTCTACCAAGGACACTACTGGTGAGAAGGCCGCGAAGGAAGCGGACAAGTCCAGTTCGACCGCGGTGGCAGCGGCAGCTCCTAAATCCGCAAATGGCGAGTCCGGACTACTCATTGTTGAAGACGACTGAAGCAGGACGTCTAATGGTTTAATCCAGCGAGTAGAGCGGCAACCAGCGACTGGGGGAAAGCAAAGACATCACGACCTGCAGTTACGGAACAAGGATATACGTCTCGACCAGGCCTTACAGAACCCCTTTTATCTACCATGCCAAGGTCTATCTAGCATTTACATAAAGGGGTGCTCATGCAGTATGGTGGTATGCGTTGACCACAAATGAATCATTAACGGGATATCATACCACCTTTTGCCGGACTGACTCTAATTCAGTAGGCCCTGGGCTACCCACCCGCAACCGTCATTACATTTACTCATCACCTCCGCCAGAGCTGACACCGACACCTGGCTGTGCCTTTCTGGCACTGCAGATATCGTCAACTCTCAATAGGAGGCAGGCAGCCTGTTTGTGTAGATGGTTAGTAAACAGTATAAAGGCAGCGATGGTGAATGTGAAAAGAAATCAAACATACCTCGATAGCAGTCTTCATGCTCTGCACCTTGATGGCCTCGGGCTCCCAGACACCGTAATCCTTCATATCCACAATCGCACCAGTATCACCGTTGATACCCCACGAGTTCTTGCCCTCGGCGTGCTTCGCGCGGAGATCGGTGAGCACGCGGACGGGGCTCTTGCCGGCGTTCTGGATAAGTGTGCGGGGAATAACCTCGAGGGCCTCGGCGACGGCCTTGTACGGCCATTGTTGGACACCCTCGATGCTCTTCGCGAGCTGTGTTAACCTGACGGACACGGCCATCTCGGTCGCACCACCACCGGGCGATAGCCTGGGGTGGAACATGACGTTGCGCGCTACGCCCATGGCATCCTGCAGGTTGCGCTCGATCTCGTTAAGGACATCCTTGGAAGGACCGCGGAGAAGAACGGTGCAGGCCTTGGGGTCCTTGCACTTTGTGAGGAAGGTGAAGTACTCGTCGCCAATCTTCTCGATCTCGAACAGGCCGCAGTTCGTACCGACGTCGGACTCCTGAAGATCCTCTACTCGGTTGACAATGGTGGCGCCCGTCGCCCTGGCGATTCTGTTGTTGTCGGTCTTGCGCACACGTCTGAGCGCGGTAACGTTGGCCTTCATGAGGTAGTGTTGTGCGAGATCTGTGAAAAGAACATCATTAGCCTGCCTGCCATCGGCACAGCATGCGCTTCCGCTGCAGTAAGTTGAACTCACCCGAGACACCCTTCTCTGTGATGACAAGGTCGGGTTTGAACTCAAGGATATGCTCGCACATCTGCTTGACCTGCTCCTCCTCAATCTGCAGGATGCGGTTCCAGTCCTCCTCCTTTGTGATCTCAATGTTTGTCTGCGACTCGCCCTTCTTGTACTCGAGCGGGCAGTCGAGCAGGATGATGCGCGGGTTCTCGATCCTGCGGCGCATCTTGGGGTGTGTGATATCCTTGTTGAGCATGACGCCGTCCAATACCCTGCTATCCTCGATCTCGCCGCCCGGCACCTTCTCCACGCGCGCGTACCGCTTGATGTCCACCTCCTTCTTGCCATTGCCCATCTCCCACGTCACGGTGCGCACGGCCTTGAGCGCCAGCCCGCACATGAGGTCCGACCAACGGGAAACGTACTTGGTGCCGATCGAGGACGAGATAAGCTTGTTCATGGCCTGGTCATCGTTGATGTCGATCGGGAGCGAGATGTCTTCGATGATCTGCAGGGCGTCCTTGAGGGCGCGCTTGAAAGCCGAGATGATGACGACGGGGTGGATGTTGCGCTCGAGCTGGGGGAGGGATTGCGCGAGGATCTCGCCGGCTGTTTGTGATACCACATGTCAGTAAACGGTATGCGGCGCAGTTATAGCCAGAGTTTCCCCTACCGAGAATGATAACTGTTGTGGTACCGTCACCAACTTCTTCGTCTTGTGTCCGGCTGAGCTCGATCATGCTCTTGGCTGCGGGGTGCGACACCTCGATCTCGCGGAGAATAGCATGGCCGTCGTTGGTGAGGACGATACCGCCCATGGGGTCGAGAAGCATCTTGAGCATGGCCTTGGGGCCGAGGCAGGATCGGATGATATCAGCGACACTACGAGACGAGGGGGCGGTCAGTCAGGGTCCATGGCGGGGTGAAAGGCGGTCTCTCATCCGCTATTAGGGGGGGTTTGGAACTGTACGTTTTGGCGGCGGCGATGTTGGACATCTGAGCCTTGCGGCCAGTCTGCCTCTCACCACTGTTGGTGTCTGCAAGGGTAGGAGGTAAGGTCAGTATGCTGCATGGTTACTACCGGCTGATAAGTGAGGATATCCCCAATATCAAAAGGGGTAAGAGGTAGCTTCGGGCGCTGGAACATACTCATTACCAGGACCGGTGCCTGCATGGTGCCTGATTTATATGGGTTGCTTTACTGGAGACTGAAAAGAAGAAAGCTGTATAGAATCCGTCCAGATGGTGATGCTTCAGAATGCGCGGGGAGAAGCAGGATGGTTGGCAAAAATCTGGAGGGAATGGCCGTTGTTGTTTGCTGTTCTCCAGTTCAATGATCGGGCAGGCAGCTTCAGCGTCAAGGTGGGATGCTGGACCCCCTCGAAAAGTTGATAGAATCGACCTGGACCAAGCTCCCTTTCTGCTACCGTTGCCAGTGGACGGCACCCCACCGCCCAAAAGGTGGGGCAGAGGACTGCCGAACAGAACGGAAGAACGTGCGTGTCGTGGCATCCGCTGCCAGCTGTCAGCGCTAACGGTCGCGCAGCAACGGATTGTTGATACTTGCTCAGGGGACTACAACTTATTTATAGTTCATAAGGTACACTCCTGTCTTGACATCTCGATGTTTGAGCTATCCAACATGCCAGTTCTTGCGTTCAGTACAGTAACGGGGGAGCTCTGTTCCGTACCACATGTAACACAACTCCAAGCCTAATAAGCAACAAACGCCATACGCTGTGCCGTGTGAAGCAAATCTCTATAACAACATTTCCATCCCAGCTTTACCAGAATCCTTTCAAAGCATCATACTTCTCCTCCTCGAGGCCCTTCCCTTGGACAACGACCCGCCACTGTCATTCCCAACATCTTCCTCCTCCTCTTCCTCCTGCGGTTGCTCCTCGGCCCACAAGCTCTTTTTCGGCACCAACATTGAAGCCCTTTTCCGAGAAGATCTTGGCTTTGCGGACGCCGTTGCTGTTGTATCAGTCGAAGCAGCTGAGGACGCCCTTCTTGAACCCTTTGGTGCCTTTTTATTACCGAGAACATCACCGGTAGTTGCTTCTTCCTGGGGTGCTGCAGTATCCGGAGATACACAACTAGCAAAGTCATAGAGATCTACCGAAGCTGGATTTATCGCGAGTTGTACGTCCTCTTGCTTTTCCGTGAGGATCGTAGGTGCGGAACGGCTCATCGATTGCCTCCCCTTTCCACCCCTGGGCCGTGTTGTAACACTATTACTCAACTCCTTTTGAATCTGAGCCTCGACCGCTGCGTCTTCGTCCATCTCCTCCGCAGCTGGGGGATTCGGGGTTGGTTGCTCTCGGACCGGAGGAATCGTCATTGTACCGGCTGCGGTAGAGAAGGATGAGGCGCGCCTTCTCCTTCCCAGGTCGACCGAGCTTGGGAGGATGCCGGTTGGTGATAATATTCCTTCCTCCTGGTGTGGTTCCTTCTCCTTCTCCTTTTCAAAGAGCGTACTGCTGCTCAGACCGCTCATATCCACCACCGGCGACGGCTCGGCCTTGACCTTGCTTACTGACGCCGGTGCTGACTCGTCCCCCTTGCGCTGTTGCTGCTGTTGCGCTGCCGGCCTGTGGAGGAACTTGCCCTCCCCAGAAACGGCATCAAAGAGCTCCTTGGTCGGTCGCCGCATCTTGTCGCGCAAATTGGGCTCCGTATAGCTGATGGCCGCTCTGGCACGCCTGCTAGGCCGCGACGTCTCTCCATTAGATGAAATGTGGGCTGGCGGCGGGGTGTCGTGGGTCACAACAGTGCTTCCGGAGGCGCGCTCTGGTGTTCCAGGTGTGATCAGAATATCGGCTTCGGGAATCTCGGCAACTTCAGGAGTAGGTTCCAGGGCCGGTGGGAGGATCTCGATTTTCGTGAATGCCGACGTAGAAGTTCCTTGCGCTTCTTCTACTGCTGGGTTCTCTTCCGGGAGCGGCAGGTCAGCCTTCTCCTTGCCCATTTGTGCCTTGTGCACCTTCACCGGCTTGAAACCGTCGTCCACCTCGTGGGCCTTCGTCGCCTTCTTCGGAGAAGCAATGTGCTCGTTCGTGCTCTTTGCTGATAGTGGAGCTCTCGGTTTCGTTGCGGTCTCTTTGATGCTTTTCCTCTTTTGCGGGTCGCGGGCAGAGAGTCCTTTCTTCTTCCCAGTCGTATTGCCGTTGTCCTTTTCTGGCTGAAGCTTGGTTGCCTTGTTGGGTTCGTTTTCGTTCTCGTCGCCGAACTTTCGCTTGAGGCCTGCTCGTACCGTCTCGCTTGGTACAGCCGATGCAGATTGTTTCGGCGGTTCCATTTGAAGGGGACTGGACATTTTGGTGGGTTCCGCAATTCTCGATTCTTTCGGTGGGCTGAATAAGATCATGTTTGGTCTCCTGTCATAGTTAAGTTTGGGCGGCGATAGTGACGGCGGCACTTGGAGACCCCTAGGGCTCTCTTCCACTTGCTCGGTAGCTTCCGTTTCTTCAATCTCGGAGTTCTTGTTTGGCGACGGTGATCGATGTATGACCATATCATCCTCAACAAACCTAGATACTGGCGGCGGTCCAATGTCTGGCGAGTCATTCGAGTCATCTGCCTGCATGCACAATGCTAGGATCTCTTCGCTGCTGTTTGGCTGTCAGCCATCTGCTCCAAGGAATCATGCACCGGGAGCTTTATGCGACTTACTTCATCGTGGCTCGCGCATACGTCTTGTTCTCGTATATCGGCGGTAGCCTCCCTTCCTGCTCAGCCAGTAGTTCCTGGTCGGCCTCCTGGCGTGCTCTTCTCAGGGGAGGGCTCCGATGAACGCTTGGTCGAGGTTGCGCGTATCGCCTTTCTTCTGAGGGGCGTCGCTTCGAGGGTGGCTCCCCTAAGCTTGCCAGTAGCGAACTGAGTTCCGCCAACTGCGTCTCCATCTTGGCCTTGACCTCGAGCGCATGATCGGCCACCCTTTGCGCAGCGTTGCCTTGGAGCTCCTTTTCGAGGCGCAAGACCTGACCATGAAGTTCGAGGTTTTCCGACAGCAAACGAGCGCATTCATTCTCCAGCCCACGGATACGGAGTGACTGTGTGGAATTGACCCGAGCAATATCTCTGTTTTGTCTGAGGAACTTCCTACGCACTGTCAAGACGCGATTGGGTTAGTTGAGATGTCAGACTGGCGCGTTTAGGGAGACAGAGTCGCGACACATACGAAGCTCGAGATTGTCTGTTGACGACGAGACAGACGACATGGCTTGTTCGTTGAGGCGGGCCATTTCGCATTGTCGTCCTCGCGGACAAGACAGCAAAAAAGGTCTGTTGTTAACTCAACCGGATCGCTATCGTAGACATACAATACTGATCGTCGAGTATGTGAAGCTGTTTGAGGTGGTGTTGTTTGGAATGCGATCGATACGTTGGGGAAGGAAGAGGCTGGGCGTGTGTCGAATGGCGAGCGGGCGGGTGCAACAGGGCGGCGGATTGGGTGGGAGCGGAGGTGGCCAAATTCCCAGCTGTCATTTCGCGAACATTTTTGTTTACTCTGGTTCCCAAAGCGGTTTAGCGTCCCGGTTCTCTTGCAGTTGGCCCAGGTCTAGGGTTGACCAGCAACGGAGTTCTGAAGCGGGGACGCGGCCCACTGGAAGCTTCACCTCTCAGCAGGCACGTCACTGTCTTCAGGGCGTCCGACGCCTGCGGTGTTGCCTGCCGCGCAAGCGTCCGCTGCATGAGCAGTGCCGGCCACTGACAGCATCAGCAGCAAGCAATCAATCACAACAACAGGACGCTCTTTCCTCCCGTCTTCCACCTTGTCAAGAACTTCCACTTGGATTCGACCAACTGCTCTTGACTATTCCTTAAACACATGTAGATCTCAAAGCTTTCCACCTTTTTTTTTCCATCTTCCAAATCACCAACGCCGTGACTGCAGCCACAATGTCTGCCTTTCCTGCCAGAGGTTTTTCGTCCATGGGCGCAAGCACCACGGGCCAGTCTCCCGCCCTGGTTGCCAGAGTCAACGAGAAGAAGGCCGAACTGGAGAATCTCAAGGAGCTTCGCGATCTCAGCGCGGCAATGGCAACGCAGATGGAGGCGCTCGCTCAAAAGCTGGCTACCCTTTCCGATGGAACAGAAGCAATTGCCCTTGTTCTAAGCAACTGGCATAATGTGCTAAGAGCTATCAACATGGCATCTGGTAAGCGTCATCTACACCACACCATCATCCCTCCTTAGTATTAACATGATTGCCTCAGCCAAATTGCCCAAGCCAAGTGTAGGTGTCCAAGAGCCCTCAGAGAACGATCTTCCCCAGACTCTTGTTCGCATTCCAACCGAACATGCGCCTGCACTTCAAGCACATGCGGAGGGAGCTGCAGAAGAAGAGTAAACCGAAGGAACCTAGGTCACCTCGACCAGCCAGGCACACCATTCAGCCAGTTCTTCCGGGGATTAGCTAAGGATTCAAGTCAGAAGTAATCATTTTGATGGATTATATGCTACTATCGCACCAAGGTCTTCTACAAGGAGACGCAATCCAGGTCAGAACGCTTCATGTTAAGAGTATGATACTATGCGGACTGCCCTGCTATTCACCAGTGCTGCCAACCTCCGTTTGTACATTCCAAGTACGAACTGAAAGAAATGTTTGAGCAACCAGAGGTAGGCTGTTTCTACTTGATCACTAATAAAGGAAGTCGGTGTTGTTGGTCGAAGTCAGCCAGGGGGTTGTTGGAGGAAGTCGCCGCTTTAGGGCATCGGACAACAACCACCATGAGACCACGGGCACTTGCAGTTACGAGTCACGCAAAGGCGCTGAGAACGAATGGCCCTCAAGCATTGTGGTGAAGATGGGAAGGAGTTGCGGGCAAGAGCTTGACTGCCAGTTCAGGGAAAAGGGAAGAGCGCCCGCCGCCAGTACCAAGACGCATGACGTTCTGGATGAAGCACAAAAGCCAACTGCCTCTAGGACTCCAGCACATTTTCTCGACCACTTCAGTTGAATCACTTCATCAACCAAGGACCCCAGTGCCCAACTGCTACACCAGCATAATTGTTCAATCAATAGCCAGCAAGTTTTCGATCAGCCTTCCCCGGATCTAGCCCATCACAATCTCACTTTTCTGGATAACAAGCCACCCCGCGTCTGCACAGAGATAATCTTGTCTTTTCCCTTGTGCGAAATTACTCTGGAACCCTTGTTCAGGCCAGTCAGCATCACAACTAATCGTCTGGCCTCCAGATCTTGGCCTATTTCGGGAAGAGCCGATATTAGAACGAAGAATTAATTACAGTCATGACGACCACCCACACCTACCACCACCGACATGGAATCGGCTTCGATATCCACGACCATGGAATACACTCCAGCTTCTCCCCCCACAGACTCGACAACAATCAGTTTTGTGTCTTGGATTCAAATTCAGACACCAACCACAATCATAGCAAGAAGCCGATCAAGACTCAGACAATCAATCTCCAGAACACTTGCTTGGGTAGCCCCGAGAAGGCAAATACCAGGCCCAGAAGTACTGCTAGACACCAAACTGACGAGCCTGAACTTGGAACCGAGACTGCTGGTCAAGTGCGCGAAAAGCTAGGCGAAGAAGCCAGTCCTGAAGCCGGCGCGGCCCTTTCCGCATTCGTCTTAAAAGGTATGTGGTTCCCTCTATCGATATCTGGCAGTTAAGCTACCTTCGTGCAATGAAGACAAACTGACTTGAGCTTGATGGGTCTCTCAGAATTTTTGGAAAACAATCCTCTTGCCCTTGAAAGTCGAAATCTCCCTAGCAACGCAGAGCAGTTGGCCAAACACTACGCAGGTCACTTCGAGTGGGTTTTGTCATTGCCGGCAAAGACACCGCCCGAAGGATGCGCTCATCCGATCTGCTCTCACGATAACCCAGAGAGTTGCGGCTATACGGGATGCGGAGAATGTGCTCACCCTGACTGTTCTCATGAACACCCTGAGCGCTGTGGCTACCAAGGATTCGAGAACCCGAAAAAGCTGCTTTACTTTGGCTGCAACCTCGTCCCACGTCGTTCAAAGTCAATGCCGGATGCCATGTTAGGCACCGACAACGGAGACCAAAGTGCTGATATTTATACGCTTGTAGCTACCAAGCTGGACGACGTCGAGCAAAGCGACGTTGTCGTGAATAATACTGTTCCGACAAGCATCACGATCCATCCCGACGAATCCCATCTTCAGATTAGGAGCTCCCACATTACCCCCGAGACAATTGATGAAGAGACGGAGAGCATGATGGATGACAGGGTTGGCGAGTTTGAAACCACCATCGTCCAAATGGACGCCGATTCCAGCTCCAGCGTGGCTGAAGACACCAGCCCCTACCGTACGGACGATGAAATGCGCGATGTTCACGGACAGGTTGACGTGGACCATCGACATGAGCCTCAGGCGAGCTTCGAGTCAGATTCTCTTCTGATCGGCGAATACCAGTTTGAAGAAGAGAGAGATGAAGCTCGAGAATCAGATTCACATTCAGTAGACGACCGCCATGCCCAAGACGAGTCCCGAATGTGGGAGACTGATTCATGTCACCGATACCACCATCATTCCTCGGAAACCGTGGATGATTGTCACCAAGAGTCTCAAATGAGGTGGGAGACCGAACACCGTCACAGATATCGGCACCACCTCTCGGAGGTCATGGAAGACGAACGCATGGAATCAACCAGAATATTTTCACCCATCCCGAGTCCTGCGTCCAGGATTGAGGACTCGGTTGAAGCTCTTGACAAGATGGAGGATGAATTGGAAGCCATCAATGACTTGGCGCGAGTTGACCGAATCTTGTCTCCTGTGGACGCGAGAATACCCTCGTGGCAGAGCGTCCAGAGAACACCCAAGGCCGCCCCACCTCAACGCACAAGCTCCAAGAGAACTGGAGCTGCCACGGTCCGCCTGAAGGATGTCGATCGCTCTTCAACGTTGCGGAAGTCAAGCTCGATGAGCTTCACCGAGGATAAAGCGGCTGCTAAGAAGAAAGGCACAGCAACCAGGCCAACCAGCCTTCTGCCACTCAGGCCTCCGGCCAAGTCTAACAAAGCGCCCACTGTGGCCTCGTTCGAGCTACCCGGAGAAGCTGTGGCCCGCCGCCTCAAGGAACAGCGTGCATCCCGTCTTTCACAACAAAACATTTCTGAGCATGCTGCCTCTATAGATGATTCCTGGACTGCCTCACCTCCCAAAGTTCGTGTCAGATCTACCAAAACGTCCACGCGAGCCGCTTCTGAGCTACCCGATGGGGCAATCTCACGTCGCAGGAGAGAGGAGGTGGAGGCCAAACAGCGAGCTCAGGAAGAGGACCGTAAGGGTCGCGAGTCCAAGGCTCGCTCGGTCCGTGCCAGCGTCTCAAAAGCTACGAATCCTCGCGAGACGGTTGTTAGTCGGGCGCGGCAAGGGAGACCTAGTGTTGCTCGTGCGTTTGATGGCAACAATGCTAGCGGTTATGCAGAGCCCCGTTCTCCTGTATCAAAGGCACCCGCTACAGCTTCCTTTGCGTCACCGACAGCTTCTTCAGCGAACAAGCGGAATTCTACTTTGGGCAGATCGGCCGCGTCGACCAAGCGACAGTCGTATAATGCGGCAACTCTTCCGGCGCGCGGCCGGTTGAGCATGATTGACTCGCTGTCGGCAGCCAATGCCGGTCGCGGCACCTCGAGGGCGTCGGCAGGTAGCAACCGCAGTGGCGTCACAGGCAGTAGCACAGTTAGCAGGCGTAGCACAGTGAGCGCGGAGGAGGCACAGAAGCAGAGGCAACGGGGCAAGGAGGTATTTACACGCGACAATAGCTATGCGGCAGAGCGTGAGAGAGAGCGGCACGAAAGGGAGGAGGCGGCGAAGAGAGCCCGAAAGGAGGCGGCTGATAGGTCTAGGATGCAGAGCCGCGAGTGGGCAGACAAGCATGCACAGAAAGCCGCTACTCTTAGTGGAAAGAAGAAGAGGGACAGCATGGTCGGGAGCTCTCAGACCATGAGGCTTCGTTTCACATCCTGAAGAAGTAGGGTTGCACGATGGATTCGGCATTTCGACGCGAGTGGACGACGACCTGAAATGTTGGAGTTGACGCGGAGTTTGTGGCTCAGGCTTTGTTTCCATTCCGGTCTTGCATGCTTCTCTCTTTTTCTGGCCTGGAGTTCATGGTTTGTGTGGGCATTTTCATGAGGAGGTTGCATAGCAGTGTCTGCGTGTACTTTTGTTTTCTTTTTCTTTTACTCGCATTTTATGGTCTTATCATGTTGGCTTCCTTATCCTTCCAACTTGCTTTATTTTAAAGCTTTCGGAGCACCATGGTGGCAGCCATCACCATCTCTTGAGCCCGGCGGTTGTTTTTAACGACCTTTATACACTGAGGCGCCCCGGAAATACCTCGGATTACTTACAGTATGGTTAAACGGACTGCTCACCAACCGATTGGACGATTGGGCTTTCGGAAGAGGCAACGAGTCTTTCGGTTTTAGGCCGTTAGGTTCTTATCGTACGCGGCGGCAACTGTTTGTCACACAGTCTTATCGGTCAGCCCGCCGCTTGGTATTTGGAGCGCGTTTTGGCGGGGTTATTTTTATTTTACAGGAAGTTCAGCTTAGCCAACGTGGTCATGATATGAGGCGACGCTGGAAGTTAGGTAGATAGAACAGATTGAGATGAAGAACAATCAACAAGAATTTTTGGCAGGGCGCTTGTGACGAGTGGGAAGAGTGTCAATGTGAAGTCAGAGCCAAGGCGACGACGACACAGCGGGTGTCATGAGTAAATTGCCTCGACTTTGATCTGTCTCGCATACCTTCCTATTCGAGACTTGAGACTTGATCTTGTTACATTTCACAAACTTGTGATACGCGCCGATCGCGAAAGGGGACGGAGTAGACGAGAAGAGGTTACTTGGGGCGATTGATGCCGTACCGGGCCCGGAGCAAAACGACCTCTGTCTGGCGGATGTTTACTGTCGTCTCTTGACGCCCGTTTCCAACTTGCTGCTGTTATCTCAAAAGACACGGGCCGGGGCGTAGCATCCGTCTGTTGCATTCGTTCCGCATCATTTATTTCATGTTTCCTTGATGGGATGGCAGGATTGAGGATTAAGGTCTGAGGCTTGCATTGTTTATTACAGTGGTTCATGTTGTTGGTCAGCTTATCAGGTACGGCCTGGATGAGCAGCAGCATCGATCAACCTTCCACTTCTCCCGCTGTTGCTTTCACTTCCTCTGCAGGACAGGTTTTGGTCAAATGAAAAATACAAAGGACGCAGCACCGAAGAGCAAACTGAAGCAGTGACCGTGGACATCAACCTCACCAACAGCCAACAACGTCTCTCGTTTGTTCGATTCTGGGCTGGTCTCCCTTTCTCCCTTTTGATCGAGTCTTATCGCTCAGTTGCGGCATCGTCATTGTCGCTGTCGCTCCTTCATCCTTTGCCTCCTTTCTTCTTTCATTCATTCGTTGTCTCGGTTTCGGTTATGCCAAACTTACATCATCGTTCGGATTATACAGCTACCTTACCTTGCCTAGGCAGCCCGTGTCTTCGACGCCCGACGCGCATCAATCATCCGTTCTAACTGCAACTTCAACATCTTACCATGTGCTAACAAATAGAAAACATTTTCCCCAAAGGGTCCTCGAGTCACGCAGTATCTTTTCAGACTCGAAGCCAAAGACATTCGAGTTCAAGCCCGATCTTTGAGTCCCATCATCAGTCACTTTCGCGCCACCTCTCCCACCCCAACCACAGGCACCAACGAGCAGCTCAGTAGCATCAGCAATATGGGAAATCTATAGCCGAGAAGCATAGCGCGCGTTGGACCTCAAGGACCGGCCGAGAGAACGACCATCAACGTCAAGAGAAGCTTTTCTTTCGCGAAAAGAGTCGCGATGCCAAGCCCGCCGCGATTGCCTGTGCATGACGGGGTCCGTCTCGGCACCACATCCCGCGTCGATCAGGCCCTGGATTCAGACGAAACATCCACTGCGGACGCCGCTGTCAGTGTCAACTCAGTGGAAAATGGGGAACCCCAACCGCCGACGTCGATCCTGGGAGTGGGCAGTCCCGGTACCGGTAGCACCCCGCTCCTAGCATCATCCACAGCCCGAGCTAGTGGTGATAGCAGCAGCAGTGGAAGCTCGACTCCAACGTCACTAAATCTTCCCCTCCTCCAGGATGAGAAGCCCCGGTATATGCGACGGCGGCCCCGGCTAATAAAGAGGTTATCAAAAAAGATGGTGTTCTGTTCAGCCTGGGTCTTCGTCATTGGCTTCCTGTGCGTCTGCCTATACAACTACCGATATAATGCCAATGGCCGCGCCCCCTCGTTTGCTCACCCGGACGTGGAAAAGGGCACCCTGAGTAGTACCACCCAACACGGCAACTACGGCGACAACGACGGTGACGGCAAGGCAGACAGTGGTGGTAGTACAAAGGCAATAACTTCATCTGTCGACCCGGATCTCGAGCTAGGTCTTTCGTCCGCATCTTCTCCTTCGGCTTCGACCTTTTCCAACTCGTCCGCATCTTACACTTCGGTCCCAACTCCAACACATAAGATTGCAGACGCCCAGGACGCGTCACAGTTCCCATCCACCACCTTGTTGACCGTAACCACCACCATGGCCAAAGAAAAGCAGCCCGGCGCTACAGCCACATCTCCTGCAGTCACATTGCGCCAAGGCCGGTACATTGGCGTCAGCTTGCCTGTCGAGTACCGCTTCCCCAATGCCATTGAGGCCTTTCGCGGCGTTCCCTTTGCTCAGACCACCGGAGGAGAAAACCGCTTCCGGCCACCCAAGGCACTGCCGGACTCCGAGCAGACGTTCCAGGCTGTCAAGTTCGGCGAGAATTGTCCTATAGGAGGGACGGTAGGCAACGGGTTTGGAGAGAACTGTCTGAACGCCAATATCTACAGGCCGGCAGGTCTCGTTGATAACGATGGACTGGCAAAGGGGGACAGCAGCAACAAGCGACCAGCATTGCTGCCTGTAGTTGTCTACATCCATGGAGGTGCCTTCAACGGGGGTATGGGCGTTGAACGCAATATGGCGAGCTTCATTGCTTGGACCGATGCGCCCATGATAGGCATTAACTTCAACTATCGTGTTGGTGCCTTGGGGTTCCTCCCCTCAACATTGACGGCCAAGGAAGGATTATTGAATCTGGGGTTAAGGGACCAGACTATGATGTTGGAATGGGTGAGGGAGAATGTGAAGGCCTTTGGGGGCGATCCGGAGAATGTCACTATCATGGGACTTAGTGCTGGTGCGCATTCGGTAGGTTCTATCTTCGGCCCCCTTGAGTCTCGATCTCGTATTTCGAGATATCTTCATACACATCGCGGGGACTCGTGCTGACCCAATATTCTCTTTCTAGATTGGGCACCATATCATGTACTACGCCCGCAAGGCGACTCCGGCACCCTTTCACAGAGCCATCCTAGAGTCCGGCGCTACTACTGCTAGAGCCGTCCTCCTCCCAAACCATCCTCGTCACCTGGTCCAATTTCGTGAATTCCTCGCCGCTGCTGGCGTCGACGGCGCACCGGAGGATCAAATCTTCGATCATCTTCGCAAGCTTCCGCTCGAGACCATAGTCAAAGCGTCCAAGAAAGTCTGGGACCGCTACGAACCCAGCGTAACCTGGCCCTTCCAACCCGTCATCGACGGGCTTCACGACCACCAACAAGCCACCAGCAACAGCAACAGCGAAACCACTCCCGTCCTAATCCCCGACATCCCCATCACCTCCTGGCGACAAGGCAAACACCTCCGCATCCCCATCCTGACGGGCTTCAACACCAACGAAGGCGCAACGTTCATCCCCGGCAACGCCAACACCAACGGCGACTTCCGCTCCTTCTTCAAGACCCTCATCCCCACCCTCGCCGAGACCGACCTCGCCGCCCTCGAGCACCTCTACCCGGACCCCGTGACAAACCCCTCCTCCAACAACCCGTACCGCTCCGTGCCCGCCGGCAAGGGAGCCCAATGGGCCCGTCTCGATGCTGCATATAGCCACTACGCTTACATCTGTCCCGTGCTGCAGACGGCGCACTTTATGAGCCGGGCTGGGCTGCCGGTTTATGTCTATAGGTTTGCGGCCACGGGTAATTGGAACGCGGCGAATCACGCGGACGAGGCACCCGTTGTGACGCATGATATGGACTTTTTGAGGTCGTTGGGACCTCCCGGGAGGAGTAAGGGGTTGAGGAAGGTAGCGGATGGGATGAATGCTGCTTGGGGAAGGTTTGTTAGTGGGGAGAAGGTTATTGAGGTTGAGACGGATGGGAAGGATGGTGGGAGTGGGAAGAGGGCGGAGTGGCCGTTGTTTAGGACGCCGTTTGGGGATGATGATTTGGAACTAGACCGCGGCGCTGGGAACAAGACTGCGGAGAGAAAGACCGAAAAAAGGAGGTGGTCATTGTCATCATTGTGGAAACAGAGCAGCAGTGATGATGACGATGAAAAGTCTCCACCAGAGGGGACGGGCAGGATGATTGTTTTTGGAGAAGGGAATAATGAGCGGGCAGGCGGTAGTAGTCCTGGTACACCGGCTAAGGAGGAGGTTCTCAATGGGATATTGTTGAAGGCTTGCCGGTTTTGGTGGGATCGGATAGAGTTGAGTGAGGGCTTGGGTAAAAGCCGCGAAGAGATGGGGAACGCGGGGGCAGCTGCGAGGGCTAAACTTTGATTGGGGGTTGAGTACGTGTGTAGAATGTTCATGCCGAATCGATTATGGATGGTGTTTTATCTGGGGCTTATGAGTAGGGCCATGGCTGGGGTACAAAGGCGTAGAAGTGTGATGTATACTGCCGCATGGGCTTGTTCATGCTAGGTACTTGCGTTATGAGTAATGGTTAAGAAAAACAAGGAGTTTTAGATGGGTATCGGATAGGCAAGTCCCTAGTTTGGTTGGGATGAGGAGAGGCGTTTTCTCCTGGGAGGAGAAGGAAAGGTGCAAGTCATAGTTGAATCATTGTACGAGTATCACGTTTACTCGCTACATATTCACGATCTGTTCTACTGTGAGGTTTCGGTGAGTGATCGTTTGGATTTTGATTTGCATTCAGTTCCTCCGTCGTTGTAAACAACTGCTACAGTGGGTCACCCAAAAAAACACCCAATTTTTTTTTTACCCGCAAAAACACGCCTAAACTCACCTCGGTCAAACCTTCGTTAACTATACGGTTTTATTGCAAATATTACACCAAAATTTATACAAAGAGATCTTTGAAAGGAGTTTATAGGGAAAGTTGTCCGGATGAATGCACTCAAAGAGGGCGCGAGATCTTAAGTACCAAAGTTACTTTTCAAAAAGCAATCTGATTTTTACCCACTATAATGCGCTATAAGTCCACTATAACCAAATGTATCTCCCTTACTCGTTCTTTGGACCGTTCATTTCCCACCAGTAACAAATGGAATTGAATGATAACTTTATATTCAAGACTTATAGCTATTTTCCTTCCTCTCTGTCAAGTGCATCCCTTTTTGAAAGGTGGTTGAGTGGTAAAACCGCGGAGTGATAGACTTGAGTTTTGGCCCTTTTTGCGAGCAAAAAAATCGTTGGGCGTTTTTTTTGGAGAGGCACGTAGCATGAAATCCTCAACTACTCTGAAATATTCCGCTCACAAGTAATCACGTACGCATCACGAACACCACAAACAAAACAACTGCCAAAAGGTAAACAACAAAAAGATTAATAATGACTTGGCAATAAGACTTTGACGATATCGAAAAGAAAAAAAAATGAGAAAAAACATACAACACCTGGGATTCGCTGGTCGTCACCGACCCAACTACTAGTCAGGCGATTGGTAGCTTATCTATGGGAGAGCGGACGGGATCCCGAGTTTTCTACCATCTGTGGTCGTATGTGCTTGTCTGCAGCGATGCAATGTCTTATAAAACGATTTGTTGTTATTATTGTGGTTGGCGCGATGATTGAAAATGGTGATGGCTGAATGGCGATGGCGAAATTGGGTGCGGTGTGTGCACCCTGTCTGCCACCGGGTGGGTTCTAGCGAAGGAGTTTTGGACTTTGGAGCACTTCTAGATCATTGAACTTAGGTTGGAGTTTTGAGCGGATGTTCATGTGCTACATACTATGAAAGATGAGATGAGACGGGTGCGCAAGGCGCTAAAGGAGAATAGGAGAGAAGGAGGAAGGAAAGAAATGATGAGGAAGGGAAAAAATGAATCGGTGCATCGCGGTGCGTTTGAGCCTTCCCCAGCTCGCCCAGCAGTCGTGGAATATCTTCTATTGTCTTTGGAGCCATTGCGTTGTCTGTTTCTGTGTTTCCGAGAGCATTTGCGATGGACGCCTCTGAGGTGGTGACTCAACTAGCCTTGGCGTTCTTCATTGATGACTGCTGTCTGGATTTTCCCAGAGCAAGTAAAGTACTCTTCAAGGCTCGATCGAATCGCCTATTTGGCCAAAGTCTTGGTCGGTGTTGGGTTTGGAGACGCTTCTAACCCTGCTGAGAAGCACATATTCTTCCACGGTCAGCAACTGTTTGAGCTCCTGCGCTGCCTAACTCTTTCCCGAGTTACTTTGCTGTATGGGGTTCGTGTGGAATAGTCCCAATCTCAGGAACTTTCAATTTCTCTCGTCTCCGCCGATGCCCAGCAGATTTTTCTGCCTGTAACCGTCGTGAAAGACGCTGGAAGGGTGTGAAGAGGGTGGAGCTAGAGAGTGACGAGCCCGGCATCCGGTTTGGTTGGAGACTCAGTTGTGGACTAGCTGTGCGGTGGTCGCTGCGCCCAGGTTAACTCGGGATTTTGAGCTAACTCGGCGTCCGTGTTCTCTTTCGTGGGATTTAGTTCTACTCCCGTCATAACGTGATCCATAGAAACCTCTGAGGGAGCTGTTTCATAGGAATATGAGGATGTGCTGAGTGCAATGCCTGAAGTAGATGAGACCGTGGCCGAGCCATAGGTGGTGACCGAAGCGGCCTGGCGTCTTCGGGGTGGAGTGTTGTTGAATAGTATTGACGCGGGAGCATCAATTTCGGGATTGCCGAATGATGTGAGGACGGGATCCTGCATCCACAAGTACGGGTCATAGGATACTTGAGGGTCTGAGGAGTCTGGGAGAGAGAAGGCGGAAGAAATTGCGCTGGGGGACAGGGTGTCCGCGTACCAGAAGGAGGGACTGGTGGTAGGCTGCTCAACATACTGTGGGTATTCGAAGCCGTCGTTATAGTGGCCAATGCCGGCTAGGTCATCTTCGGCAAGAATAGATAGAGCCCCCGTTCCAGCCATGGCACTGTCATCAGCGTCGTCTACATACTCAAAAGCAATGAACTGTGCAATCGTATGTTCCACCGAGTTGCTGACTTCGTTGTATCGTTTCAGTTTACTAAAATGCACTCTTCGTAGATGTGCAGCGGCGTTATAGTATGCCCCGTATTGCTTTTTGTTTGAACATTGCCTGCAATCTGCGAGCAATTTTGTTGGCCGTACGGAGTCCGGAATGCTGTCCAGATCTGGTTCACTGCAAACCCATTTAATCTTGCGACGGTGTATCGCTACCATATGACTGCCCAGGTCCTTTACGGAGTTGAACCCATCCGGTCGGCGGTCACACTGAGGGCATTGGGGCCTCGTGAGCTCAGATTTGTCCTCCACTTCCGTAACAACCAAGTTCATGTCCGTCCCAGACGGGTTGAAGTCAGCGAGCCCGGTAGTGGCCTTGCCTTTTCTTTCATTGGCAGTTGTGGGTAGCAGCACGAGTAAGGATAATTCCTCTAAATGTTTGGCCAGATGATTACCAAACGCCTGAGGCGTCAGTTCCCAATCACTCGACATTGATCCGCTTCGTCGCTGTAGAGTTCCTTTGTAATCACATAGGGGGCAAGCCTCAGCACCGATCTTCTCTGGTAGTCTCCCCAATCGTTGCGTGTGGGCTTCGACATTGCCGGCTTTGATGATGTCCGAGTGTTTGGCTTCCAGACAACTGGGACAAGAATAACATCTACTTCTTCATCAACCAAGATGGGAGCATCAACACTGCAATGCCTTTCCTTATTTCCAGGAATAACAGCGCGTGCGCCAGCAACACCCAGAGCAAAAAAGGCAAAGAGCCCGCGGAAGAACCAACATCACACCCATCGAGACCTCATGATCATGGAAAGATCTTGCTCGGCCTCGGCACCTTGATCCTCGAACTCTGGTTCGGTCAGCCTCTCGAGTCCCAGCCTTCATGGGAAGCCAACTTTGGTCCCAATGGCCAGGAAACGGAGTTCACCAAGTTCAACGCCGCAGCGACCTGGCAACGGATGGTTGCGGATCATGGTGGACCGATACTGCACAACATTACTCGGCGATGTATTTACGGCAACTTCGGCTTGGCCACGCAAAACCTGGAAGACACTGAGCTGATCAAGGCGGTTTATGGGAATGTCGTGATGGAATTGCAGAGGCTCTGTGACGCACTTTCCTGATGGGAAAGCACATGGCAGTGACTTTCTTTCGCAGGCAAAAGATAGCTAAAGCAAAAAGAGAGTATGAATGAAAGAGAACAAAACCAAACGGATACAGACTGACTACTGACTTTTCTTCATCACGCCCTTATTAACTCTCCAACACATGTTACACCTCAGTCAACCTTGAATAGAAGTTGCTTGACCGTCTGGGACTTGTTTTCGTGCCCACCGCAGGCCACCGACGCTAGGGCTTGTCCAAGTGCGCTTAGTAACCTAAGATACGACAAGAACGAAGTAGACCACGGCACCACCAGCTGCCCGGATCCTGTATGAGCGGCGTCCAAAATAGGCATAAGCCCTCTAGAAGTGAAACGGAAATCGACAAGTGCGGTCAGGGACAAGGCTGAAGGGAAGAGACTGTAGGCAGAACCATCTTCACGCTCGGAAGATAGGTAATGAGCACCTCACCCAGTCTCACCGGAATAAGAAGACATTACTCGGGGCAGTAGTATAGAAATAACATAAATACTGAACGTTAAATTGTTCCAAAGTCTTTTCTATTTACTAGTGCTAATAGTGGAAGAAGAAGTAGCTGAAACCAGTGCAGCCTATGTAGAAATAGGTACCCAAGGAGTGGACGGATATGCCACTGTTCTGACACTTCAAATCAGGTTTCTACGCCTGATGTTTCGGATGGAGGAGGTCGAGGCATCAGGACATCTGGTAGAGATACACCGTTCAGGTCTTCGTAAATGACCGGGCCGCTAGCAATCTATGGTATCAAAGCTATCAGATGGAGTTGGTAGTTCAACGGGTGCATGGAACTACATAGTGGAAAACCCGCTGGTACCAGTGGGTTTCAAGGTCTGCACTCTCAAAGAGACTTCCGTGAGGGGTGTAGGGGTCTCGTAGCAAGAAACTGCTCTGACGGGTGTAGGGGTCTCGTTCAAAGTGAAATCCCATCAGTTGGTCAACCTCGCGAGAAAAAGAATCCCATGACTTCCTGTCATCTTCTTTGATGGCGCAATAGCTGCGTCTGATAGCCGGGAGTGCTTGCTGCATCACCGTCCGCAATGGCACTTCATAGTCCACCGTCAAATCCAAATCCCGCATATCGTTTGAGATGGCGAGTAACGCAAAGAGATAATCGCGGCGTTCGGTGGCTTGGAAATTGCCATCCACACAAATTTGGAGCCACTGGCCGAAGCTTCTGTGCCCATTTTCCCGTGCTTGCAAATGTCGAAGTGGAACGCTGGAGCCGGTGATACAAAGGAACTTCGTAAGATCACGATAGTAGTTCCTTAGATGGGTTTCCTTGTACCTCATATGAGGAATACACTCGAAGCTCTTGAGCGTATGAAAAGCTCGGTTAAGATCGGTATCGGTAATGGATCGAGACCCGCACCTCACCACCAAGGACCGGGACATATGTATCTCCTGCAATATCCATACCCTTCGCCAGTACGACCGATTGCATAGCAGCATGATCGCTTTCATCGTCATCCATGGAGGGTAAGTATCGAATGTCTGCTTGGGTTCAAGAGGCTCCAAAATGCGGGTGACGAAGCAGCAATGCTTCGGCAATGACAATCGCCCATATTGACTGCATGCCTCGAGAGCGTCAATAGCCAAGTCGCTGTACCATCCAGCAAGTCCCAGCCAGGCGATAACTAGCGCAGCCTGGCCAAAGATCTTCCCCATTAGCCGCACTTGATGTGGTTTTTCTCCATATTCTTGCCGTTGGTCGATACATATCGCATCAATCCACAGAGGATAATTGGCAAACTCGCCGGGTGATGCGCGGATTTCTTTTAGGGCTTCGTATAAATTCTTCCGAGCCCGCAGAGGGTAGCGGCTGTTGATCATAATAACGGGGTCGTGTTGGTCGTCTTGCAATCCCCATTCGTATGATAGGGCTCGGTAACGTGGCTTTTCTCCGAGTCGAGCAGGAATCATGGTAAGCTCGATTGGATCGTTGGCGTTGGAGCTGGGCAGGAGATAAACCAGGCGGATGGAATCCTCGTGAACTAACTGTTGATAAGTGTCGCTCGAATTGTTTGAGCTCTTACGCTGTCGGGAGGGGCGATTGCGGTAGAGAGACCGCATTGAAGCGCCAAGATTAGACCAAAAGCCGGGATCGGAGGCCATTGTTGGTAGCGCTGGCAGGTGTACTGGCGTAATGGCTTCCAATTCTTGGCCTTTCGGAAGATTCTGGGTGCAGCTGTGGGAATAGAAAAGGTCCAGTGTTGCAATCGGCGAGGATTGATTGTGAGGGATAACATGTTTACCGCCTACTGAGGTAGACAATGTTTTTGACAGGGAAAGTCAGCTCATGGCTGAATCGTGTAGCACACCTTGGGTTAGGAAAGCTTAGACTGTGTTTGTTTACGTACCTTTTCGTTACAGAAGCGTTCATACACCCTTTTTCATACGACAGTCGTACAGAAATGCTCGCGTTTAGCACCATGCCGTATAGAAATGCAATATGTGACCCCCTCATAACAGCCTTGACCAAGCGGATAGAATCCTCATATTCAAGTCACTCATACCCATCGTTTGACCATGACTGGTTCAAAACAAGGGAAAGATAGCCAGAGCCTGAGGCCATTTCTCCTGATGAATGTCGAATGGGTGCTTTGTGTTCCTCCCAAGAATACCTGGAGAAAGTTGAGGGAGAGGGGTAATGTGTCTTGGACTCGGGCAAAACAATACACGAGGTAACATTGCAACGTCGGACAGAGAGGTCAAGCAGCCAATGGTCGGCTGGGATAACCAACCTCGCGCGGCTAGACCTGCATTCCGTGGTAATTAGGAGGAAAGCAAGGTGAAGGAACAGATTCAGCTCCTAAACTACTCGTCAGGGCTAGAAGCGAAAGCGGCCCCGGAGTAGAGCTCTTCAAAAATGGAAATGAACCACGGGAGCTTTCGCGAATTCATCGGTAGTCGGGATCATCGTCATCGTCGCGCATCGTGAATCGAGATTGAGGGCGTGATGCTTCGAAAGTCAAGAGGTCGATACATGACCTGCTTGCCGGCACTTGGGAATTCCCCCTTGGCTGCGGCCTGTGCTGCGCTCAACGTCCAGGTGAGAATGATTACCCAGAATATGTTCAGGTGCTGTGTGCTGACAAGGGGCTTGGAATAATGTGCCATGACGGTCAACTCACGAGTCATCAAAACGTTCCTACAGTGGTCTCCGGAGGCTATCGAGGTTCCTCTGAACGACGGCTTGCGCATCCAAATCCTTCCCACCGTCGACGATCTTCTTCGTGCCCGAAAACATCAGTTTGCGGCCTTTGTTGCCTCGGAAGGCTTGCTCGTCGTTTAGGATGACGATCCCCTCCATCTAATTCCCAGAGCCAAGCATATCGAGTCAGCGCTCATGCAGCTCGTATGGAAGGACGGCAATGAGGTTGACGACGAGGAGGAGAGTGCTCCTCCCATGGTGGAACGAATCGTTGAAGTCGATGCGGAGAGCGGCGAGCCGAAACGAGAAAAGCGACCGGTTCACTTGCTCAACACCTATCTCGTCAGCATCACGCTCTTGATCGTTACAGTATCCCTTAGGTCCGCCTGGAGGCAGCTCGCTATTGAAGTTATGGTTGATGGTGACTTTGTCCGTCTTGCTCTCGTCGTCCTGGCACCGGTCCAAATCTTCTTCACTCTATTCTTCGCTCAGGTCATTGTCGACTGCTTGGCTCAGATATTTGGACCTATTCAACAGCTCTCGGTCAACTCAAAGTTTTACTCGGCCAAACTGCCGCCGAGGCTGCAGACCCCTACCCTACCTCACGTTACGGTGCAGTGTCTGTCTACAAAGAAGGCCTCACCGGTGTCATTGCTCCCACAGTCAAGTCGATCAAGCACGCCATCTCCACGTACGAGCTCCAGGGTGGTGCGGCAAACATGTTTATCAATGATGATGGTCTTTAACTGATCTCCGAGGAAGACCGCCAGGAACGAATTGAGTTCTATGCAGACCACAGCATCGGTTGGGTTGCCCGCCCTAGACACGGCGAAAACGGCTTCCAGCGCCGTAGCAAGTTCAAGAAGGCACCCAACATGAACTTTGCCCTCATGATCTCGTGCAAGGTGGAAGAAAAGCTTAGCCAAATCCAGAGATCCCCGGAATGGTCCCAGCATGACGAAGCTCAAGCCTGTGAGCGCGCCCTCCAAGAGGTTCTCGAGGAAGATGGCCGTGCCTGGACTGACGGCAATATTCGGATGGGCGACTACATTCTCTTGATTGACTCGGATACCCGTGTATCAGCCGACTACTTGCTTGATACTGTCTTGGAGATGGAGCAGTCCTCTGACGTTGGTATCATGCAGTTCTCATCGGGTGCTATGCAGGTTGTCCACACGTATTTTGAGAACGGTATCACCTTCTTCACCAATCTGATTTCCAGCGCTATTCGGTATACCGTCTCCAACGGCGATGTTGCTCCCTTCGTTGGTTACAACGCCATTCTTCGTTGGTCTGCCATCCAGCAAGTCTCGTACGGGGATGAAGATGGCTACGAGAAGTTATGGTCCGAGAGTCACGTGTCGGAGGATTTCGACATAGCTCTACGATTGTAGTGTAACGATTATATTATCCGTCTTCCTCCGTGAGAAATATTTCTAATGACGAAGTTGGACAATTGAATACGTGTAAGGGAAAAGCAGCCTCGCCGCGCGTGCTTTGAAGTTATTTGTCAAAGCTGTTTAGTATCCGTAGGTTCCCAGGACTGCAGGTAGAGCCACAAGTGACAAATAGGCAGTTAACAGAAACTGTAAAAATGGGCAAGGTAAACAGATGGTGAATTACCACTAACACTCTGTCTCCATCGCACCGCCCAAGCCATTGGGATCTTCAGCACCAAGACAATCAACCCGCTGACGCGGGATTCCATTTTGTACATCCATCAGCCCAACCACTTACTCCCTCACTCCTCCATGTCCCCCATTCTCCCTCTCCCCAGCGTCCCCATCCCCGTCCCCGTCCCCGACCTCCCGGTCTCCAGATGCAACCCACTCCAGGTCCTTCCGAGCCTCTGGCTCCTCTGGACTTCAAACCTCCTTGTCCTCACCAAATTCCACACAAACAACACCACCATGTACGTAAAAATCAGCACCATGGCACTAATCGGCCCCAAGATCGAAAACACCGCAAACCCATAACTCGCCCTCTTAAATGCCTCCTCTTCCCCAAGTGCGGTATCCAACCCGACCTGCATCCCCGACAGAACCACCACAATCCACGCCGTCCCGCCTATAACCCACGCGCTGTTTTGCACGATAAACTGCCCATATGAAGTCCATATAGCCATGAACCCCAGCGACAAAGGCCCCCGCGTGAACATGTAAATGAGGTTAAGTCGGTTCAGTCGTAATTCGCCGTAGATGAACCGAACGGCGATGTTCTTGTATATCGCGTCTGGCGAGGCGAGCAGCTCGTCCACGAAGAGACGCCATTGATCCCAGGTTACTTCGCGTGGGAGGAGGCCCTTGACGGTAGCGAGATCAAAGTCGCTCTCCCTTTGCACCAGACCAACATAACTGAACAAAAACCCAAGCGCTGCTTGCCGGCTTTCGCATCGTTTGCATACCCCCGCGTCATCCTTCTTTTGTGCTTTGTCGTTTGCTTCCCGGTCTCTTTCCCGTTCCCCATCACTCAGCGCCACCACTGCTCCTCGACAGCCCCCCTCGCCTTTACATGTCAACTCCCTTGTCCAAAACTCCCTCGTAAACAAAAACTTGCTGACAGGCTTCAGAAACACCCTGCCTCCTCCCCATACTAAGTGTTGCTCGAGCTTTTCAGTGACTATCGGCTCCCGATTCATAAGCACTTGTTGGTGCAAAGGGTGGGGCGGTACCGGACGCCCGGCTAGCCATAGCAGATGGCGAATGGAGTGTAGCCGGGAGAGGTCGAATTCGCGGGCGATAAAAGAGGGCGAAGGGCCTTTGTAAAGCGATTCGATGTCGTCGATTGCTTCATGAGGGCGGGTGTTGCGGTGCGAGGCTGGGAAGAAGTGTGTGTAGGATGTTGAGGAGGGAGGGTTGGTAGTGGAATAGATGGTGGAGTGGGTGGTAAAGGAGAGGGGAAAGAGGGCTGTTTGGGAAGGAGTTGATGATACCTGATAGGATGGACTGTTAATTCTCGGCGAGGACATGGACGTCAAGTGGAAGTGAATGATGAGGATGGCAATGGGTAGGACGTACTGTTCTGTATGTCATTTGGATTTGAGGTTTGGAACTGTCGGAGGATGTTATCCGGTTTGGACTTGAAGGGGGGTTTTGGTCCATGTCCGGCTCAGGAGTTATCGCGTTTATGGTGATGATGATCGTACTTGCGGCGTTGGTATTTCGTGCCGTTTCCCGTCTTCAGTCGGTGGTAGCTACGTCGATGTAGTTGCAATAGAACTTCAACTGCGCGGTTGATGCTTTTATAAAAGTAAGAAAATATATAGATAGAGCGTAATACCAAAAGAAAAATAAAAAGATCCCCTTCAAATACCCTCCATTACCCGCGCAACAGGACCTCCAGCCCATTAAAGTTTAATTCATTGCCTAAAGCCCATCGCGCTATCATTTCAACTACAGCAGCAGATGCACCATAGGGCACAACCAATCCTCCAAGTCTCAAATCGCTAACCTACTGGCGCCGTTGGTAGGCCAACCAAAAGTGTACCTAACCGAGCTAGTCTCGATGGTTACATACACCCAATCAAAGGCTCCAGCCTAGCACATAAGCCAAGTCAACATTGGGGGCACCAAACCCCTCATATCTAACCCCTCAGATCGAGATATCGACTTTTAACACCAAGCATTTGAGCCTCTGCCTACGAGAAGCGATCGGTATCAAACACTCCATCTGCGCTATCAAACATTTTATGTACGCTATTAAACACAAAGGCCAAAGCAATATCCACTTGGGAGTAACCCCGCTAACGTTTGTCAAAGGGCAATACGCAATATCCGCCGTACGGGTATATACTAGTACCATTCTCAGTCGTGGCCGTACAAGCTCCTCTCCCGGTAGCCGAACCTTGATTACCATGGACGTTAATGAAGGCATTTCTTTGGCGGTATGGACCACTGTCTTATGTCTTTTTGTCTGTGCGACCGCCGCTTGGCTTTGGTTCTATGCGCCAGCGGGTTCCGGTACCGCACCGTCGTCTCTAGCGAAGCCTGCTTCAGATTCTACACGATCCACGCAGCGAGGCGTCCATCTCAATCAAGTCAACAAGGACAATGGAGACACCGACATTGACATTATTGCTATCCATGGCCTCGATACAAAATCACCGGATACGTGGACATGGCGGGATCGGCGGAATCCCAACGTTAGCGTCAATTGGCTAGCCGATTTGCTCCCGGTCGACGTAGAAAAGGCACGTATCTTTACATTGGACTGGCCTGCCGACCTACTTCAACCGTCAGATTTAGTCCCGAAGCTTGATGACGAGATCGTTACGCTCCTAATTGATGGCATCGACAGAGAACTCTTGGCAAAGAACAAGACAAGAGACAGACCGATCCTCTTTATCGCTTCTTGTCTTGGGGGGATCATCTTAATGAGGGCTCTCACAACCCCCCCCAATCATGAATGCACCACGAGCTGTCATTGCCTCAGGAAAGCAACACGTGGCATTATCTTCCTCGCTACCCCGTTCCGAGGGACTTCGTTCCAAGAGGTAGCTCACTGGGCAGATCCAGGTCTGACCGCATGGGCATTAATCCGCGACCGAAAAGTGAGCAAGTTACTCGATAGTGTGAAAGGATCGACCTTTGAGCTTGAAGAACTCGTACGCACGTTCACACGATTCTGTCAGCATCCGAACTGGCCCTTTCTAGTATTCAACTTTTATGAACTCGGAATGACGAGTCTGTGGCGCAAGATATTCCCTTGGTTACCTACTTTGTTCTTCAAAGGAAAACCGGTAAGAAATTCTAAGTACTAGTGTCCCCCGCGCTATAACTAACGCTTGCCAGCTGGTTGGGAGGTCCTCAGCAACACTAGACATCGTCTTAGAGTCACTACCACTCGATCGGACCCATGGTCTGATGAACAAGTTCGGCAGCCGTGGATGCGCAGATTACAAGAAGGTTGCTGGAAAAATCAACGAGTTTATTGGAAAGATCCGTGAAGGAACGCCCCTCGCGCAAGCAGATGCCTGGATACGTGAGAAGTGCTATACTGAGGATAGGCTCAAGATTGAGCGGCTCTCAGGCACGAAACTGCCGATGGATCAGTGTTACATCAATCTTTTCATTATAGAGCGGACCGGCGAAGATAAAGACCGTTCGAACAAGAAATCAGCAAAAGAGTCGGTGTCGCAATCTTCCCCGTTTTCACTCACCGCTCGACTGAAGGTAGAAACGCCAGACGGGACAATTCAAGCCTACTTACCATCGCTCTTCAAGGAACGCGAAGGACCTGACGGTCGCAAAACGCAACCAAGAAGAATCTTTATTCGAGGACGCGCCGGAGCAGGGAAGACTACTCTGTGTAAGAAGATTGTCTATTCGTTTATGCATGGCGAATGGCCCGAATGGACTGAATTATTCGACCGTGTACTGTGGGTGCCTCTGCGGAATCTAAAGCTGGAAGAAAGACGACGCCAGGCCGGATACAACTTCCTCCACCTCTTTAGTCATGAATATTTTTCTAGGCCGAAGAGCAGAAAGGACCTCGCCGAAGTATTGTCCGATACATTGTTTGGTGTACCGGGGAAGAGGAGCAGGACTCTGTTTCTCCTCGACGGCTTAGACGAGGTATCGCAGGACTTGAGCGAAGGCGATATGTCCGGCTTCCTCAATGAGCTGCTAGAGCAGCCGAACGTCATCATCACGTCCCGGCCATACGGCAAGCCTCCGGCTGGCCTGGATCTTGAGTTGAAGACGATTGGGTTCTACCCAAAACAAGTGAAGGACTATATCAAAATGGCTTTCAACGACCAAGAAACAGCTAACCGCGCTCAGTCGTTTCTTAAAAGTCGTAGCTTTATCCAAGGCCTTATGCGGATCCCAGTTCAGCTAGATGCGCTCTGTTTCGCCTGGGACAACAAAAACGTCAATGACAGCTCGAAGCTTGACACTATGACGGACGTTTACCGAGCCATCAACCAAAGTCTATGGAAGAAGGATATCCCGCGGTTGGAAAAGAAGCACGACGACAAGCTAATAACAGCAGCTCGCATCCAACAGGCTGATCGGACCGAAGTTGAAAATCACGTTCTAAAGGAGATTTTGTTTCTGGAAAGCCTTGCTTTTACTGGACTGCAGAATGACATAATTGAATTCGAATCAGAACATCTCGGCCAAATATCCGACCGCTTTGTCCGCGATATTTCACCCAGTATGACAGTGCCGTGCCTCTCCTTTCTCCGAACATCAGATTCACCGGCGAAATTTAGCAACCAAACCTATCACTTTCTACATCTGACCTATCAAGAGTACTTTGCGGCTCGGTATTTTGTACGGCAGTGGAAGACTAATAAGCCCCTCGAATACCTGGCACTCCACGGTCGGAAGAATGAAAATAATACTTCTACCACGGCTATGCAGTTTCTTCGCAAGAACAAATACGCGGCCCGTTACGACATTTTATGGCGCTTTGTTGCCGGCTTGCTTGACGCCGAGGGCAAGGCAGAGGGGTTTTTCCATGCGATCGAGGACGAACCGCATGATTTGTTAGGTCCTACGCACCAACGGCTGGTTATGCATTGTTTGAGCGAAGTGTCAACCGAGATGTCACTGCGAAAGAGGCTGGAAGTCAAGCTAAAAGAGTGGCTACTCTTTGAATACAAATTCACAGGCAAAACACGTCTAGCAAGCGAGGCGGAATTTCCAGAGTCAGCTTTGTTGGACACCATGCAAGAAGTAGGGATCGATGAAAAGATCAGAATTTTGAAGTCGGTAGCAATACGACCAACGATCCCGCCATCCATCGTCATTCTGGTTACTTCTTGGCTGGAAGACGGCGAATTTATAACCGGGAAAAAGGATGTCTTACTTGCCTTGCAAGCCCAGTCCAGCTTATCCAACGAGCTCCTTGCTGCTGTAGTAGCACGTCTAGAAGACGATGACTGGAGTGTTAGACCGGCTGCCTTAGGTGTCTTGCAAGCCCAGTCTAGCTTATCCAATGAGCTCCTTACGGCTGTAATAGTACGTCTAGGAGACAAGAATGGGGGTGTTAGATGGGCTGCCTTAGGTGTCTTGCAAGCCCAGTCTAGCTTATCCGATGAGCTCCTTACGGCTGTAGTAGCACGTTTAGGAGACAAGGATTGGGATGTTAGGAAGGCTGCCTTACGTGTCTTGCAAGCCCAGTCCAGTTTGTCTGACGACCTTCTTAATGGGCCGTTTGTTGAACCGTTGTTCAAATTTCTCTTGCGAGGTAGCTTTGATGAGCAGTGGAGTTGGTATGTTATAGATAAGACATCTTGCATTAACATGCCAGAATGGGTTGGAAGGACTAGCATTGATAATGGAAAGGAGTTTATGAACATGGTGACGAGAGCAAGGGATTCCATCTACGGGTGTGACGAACGGCAGGTCTGATCTGCCTAAATGGGATAGCTGAAGGTAAAGACTATCAGGTGCTGTTCGGTATAGCCAAAAGGTATAAAATGAGTATCGCTTGCGAATTATAGATACTATTCTCGGTGGTGAACAACCTTTATTGCTTACTGCAGAATTATCTGGTTAGCTGGGTCTTCTTGTCCTTTTTATAGCTGTGAGTCATTCGGGTACATCGAGCTTGCGATCGGATCGTTTCGTTCTTAGTAGTTTGGAATCATTCTCATATAGGCTTGTTCTAGCTGAGGATGCTTCTTAGTAGGTTGGGATCGTTCCCATGTAGAATGGTTCTAGCTAGCTTTGGCACACACCAAACCAAACCTTATCAGCCTCTTTTTGTGTTAATTGTAACACATCTGTGACAAATCTAAAAAGGGTTAGTACGCAATATCAAAGAAAACAGCAAAATGATAAGGTACATACCTATTCCATAGACACCACGCGCGTTCTCGCTCGGCTTTGGTCTTCTTACAAAGCGAACGCTCATGTGTTGTTACCGTAAATTCGTCGACGTCGGCAAATGCTCTTCTTTTCCGTTCTTCGTCGTCGGGTACAGTCGGCGGTATCGGCGGTTTTTGTAGCTCCATCACTTCCGTATTGCATATGGATGGAGTGTGATCAGCACCGTGAGACTCAAACAATACCCTCTTAAGCTGCAACAGCTTACGAGCTCAGTATGTTTGGGAGGAGAAATCCATTAGAAAACTCGGAAGGAGGGTTTCATATGAAAACCAACGCAACCCTCGCAACGTAGGGGCCGTAATTCATGCGGTAGAAGCAACTGGGAAGAATGGATATACAATGAATGCAATGAGAATGGGACAGAAGTGTGCTTGTTTGGTTCAGTCGGGAATCTGAGGGTAAAGACGCAATATATATCTTGAGGCCCTTCTGACTCGCCTGAAGGGATATACGTACGAAAACTGCTCACCAAAGCCAACCACACCTCCCAAAAGCCAACCACACCTCCTAGTTAGAAGTATTAAGTATATAGAGTAGGTGTCAGGGGTAAATGGCAGGGGTAAGTACGTTGTGTAGTGTATGCCTAGCCTACTCAGCTGGGCTTGGCGTAAGTGGAACGGTGCATTCGACGGCGAAGGCAATGGGAAAACGGTTCTAGAAACGGGGGCGGCGTTTTCAGCTGAGTCATCCAAACCCCTGTCGAAAACGGCTCCCATAGATAATCTTCCGATATGTCGGCTTATCTATGGGAGCGGGAAGGACAGGAAACGGGTCTTTTAATCACGTGGTAGGGTCAAAAAACTGAACCACCAGCTCCCATATCCATATCGTTCGGACGGAGGCAAGACGGTAAGTGGGGAGGTGGCGCTTAAAAGATGAATATAATTGGGCGGATTACGAGAAAAGTTGACCGTCTTGACACTGCCAAGATTGCACTCGGTCAGTAGACGAGTCGATTGGCTGAGAGAGCTGCATGCCAGGGCTGCGGAACAAGGTGACGGCGGCGTTGAAAGCGACAAGGCAACCACAGCTCTAGGATCAGAAGCCGGCAGCTAGGGTGGGATGGCTTTAAGCCTGGGCGGGGGCCCGTGTCAGCACCCCCGCCCCCTGGCATACTTGCATGGGGCTTGGCTCGAAGCGAGGCTGGAAGCCTTGATATCAAAACAAACGCTACCTGAAGTGAACCCTCTGGTTACCTTTTTGGCATGTCCTCCATTGCAGCATCAAAGCTGCATTTGATCCTTGAAAGACGAAACGTTGATGTGGCACGCTGACATCAGGCTTGATTTACAGGACGTCGCCAATCCTACGAGAGAGAAGAGAATGTGTTGCGCCTTTCTGAGGCAGTGAAATAAGCTTTTGATAGCCGCCATTGTCTGGCTTTGGCGAGCATTGGCAGTGAAAATGAGGAGAAGGAGTAGTCGGGACCAACGCCGAATGACTTTGCGAGGCTGTCAGTCTCTCGTGTCCTGGCGCTTGAATTCACTGCACGCAATAACCAGACGATGTTCCAATAGGCTGCGGTACCTGGTTGGGATTGAATCCAGTTGTGTTACGAACTTAAGTGGGTACATAGGCCGACCAAGCCAGCGGGACCCGATAGACCCGCCAAGACCGGACCATGTAACCCCAAAACAGGGATTGGATCAGAAGGTGCTCACTGATGGACAGGTGCTCACAAGTGAGCAGGCGCTCACGGTGAGCAGACGCTCACAAGTGAGCAAGAACCCAAGGTGAGCATGAACTCAGGATGAGCAGACGACTGCTAGAGAATAGGATATAAAGGGACGACTGGAGAACTCAGATTGTTAGATAGTTCTGCAGTAGTCAACAGATCATCATCACTGAGACAAGTATAACGCTACCCTACTTGTTGTGAACCTTTTGGCTTCACCGAACGTCTTCTGATAGTCTTTACCTTCAGCTATCCCACTTAGGCAGATCAGACTGCCGTTCGTCACAAGTTGATTGATTCGGTCTCGTAGTTTGTACATACAGGCCAGCTGACGAGGTGCCATGATAATAGATGAGGGAAGATAGAGAGAGGAATAGCAAGTTAGAGGAATGAAAAGTGAGGAAGAAGAGGAAGAAGATAGGGGGTTGAAGGCAGGATAACGAAGGGTAAGGTTCGGGAGGCTTTGAGCGGACAGGTGCCGTAAGGGGTTGCCCTCTTATCTCTTCCAGTCTTTGGGAGCTCGAAGGAGACGGATAGAGGCATAAGCATAGACGGAGAGAGACAGAAAAGAGGCTTTTGGGGCGTAATAAACCCTGGTCATTGTCAGTGACTACAAATGAAGACCAGTGTGAGGCCAATCAGTGCTCCAAATCGAGAGCCTTCCCCGAGCTGGTTACAGGTGATTGCCGGGTAAGTCGCCGGAGAAGGTGTCTTCCGAATGAAAAAGAAAGGAGAGAGAAACCCAGATCACCCAGACAAGGCAGCAGGATGCTTGTCGTCAGATCCCTATCCCAAATTGTGTCGACGCCAATGCAACTTGTTCTTCATGTCTCTCCCGACAGCGCAACCATCCAATATCTGCGAGCGTCTGCATGACAACCACCGCAGATGATAGCAGTGGCACGGAATGGATAACCGAAAGGGCTTTTTAGATGCCAATCCACCATGGTCGAAGACGTCGTACTTCATCCAACATGGAGCGATAGGTGAAGAGAGTTTCTTCACGGATTGTGTTTCAAGATAAAAGTTCAGGATATCCCCCTATTTCTGGTTGCCTTATTCTCGCATTCACATCCTATCCTTGTATCATCAGACTTGGACATGCCAGTTGTCAACTCTTCAAGACCCTCATAGGAACGGACATCACACCACTCCACGCACACTCGTTCTCCTCTTCCGACTTTTGAACCCGAACTCAATCCGGATCACGTACGTATAGTCGAGAGATTCTTTGACCTTTTGGAAACGAAGCCATATACACGACATCCAAGAGACCTGAATTCAGCACCAGCCTCAATGGATCATACTAACCCCGTTTACCTGTCTCATCCGCAATCCGAAAAGGACTTTCTGGCTCAATACTACGCCAGGCTCTCCTTAGCGGACACGGGTGCAGACAAAAAATCTCCCATTCCTGCAACTGCCCCTTCCACTGTCACGGTTACACCTGAAGCGCCAGCCCAGCAATCCCAGATTGTCACAGAGACCACGGGCACAGAAGCTATAGGCCTCACCATCACCACAGTCACGGGCATCGCGGGCACATCTACGCGCACCATAACCGGACCGGACGGAACCGTCCTCGTCCCACCTCCCATCCCCGCCCACCCCGGCTGTGAACTCTCCCCGCAAATGGCCAAAGCGGTGAAAGACTATGCGATCGAGCATTGTTGCGACTACATGAAGGCCAAGAATCTGCTCAGAGATAAGGTAAGCAAACGAGTAGTAAAAAGTTAGATGAGGAACTGGAAACTTACTATCACTAGATCGTGGCAAAGGTCTTCGAGAACACTCAGGAGAAGCTTATAGAATTGTTGCAAAATGAACTTAATCGGATGAGCAGCGAGCAGGAGGATGATGATCTCGACCTTGACTCCGACATAGAGGAAGGCGACCGGACCTTGGAGGGTTAAGATCAGAGGAGGATTGGAAACCATAACGCCGCATAACGAACGATGTTCGGTGTCACGGTACTGGCGGATGGGTCCCGGTACGGCGGGACGTGCACGTGATGTCGTGCCGCGTGCACCGGCCATCTGGGCCCTGGGTTGAAACCCTGGGCGCCAGGCGCGCCTTTGCACGTTTCCCTCTTTTTCTTCTTTATCTTGTGATTCTCCTATAGACCTGGAATCAACGTGTTCAGCTTTGTCTCTTGTGACCACGTCGCTCGTAACATTCGGGAAAAGCTGAAAAGCTGAGCCCTACCCGCGCCACGGCCCCATAAGTGGTGCAAGCTACTAGGCCGCTACTGGTACACTATTGCCAATCCTGTAGACCCCGTGACAGAAAGCCACGACCCTCGCCCAAGTCGAGTTTATTGATTGGCGCCCTGAAGTCTCTGGGTCCAGAATGCCCCGCCTCTAAAAAGAAATGTCCTTTGGGCCATTGGCGTATAGTTGGGAGGGAGCCGCCAGCCATCCTACGCCTGACATGGTGAAACAGAAACAGACTCCACGACGCCTCATGCTCCACCATAGCCTTGAGAAAACATAGTGCTCTAGTTTCTTTTTATTTTGTCTTTGAGGGTAGGATAGAGGAATCTCCAGCATTTTTACCAACTCAATCCATTGATCGTCAACGGTATAGCATTTGCTGCCTCCAGGACAACACGATCAACACGATCATCCTCGAGTGCCTCATCTACGTCGCCTCGCTCAAGACCTTCGTTCCCTGAAGCTACGATGTCTCAACGACTGCACAATACGGAGGGTTGGGAAGACGATAAGGGCCAAGAGCAGCCTCACCCTGCACCTCTGCAACAAATTCCCGCCGCCACCGCTATGTCCGCTACCCCTATGCCCGCCCCCGGGCCCCCAGCGGCTCCAGCTACCGGTTCCGCCGATATAGAGACGTCCGCCGGCTACAAGATTTCGTGGAAACAACTCTTCAACAAACTCATCCACTTCTTCCTATTTGAATGGGTCTGCGTGGATAACAAAAGCCCGAAGCAGGTAGAAGTAGGCTTATTTCTTTCCCCCCTACGACATTTCAGAATAACGCTAACACCTATAAGAATCTATATTACAACTTTCCCATATCACGTAGCCATATTCGCTTACTTCAACTGTTGCCGTCTAAGAACAAGGACGCCGCAATACGCTGTAAGCTCTTTTGCACCGCATTGGACTCAAAAGACACCGCATTGGACTCAAAAGGCACTCGTCCGTACGAGGCCTTATCCTACGTGTGGGGCTCCAAGGCCAAGCCTTGTTCCATCTCTATAAACGGGTGCGACTTGGCGATCGGAGAAAACCTTCACGCAGCGCTGTTACATCTTCGAGATCACTCCATTGAACGAACTATATGGATAGATGCCATTTGTATCAACCAAGATGACGAAGAAGAAAAAGGACACCAAGTTCAATCTATGGCGAAGATCTACGCTAAAGCAAGTCGCGTAATTGTTTGGCTTGGAGAAGAGGCAGCCGGTAGCGACCAAGCACTCGAAGAAATACGCATCGCAGCCAAGCGCGACCAAGCACCCGAAGAAATACGCATCGCAGCCGAGCTATCTACAAGACGATTAGATAATAAAGCGGGAATCCTTACACTGCTTCAACGATCGTGGTTTCAACGCATCTGGGTAAGGAAACCGATATCAAAGTATTATGACTAAGGAAACTGACAGATTGATGCAGGTGCTTCAGGAAGTTGCCGCGGCTCGCCATATCCTGATCAAGTGTGGTTCTACTGAAATTGACGGATTTACATTCTGCTCAGGCCTAAAAGCATTGAACCTCTCCAATGAACTCAGCGCAGACCTGCAGGCTCGAATCCTTTCGGTAACCTACCTCATACGGGGCGCAATCTTCCGGCCCAAATACGTCTACGCAACCAGTCAGGCGGACAACTTTTCTCTTGACATACGCCCTTTGGGTGAACTGGTAGAGATGTACCACACCCGCGAAGCTACGGATCGTCGCGATAAAGTATATGCCTTACTCGGTATGAGCTCTGATAATCCAACCGCAGCAGGATTGTCCGCCGACTACACGATTCCGTGGAAACAACTCTTCAACAAACTCATCCACTTCTCCCTATCTAAATTGGTCTCTGTAGACCTTTCGGACAATGAGGAGATTGCCGTCATTGAGGGCAAGGGCTGCATTCTTGGCGAAGTGTCCTCGGTCACGAGAAATGCTACTTGGGAAGACAGACAAGATGTGGCCATTACTTGGAGGAACGCCTCCAGCTATCTGGTTTACAGGGAGGAAGAATTGGTCTTTTGCTGGACCCTCCCGACCACCGCAAAATCCGTCCAAAAAGGAGATCTTGTCTGCCTTCTTCAAGGAGCGTCGAGACCCACGATCCTCAGGCCATACAACGATCACTGGGCAGTTATAATGATTGCAGTTTCCCCAGCAGGCGATTCACAAGCTACGACCAAAGATATTAAGTGGCCTGAACTTTTACAATCGATAACAGTCTTTCCACACAATTTTCGACTTGAGTGGAATTGGGATATAAATCCAAACAAGCAGCAAGATAAAAACAACCACGACTACTTTGCAAGCATTCTAGTACCAGAGCATTCAAAGACATGGTGGGAAGGTTGTCTAAAGGCGGCGACTAGGATACGGAATGTCAGATTGGCATTACAAGAGGTGAAACAGTATGGAGTTGCAGTGAAGAATCTTCGGGAAGAAACGGCGGTTCTTGAGAGGGCATTGAGGAGCATGAGCAACCTAAAAAAGACTTGCTTAGGTCCGGAGGATTCAGAAGAGGAAGATGCAAAGGAAACAATGGTAAATCAACTTATTGAAGACAAGGGCCAATGGACGCTTCTATGCTTGGCGGTAGAAAACGGGCATGAGACGGTCGTAAAATTGCTTCTCGACACCGGCAAGGTCAACTTGCATAGGGAGGAGCTACGGACGGCGCTGTGGCTTGCGGAGCAAAAAGGCTATAAAGCGATCGTTAAGATGCTTCTCGATACTGGCAAGGTTGACGCAGGTGCTACGGATGAGAATGGACAGACAGCGCTGCATATGGCGGCGGTAACTGGGCATGAGGTAGTCGTTCAGCTACTTTTCGATACTGGCAAGGTTGACGCAGGTGCTAAGGATGAGGATGGGCAGACAGCGCTGCATATGGCAGCGAAGAATGGGCATGAGGCGGTTGTTAAGCTGCTTCTCGATAGCGGCAAGGTTGACACAGGTGCTAAGGATGAGGATGGACAGACAGCGCTGCATATGGCGGCGAAGAATGGTTATGAGGCGGTTGTTAAGCTGCTTCTCGATACTGGCAAGGTTGACGCAGATCCTAAGGATAGGGCTGGAGAGACAGCGCTGCATTTGGCGGCAATGAATGGGCGTGAGGCGGTTGTTAAGCTGCTTCTCGATACTGGCAAGGTTGACGCAGATCGTCGGGACCGGTATGAACGGACAGCGCTGCATTTGGCGGCAATGAATGGGCGTGAGGCGGTTGTTAAGCTGCTTCTCGATACTGGCAAGGTTGACGCAGATCGTCGGGACCGGTATGAACGGACAGCGCTGCATTTGGCGGCAATGAATGGGCGTGAGGCGGTTGTTAAGCTGCTTCTCGATACTGGCAAGGTTGACGCAGATCGTCGGGACCGGTATGAACGGACAGCGCTGCATATGGCGGCAGCGTATGGGGATGAGGCGGTTGTTAAGCTGCTTCTCGATACCGGCAAGGTTAATGCAGATCCTAAGGATGAAAATGGACAGACAGCGCTGTATATGGCGGCGAGGAATGGGCATGAGGCGGTTGTCAAGCTGCTTCTCGATACTGGCAAGGTTGACACAGATCCTAAGGATAAGTATGGATGGACAGCGCTGCAAATAGCGGCAGAGTATGGGCATGAGGCGGTTATTAAGCTACTTCTTGATACTAGCAAGGTTAACACAGATCCTCCGGACCAGTATGGATGGACAGCGCTGCATTTGGCGGCAAGGAATGGGCATGAAGGGGTTGTTAAGCTGCTTCTCAATACTGGTAACGTTGATGTAAATGCTCAGAACCAGTATGGACAGACAGCGCTGTATATGGCGGCAGAGAATGGGCATGAGGCGGTTGTTAAGCTGCTTCTCGATACTGGCAAGGCTGATGCAAATCTTAGGGATAAGGATAGACGGACAGCGCTGCATATGGCGGAAGAGAATGGGCATGAGGCGGTTGTTAAGCTACTCAGCCTTGCATCCTAAGAGGCAGGCTTGGAGGGCAACTCCACCTCGAGTCAGCCTTTCGCAATCTTTCCTCCTGCAAGAATTGATCTTGGTTACTTCCCAATCTTTATTGTTTACTCCCTATTGCTTCCTATCGTATTGGGAACCCCCCTGGTCGTCGTATATCTTAACAGCAATGTTGGAGGGACCGTAATGGCAATATCATGCAGAATGTATTCGCAGCAATCAAAAATGACAGAACCTTCTCGTATATTCTGGCAGGCGCGGAGGGCTCTAGCAATAATGCGTCGCTTTGTGCTTAAGCTTTCGGTTGATCTTTTCGGGTCCCAGATGGTCGATATTATGTCGTGGATTGTTACGAACTTAAGCGAATGCATGGGCCGACCAGGCCATCGGGACGCGACAGCCTCCCAAATCTCGAACCGGTTAAGTGAGTGTCTGACGGATTCGATGAGCGCTCCAAGCTCTGTATCCGTTTCTGTGCCAACCACCATTTTCAGGCAGGCGTGGAGGAGGGTTTTGCATGCTTTAGCTCTCTGGCCAGTCCAGCCAGGAATTCCGATGTCGTGAGCCATTTCTTGGTGAAGGTAGCTTTTGGCTTAAAGGACGTCGCCACTCCAACGAGAGAGAAGAGAATGTTTTGCGCCTTTCTGAGGCAGTGAAATAAGCTTTTGATAGCCGCCGTTATCTGGCTTTGGCGAGCATTGGCAGTAAAATGAGGAGAAGGAGTAATCGGGACCAACGCCGAATGACTTTGCAATTGAAGTTTGGCTGAAGTCAAACCGCGCAGTCTGACAGATCGGCAACGCTTCCTGTTGGCAGAAACAGGACGAAGGGGGCTTGCACGGATGGATGATATTGGGCTGGGCATCACGTTGCTCGGATTGAGGCGTTGCAGAGCCGGCGGGCGGGCTTGCACTTGCTCGCGCCAGCGCTGCGAAGTGTAGGCATGAGGCGGTTGTTAAGCTGCTTCTCAATACTGGCAAGGTTGATGCAGATCGTCGGGACGAGTATGAACGGACAGCGCTGTATATGGCGGCAGAGAATGGGTATGAGGCAGTTGTTAAACTACTTCGCGATACTGGCAAGGTTGACGCAGGTGCCAAGGATAAGAATAGACAGACAGCACTGCATTGGGCGGGAACTGTGTTTCTATATATAGCGGTCAGAACCCTAACGTTAGGGTTCCTCAACCGCCTGGTCGATGTGAGTAGTCTGCCATCACCGTGACACGTGTTACCTATTCTTGCCTCATCCCTTGACCCCTTCAGTACGGGGCATTCAGAGCCCAGAGGTCCTATCGACGTTGGACGCTCGGGCTCGATGTAGTAGGCGTCGTGTAGACGTATTGAACCTACCTCTACATAAGAGGTTGTAGTCCGAGACTTGTACTCTCCACTCAACTCTCCCCTCTAAACTTAGCTAGCTAGACTCATTACGTCTATCTCGCGATAACTCATCGTTAAAGTAGAAACAAAGTAGTAAAACGTATGTATAAAAGTGTAAACGCTTTTTCTTATTCAATAAAAACTCACTATTAGCCGTAATACTTCTACAAAATTACTATCCCTATATCCCGACAAATACTCCTAAATACCTTGACCATCTTTACAGGTACTTATATAACGTAATTAGAGGTACCCACGTCCACATTCTGTAATACAACCAACCAACCTTATCACTCTAAGCCCCTTTCTCCCTGACCCGGCGCCAAACGTACGGGTTTGCGTCCCCTCTTCGTTCCCGTAGCGTCTTATCCCTCGCAAAATTCCATTCAAACCCCTCCCACTCTACACCACCCGCCTTCGCCCTCTTGAACACCACCACAAAATCCTCCACCTTCAATCTGTTTGTCCCTCCAACTCCGGTCGGTATCAGCTCCGCCATGGGTTGGGCGAATGTCATTGTCTTTTCTGACCCTGTTTGTTCTGATGGGTTCTTGTCTTCGCGCAGCTCGCGGAGTAAGTACCCGTATCCGGTACCGTAGAAACGCAAGATCAGACCCCTTTGCTCAGCGGTTATAGTGATGAAGACGTCGTTTGTGAGTTCGTACCTCCCCTCTAAGCCCGCTGTATCTCTTCTGTTTGAAGCTGGGTCCAGGTCACGAAACCGTGATGCAAGTGAGTTTTCGTACCTCGCCAGGTCATATAGATAGTCAATTTGTATCGCCCTGGCCATCTTTTCCGTGTCTTCACAGGCCCTCTTCACAGCGGCAACAACAGATCCCGTGTCATGATGGGCATCTGACTCAGCGAGATAAAGACACTCAGCCAACAACATCCCGCTCAGGTTCGCAGCGTCGAGTAAGAACCCTCGCGTATTGCAGAGCACAACTACAGCTGTTTCGTGGTCGGGAAGTAGCCAGCAGAAAGACGTGGCGCCGACCATATTGCCGCCGTGGTATAAGGCGAGGTGTTTCTTGCTCTCGCTTGGGTCGGTGAGCGGGGGTTTTTCGGTTTCGGCGTTGATGACGAAGAAGGAGTAATCCAAATCATCGCCGTGGATCTTGCTCTGGATAGCACTCTCTAATCGTCTGGCGTTGTCACCGTCTGCGCCTGGCCATCGTGGTCTGGGTGAGGCGTTCCGCTCTTCGGGGGTCATTGGCACGGTGACGGTATTCCAACCGCCGGTATAAGTGCATGTGCTGTTGAGTGGATCAGGGGAGAGTCTTCTCTCTATATGACCGAAGAGATAGTTCATGCCGCGCTCGGGAGGCGTATTGAGGTGGTCCGGATAGGGAAGCAGGTTGCTATCCCGCTCCTCTCGTCTTTGGTTGTAGACATCCATAATCTTGCTGTAGAACTTGAGAAGGTCGGAGGTGGTGGACGTGATACCTGCTGCCGCGGCGAGTGGTGACGGCCCTGCATGACCGGCACTTGAAGCTTGGGATGGGGGAATCTCGACGGACTGTGGAATGTGGCCGTAGTGTCTGTCGAAGCATTTTGCGACCTTCGTCCTGGAGATTACCCCGTCTGAATCTGTACATTGCTGGAGATCAAACAGGACACCCGTCACTTGAACCGAATGCGACTTGGCAAAGGTCTTCGACATGTCATTTCTTTCAGCCTCTGTCAACCCGATAAAGGTGTTTTGCATCCCAAGTGGTTCAAAAACCTTTTTGCGAACAAATTCCGCCCAAGAATTCCCGGTCTTTCTCTCGATGATCGTAGCTAACAAGGCAAAACACTCGTTAGAGTAATTCCGCTTGCAGACAAAGGCCTTCTCAGACGTATAGGTATCGTTGGCTGGGAGATGCTGGAGTAGTGATATGACGGGACCTATTGTCTGCCATGGTATATCGCCATCGGGGCTCTCCCAAAGATTCGTCAGCCATTGGAATGAGGAGCGGAGGTCCAATAGGTCGGCAATAGTAAGCTCCTGATTGGTGTATACCTTTAGTATACCGGGACTGCCTTTGAGTTCCGGCAGGACTGTTGAGACTGGGGTATCGAACTTGAGCTGGTACTTCGGAAAGTCATCCATCAGAATGCCCATTGCCGTAGAAATGATTGGCTTCGACATAGATGAGATAAGGTAGACAGTTTCCTGGTCCGGAAGCGCAGGTACTCCTAGACCCTTGGCCCCCACATTGAGGAAGTCTTGTTGTCCATGGCGCAGGACTCCTATTGAAGCACCCACACTCCCGGAATCTCGAAACAGCTTCTCGAAGGTTGGTTTAGTAAGGGTCAGGATCTCCTCCACCGACAATACGCTACAAAGGAACGAGGGCTGCTTGGAAAGAGTAGTCAAATAGTTAGTATCATCGATGAAAGTACTTGTCGTTAGTATTATGGGTGAAAAACAAAAAAGGATGAAGCTCACCTGAATGCGGTCGCACATGATCGGTGTAGGTATTAGAACCCCGTTTGGAAAGGTTGATAGGGGGAAGAAAGATTGGTCTTGGAGTGAAACTCTTGGTCATTGGTCTCTTGGAAACTCAAACGGTTCCTGAGACGGGGCGGATCAACTAGTTAATAGAGTTGATATAAGGTTTATATAACTGAAACTGTAAGGACGAATGATGGAAAATAAAGCGGGAAGGGAAGGATACCGGTTCTTATATTTGGCGGTTTCTGTTATATCCACAATCTACAAATAGTTGCCGCTTGTTCTCATTCAACTGGGGTATATCTAAACGCGGGAACTACACTCAATATACTCTACCTTACCTTCCGAGTGAAAACGTACCTTGCACATCCCGAGTGGCAACATCAGAACAACCTCAACACAAACATCACCAAGACATCACCGTTCCTCCATATACCATCAAGATGTGCCACGGACATCCCGCCGGACACTCATGCGGCCCATGGCCAAAGAACAGCCCTCAAACGCCGGTTGTCCCTTGCAGAACTGTGACTTCAAGAACACCAACGGCAACTGGACATGCTGCCAATGCGGCTCCCCAAATACAACCGGGTGGTGTGGCGGCATGCTGCCGAGCCCGCGATGGGAGAGAAATGCCCTTACCAACAAGTGGCAGTACATCCAGACCTGCAATCACATGTGCTGCAGGAACTGTCCCAGAGAGGGTATGTGGTGGACCCTCCTCCAGTGACCTGAGACCTCGGACTTCGGTAGCAATAAGCTAACAGATAACCCAGCACCTGCTCCCGGCTCTGCTCCCGAAAGCTCCAGGAAGAAGAGAAAAGATTCCAGATGACGGATGGCAAGGAAATCCAAGGAGAGACACAGTCGGCACCAGGTGATGGACGCGATTTTGGTAAGGTAGGAACATGCGTCCCCGAATAAGCAGTTGAAAGTCCATGACAGTCACACCCGTCTAACACTGATTTCCTCTAGATCCTGAACAGGGCAATGAACAGGGCATCTGGACGCCTCATAGCGCTTCTCCAGGAGGAGCTGGAGAGGTTAAGCAGCGAGAACGAACTCATCGAGGATATCGAAGAGACGGATGAGGCACTATCGAACCTCAATCTCGACAATAGGAAGTCCGGGTGCCGTCTCTGAGGATGTCAAAACGACGTTTTCTGAAGATGTCTGGTAGTACTCAGAATCAGTTTCTTGCATGGAAATAGAGAAAGCAAGACGTATATTCTATATGTACCTAAGTATCAAATACTTCGCCCGTGGGCATCAGACGTCAAAACCCGGCCTTCGATCGGCTGCGTGTCACTTGCATAACAGACTTGCCAGTCGCTCTGCGTGATTTGCTCAGCTCGCCGGTCCCGCTGGCCGCCTTGCCTGCAGGTGCTCCCTAGATCTACTAGACCGTAAAAACCCAGTTGAATAAGAAAAAGTGGTATAAGAGATAGAAAGAGGTAGGAAGAGATAGGAAGACATAGGAAGAGATAGGAAGACATAGGAAGAGATAGGAAGAGATAGGAAGAGGAAGGGAGGGGAGCCCTCGCTATGCAAGAGTCTTCTTGTGACAGCCCGCGGTACGGCCGGAGATGATCCCTCTAAAGGCCTAATAAGTTCTCTAAAAGGGTATGATCATCTCGCTCTCGTCGTTCCTCCGTCTTCGGAACTTGCAAGTATTGACAATAGCCTCCGAATAGGCTCTACTCCAGCGGGGAGTACTCAGACCTCGTGATATCCTGCGGAGGAAGGGAATACCATGTGCATAGGGCCATCGTATGCACGCAGTCCGAGTTCTTCTCTGCAGCTTGCCGCGGAAGTTTCAAGGCTAGTGACAGTCCATATACTAGCAACGACACTAAACTAACATTATATTTAGGAGGCACAAGAAGGAAAGATTGACCTCCCAGATGATGATCCTCGACTTGTCCATATAATGGTACATTATCTATACCACTTCGACTATGACGTACGGCTACAACACGAGCGTAGTGGTTTTGATGGGTTAGAAATGGACGGATACGGAACCAACGTCAATGAACCCTACGCAACAAGGCAACCACGGGCAGCCCACATCTAATAGAACCAATCCAAAAGTTACGGCGTAGAATGACTTGGCTGTTTGTATGGTACTCCAATCGGCATTTTGGTTGAACTGGGCAAATAGGGAGGAGCTGGAAACCGTACACGCAAATCACTATATAATTCTCTCTACTAATTACACTAATTCGTAGAGCTATCTCTCCGTAATACCTTTGGATCCTCTCGAGCTTTCTCAAGAATCCCCCTCATCCGATCATACAATCCCTCGTCCTCTTTTTTCCACCTCCCACCGTTCGGAAATACTTCTCTCCGTAGTTTGTTGACCCAAGGTATCAACGGCCGGTAGTATGGCGTGAAGTTTTCTTCTGCCGATTCGATGAAATCTCCTTCATCATCAACTGTCGCCTTCTTCAACTTTGCCAACGTTACCGGGCTGGTATAATTCCACTGCTCAAACTCGTCAACAACCATGCTGTCGCTGTCGTTTGGCCCGTTGTAGTGGACGCAGATCCAGAACAGGACCCAAAAGAATGATTCGAGATCGTGCATGAAGGAATGTTGTTCGCCCAGAAGGACCCCAATTGCCATGAACGCCCTGGTGCCGGTCATGCCCTTTGCTCCGGAGGCACCTTCTCGTTCCTTTCTGACAGCAAGGTCTAGGTCGATTAAGAACGAAGGCCAGGAAGGGTTGTTGTCGTCCTCATTGATCATGAGGTTGTTGATGGAGATGTCTCTGTGAAGGAGGCCGGCCTTTCTCCATAGGGACTCGTGTCCGTCAATGCAGCCTTTCAACGCAGCAAGTAGGGCTGCTCGGGAGCTTGCCTTATAGATGGGTCGGCCATAGTCGCGAACAATGACTCGCCGACGTACCCGATTTGGCAGCGCATCACTGCTAGCCTGGGTCGTACAGGATCGCTTGCTGGAGGGTAAAGCGGCGTCGGTTTGGCTAGATGACCGTTTCTTGCCAGCCATGCTAGTACTGCGGCCTTTCCGCGAGGCACTGGCCGTAACCGTCCTGGTCGGCGGCGTCGAGCGTTCCGGCCTGTAGTTCTTCGCCGTACTAACATCCATTCCTCCCCGAACGTTGCTTCGGATATCGTCATCGGCTCCGCGCACCTGGACCGTCTCGTGGTGATAGTATCGAGCTACGTTCACTACCCCTTTATCGGTCGCGTCTCGCAGCAGCTCCCCTTCCTCGTCGCGCTCAGGGTACTGCCAGGAATCCTTGATGACTAGTGGCGTCTGCGGGTCTCCCTCGGGATGGGCCTTCCAGCAGGTCGTTGCCCGGCCGGATATACAACGTGCGCGTAGCATCACTTTATCAATGATGAGACGCTCTGTTGAGTCATTCCTCTTGATCTGGACGAACCGCTTGTCATCCTCCTTTATGATGGATGGATCGAACCCAAGCTCCTCCTCGCTCATCCAGAGAAACGCGAGGACCGTTGATACGAACTGTAAGCCCTCCCTGTTGATATCGAACTGTTTGGATGCGATGGCCCCGAGCCGATCAAACTCCCATATCCTCATGAATGATCCACAGATGGTAAATCCCAAGACGAAGCGTCGACTGTCCTGTGTGTCTTGAGCAGCGAACACTTCCCTCGCGTATTTCCCGAGATCGAGCCATGCGTTTGACGCTATATCGGCAGAAGGATTGCTCTTCAGCTCGCCCGGTACGAGGACATGCGACCAGCGCCATTGCGTATCCTTTCCAGCCTTTGAGTCATCCACGAAGCCGACATCCAATTTGCGTTCCGCTATCGAGCCGAGGATCCGTTTGTTGGGTTGTACCAGCAGCCTTCGTCGAGGCGTCGGTGTCTGATTCGGATTGTACTCTTCTGCAAACATTGCCAGTTTCTCGCTCAGTTCTGCAAACCAGTCCAGGACACGGTTCTGGTTCGCATCTGTCGGCCACCCGCACCAACCATTACGGAAGAGTGGTTCGCTGCCTTCCGTGCACTTGTTGAAGACGGCCTCTGATGCTGTCTTAAGACCCGCCACCCGACCGAAAAAGATGTCATGGAAGTCAGGAAGGTCGACGTACATAGCGCCGAGCTCATCCTTGAGGACCATGTCCACATGCTTGCGATACTCGGAGGAGTTTGCGAAGCTGCTCGTGTTGATAGACCGCGGAGTTTGACGAAAGTAAGATGCTGTCGGTCGGGGAGGCGGGGTGGCTTCGGTAAGGGCACAGTAAACTTGGCGCCAGATCTCATCGTCGGGCTTGTTGGTGAGGACTGCATTGAAAAGCGGTTCGAATTGGTCCGAGTGGAAGTTGTTCACGTCGTCGGAGTCGAGGGCGGGTAGGCGTCTCAACAGATCGATTCGAAGGGTGCCACTGCCCGTATTCGAACGTAGAAGACGGGTAATAGGGAGGGTTTGGAGTGTGTCCAGAAGACTAAACGCAAGACCCCGCAAATCTAAACAGTGGTTAGATGGGCATCTCGGCAACGTGGGCCTGTCTCCCTCACCTTTGACACCTTGTGGGCCCAGCTGACTGAGCGCGTCTGGCGTAGGACAGGAGATGCCCCTGTCTTTACAGACTGATTCGAACGAAGCACGGAAGGCATCTAGGCCTGTGCCGATGGGATGTTCTCGGATGATCTCTGACTGAGGTCGATCCGTCATGGCGATGGTGATGATGTTCTTGAGACGCGGCTATGGAAGGGCTAGTCTTATCACGTGGTCAACTGTCAGATTGACGGACGGTTGAGACTTTGGGAACAATAGGTTAGGAAAATGATTGATTGGCGGCTTGGTTGGAGAAAGTAAAATGGGATGATAACTGCATTCGCCAAAAGTAGTTTGAAGAGGAGAAGACAAGAATACAAGGGAGCCTTGCACGGAGTGTTCGAAGGCTCCATAACGCACGTGACTCAAAGAGTGGGTCACAAACGAAAGAGTGGATGGGGTGGCCAGGTGACGACCCAGATTCAGAGAAGAGTGGGGCCTACATACGGATGAACCTATGGGTGTGCGGATCACATTCCTATGTACCCTGGACGTCAGATTCGGACCAGTAGACTTGAAGACAGCCAGCCACTTAAATTTCATAACAACTCCTCTAGAGACCGAGTGAGATTTTGGCTCTGTGTTGCCAACCGCCTGCTGAGTGCGATATGCAGGCTGCCGGCTTCGGATCTTTAGAGCTGTGGTTGGCTCGTCGAACGCCGCCCACTCTGCAGGCATCTTCCTGTTTCGCAGCCCTAACCAGCTTCCCCGTATGCAGCTCTGAGCCAATCAATAAGAGCTGCCCCACATCCTGGTGCCTGAATGGGACGGTCGGATCTACCCACTCAGCGGCGGCGTTTGATATTACTGGTAGGAGCGACAGTTGCAGGTTTGTCAAGCCTTGTCGCTAAATTCTTTGCTCACTCTTTTCACGTCAACACCATCTCCGCATCTTCCCACTACATACAACCATCGTCCTTCTTCCGTTCTTAATTCCAGCCGTTTCAAAATGGAGGCGCTTAAGAGCGAAATTGAATCAATCAAACTCCAAATCCAACACCTTTGCAATTTTGCTGAAACCAATTTGCAAAAATCCACTCCCTCTTCTTCCTCCACCCAAACCAACGTCATCTCTAGCGCCATCCAACAAGTTCTTGAGGTATTGAATCGCATCGACAACAAGCTCAACGAATTAACAACCACATCCTCAACATCCTCAACATCCCCACCATCCCCACCATCGATACCATACTCAACCAATACCGCCAGTCCTCCTCCTATCCCAAAACTTAACAGCATCGGACCCAACACCCTCCAACCGTTCACGAAGACAACCTCGGGCTCAATCTCATCACCAACCTACACAAACTCGAAACAGATCCCCATTTCCGTGGGAAAGTCTGCGTGTCCATCGCAGACTTGGGTATTGATTGGAAAGATCTTGCTAAACGAGCTCTACCATTGCCGGATCATGATCAATTCGCGGTCCAACACGATCGGGACGATGACGGGTTTTCACGGCTATACCTTTCTCACTCGACAACAATGACTTCCATCAATTTCGATTTCGACCTCAACCCGCTCACAGATGACGAGGCCAAGCAATTCCTTCAGAACATTGTTGAATCTCCTCCTCAAAACACCATACCCTACTACGTCGGGTCTTTTAAAACGTCTAGAACACCACTTGCTTCGCTCTTCACATCCGGCGCACTTTCGATACTCGGCGACCTCCCTGGAATCAATACCTTGTACATGCATATGGGCGAGCGTGGCTCAGGGACCGCTTTCCACTGTGAGGATGCCCAATTGCGCTCCTATAACCTCAATATTTTTGGGTGGAAGCTCTGGATAATGATCGACCCGAATGATACTACCAAATTTGAAAGGATGCTTGCGACCAAATGGGCGCTCCACAAATGCGACCAGTCTGTACGGCATCTGAATATCATGGTAAGTCCGAAGAGGCTACTCGAAGAAGGAATCAAGTTCGATATTATTCGCGCTGGCCCCGGCGACCTGGTTATAACACGACCACGACAATATCACGCAGTTATCAATCAAACCCCGTCTCTTGCTATAGCAACCAATTTCACTTTGCCTAGTGAAGAGGCAATTCCACGTGGATGGATTGTTTGTCCAGAAGACGGGTTGTACAGTCTGTCCCATGGCAACCTCAAAAAGCTTTCCCATGGGTCCCCCACCAAGAAACGGAAATCAAACTCCACCCTTCTACTACACAGCAAAAGGCAGAATTTTGGTCAGTCTCGAAATATTAGCAATGTTGTCGGTAATAACGATACTAAAGGGAGGGACTATGAAGAAAACGAAGAGCAGGACAAGGAGGAGGACGAGGAGCAGGACGAGGAGCAGGACGAGGAGCAGGATGAGGAGCAGGACGAGGAGCAGGACGAGGAGCAGGACGAGGAGCAGGACGAGGAGCAGAATGAGGAGCAGGACGAGGAGCAGAATGAGGAGCAGGACGAGGAGCAGGATGAGGAGCAGGACAAAGGGCAAGACAAGTACCAAGAGCATGGCAACAACGAGAATGGCAATCAGAATAGCGACAATGACACTGACGCCGCTATCAGTGTCGGTTGCGGTGATGCCCAAATCAAAGTTGACAGCAACACGAAGGATACTAATGCCGATACCGATATCGAATCAGGTCGTCAACTCGCAAACCTAACGATAGACAAGGGTGCGATCTTGCGATTTATGTCAATCGTATACGCTTGGGACAGTGCGGACGATACATTGAAAAGCTCGTTCGCCTCGAAAAAGCCTACGGACGGGTTGTCAACTGCTAGGCACTACGATCATCTACGACGAAAAGCACAAAATCTCAGTATTTTGTACACCGTTTTGGGCATGTCAGCCAGTTTTCGGCTTTCCAAAGTCATAAAAGAAAATCAACATCGACATCGAATAAGCGGAAGTTGTATGTCAGCTGTGTTAGCAGGTCGTGGCATCGAAGACACTCCTGCAGCGCGGAAGGCATTCACGGCGGAAATATGTCAGGCTCGGAAGATCATGAGGATGGTAGAAGGATACGATGGGCTTCTCTGCTTTTTACCCCTTGGGTTTGGTAGTGGGTTCACATTAACAGCTTTGAAGAGGTTTTCGAACAAAGGCCTCGAGACCTTCCGTGCCACCATTGCTCGGTATAAAAGCCTAATGTTGTTAAGTGAGGTGGGCAATGAGTTTCTACTTTCTGTTTGGGGTGAAGGAGAGTTCAAGGAAAGATTGTTCCAAAGGAGACAGCTTGGCGAACTGCAAAACCTACCCTACGAAGACCTCATTAAGTTTCTGACACCCATTCAGCCCGAGGATGGTATATAAGGTAGTCTTATAAGGCTGGACATTACGTTCAAAATAAGCAGTATCAACCGCGGCTGTATTATTATTTTTTCTGCTAGTTTTTGTTCTTAATCAAGTCCGCTGTAGTACAGATAGTGGGACTCGGATCCCGAACACGTAAATCAACCCTGCAAATCTTGTACGATAGGTGCCATAAACACCATCGTGAACGCAATTGATCTGTAGAATCGCGTAATGAAAAGATGCTAAGGATGTGCTTGGTTGTGGTCGCCTTCTAGTAGAATAAAATCCAACTCCGACAACTCGGACGTTCGCTTCGGAAGCCGATAGTCCGTTTATTGAAGTGTCGGGTGCTCCATAAGGTGTTGAATATTCCCCTTCTAACTCGTTTCATACGTAGGCACAAGAGAAAAGTTGGGACAGGTTCCTGTTCCGGGCTGAAAAATGGCGTTTGCTCGTTCTTTTCTCGCATCTCTTTAATCAATCAATCCTTCGAGAGGTGCGGAAATGTAGCAGATAGTGATTGTGGGGAGCTATGTTTCTAAATATGGCGGTCAGAACCCTAACCCTAGAGCTGTCTGAGACAGCTCTAGGGTTAGGGTTCCTTAACCGCTTGGTCAGTGTGGGTAGTCTGCTATCACTGTGGCACGTGACTAAAACTAATGTCTCGCTGAAAATCAGTGAGGGTGGCAGGCAACGCCCCAAAGTAGTTTAACTTAGTTGTAATGATTTTCTAATATTAAAGGAAATATTTATACACTATATAAACTTTTTTATATTATAAATAATTTATAAGTTTGGTTGCATGTAAGTAAGAAATTCGACTATATTCGTATAATATGAGTTTTCCGGTAGTTTTTATCGTTAGCCTTTAGCCAGCTAAGTATAGTTTACCACAAAAACAAAGAAATGATTTTCCAAACTAGTATTCTACACCTTCTTTCTCCTACTATTTCCGAGCCTTCCTTATCAACCTTTCAGACCTCCGAGGTATCACTACTGCTTCATCGAAGGTATCCTTCTTAAGGGTATCCCTCTTCCGTTTGCAAGAGACTTTGTTTGGGACTTTAGGACTCTTCAGCCCTTCAGCATCATTTAGACTCTCTTCAAGAAGAGAAATAAAGTCTGAAGAGGTAAGGCGGATAGGCGGGGGGTTAGATGAACTGGTAGGGGGAGTAGGGGACGGGGACCGGATCAAAGGTAGCATGGGATTAACCGGAGCCGAAAAGTCGGGTCCCAAAAAGTTGGGCGTGGAGAAGTCGGGCGTGAAGGAATCCGAGCTGGCTCCATCAGAATCTGGAGTCATAATCGAACTAACTGTGTCGTCCAAATCCGGGAGCGCTTCTGGCAAATCCACCATGGCCGTAGGGTATATGCGGCGTGGTTGAGGATATTCCAGAGTAGGATAAGGTGTAGGGGATCGCCTCTCCACAATCCCGTGTCCGTGGCGTATTTTGTATGCCATGCTAGATACGCGGAGGTTAACGCTGTGATATGCTGAAGCCATGACCGAGAAGTGCGGGTGAGGTTTGTTGATGGGATAAATGTTGCCAGGCAATTTATGGGATTCCACACAGACAACAATGTGCCAAGTGCTCCCTGGCATACCCCAGATGGGGGTTCCTTGTTTGTTTTCGTCGTCTTCGTCTTTCATGAGACGCCAATCTCTAATATCACCATTATCATCGGTCTGGCCGGAATATATGTCGGTTGGATGTAGCGGTTCGACGAGTTTAAGAGTAGCATAAACTCCCTTTAGCGGTCTGTTGGTAGAGTCTCGGACTTGGCAAGTGATAGACATGTTGAAGAATAAAGAAGTGGTCGTAGAAGGAATAAAAAGACCGGATAGCTTGAGTAGTTGAAGGTGGATAATAGAGGATGGTTACGGGTATATATACGTATATGGTTGCTGATAGGAGGTGGTATTCTATCTTTGGATTATCAGTTGGCTATCCCCTATTTTCGCCACCTATGGAATATATCACCTTTTAAAGTCTAGTTTCCTTTTCGCTACATTCGAAATTTGCAATTCAATTCTGCCATGACCATCATTCGATCCTTTTGTTACCGCGCTAAGAATTCAAGCGTCTTCTTGTTTTAGTCCGATTTTTATCTCTTCTGAATCGTCAGCAGAGATACGACCAGACGGTGGATTCGTGGTTACTATAGTTTGATATTGTCGGAATGCGCCAATAATTGTCGTTGCGATATTTGTAACCATTTCGTCACGCTGTTTTAATTCCCGTGCAAGATTCCGGCGTGGTAGTAAATAAGACGACTCTAACTGATTCAGCTGGTGTAATAACCTTTGATTTTGAAGTTTAAGTTTTTGATTTTCTTGTTCTAGTAAATGTGTATAAATTATTTCATCTTTTTTCTTACGATTTATGTTTGTCTTTGGTAATGATGGGAGGCGTTTATTTAGACTCATCGTCTATTAATTTACGCTGTTTTTTTTAAAAGCTCTGTAACGTTGACAGAAAGGCTCTCCAATCTAGAAGCTACGGTATTTATGGATTCCAATGCCGTTTCGGATATCTTAGAGATTCTCATTATGTCGTTTTTAAGAACCTCCAACCGTTTATCTCTTTCCTGATCCCTATTCATTCTGTCCAAAAGACGTTCGATTCTTGCGCTTCTAATTAATTCTAATGTTAAAATCTGAAGTTGGGCATCTTGGTCATGTCTATGTTTGTTAATTGAGTAAAGATAATATAATATAGTAGGAAGAAATACCTTTTGCAATGTGGACACGCCGAATCAGTTGGATCAAACAGTGTTGGCAACCGCGTTGATTGTGGTGGTGGAGGAAATAAGAAAGCTTCAGGATTTAAATCCTCGAACATTTGTAGATCTACAGGGTTATCCATAGTGCTAGTGTTCGTATGGAGAGAAGATAGAATGGGCCAATATAATGAGTAAAACATAAAGTTTAAATCTAAAAACCAGCTTCTATCGTCAAAGACGACTATATATACCCCTTCTCTCTTTTGATTTATGCTGTATACTTGGTTTCTTCTTCAACCCCTCTCATTACAATTACTATGTTCTATCCAATCAATATGCTGTGGCAATTTCTCTTCTTTTACGTCGCTGTTGGCGCTTCTATAAATAGCCTTTGTATTGTAGATCCTCCATTACAATTAACCCCTGGATTCCCTATTCGTGCTATGTAAATTCAACGCAAAAGCTCCTAGTAAAGTATTTAGCTAACTTTTGAAAGTGGAAATGCAAAGTCGCTATGCGACGCTACTATAATTACTGCCGACGTCGAATACGTAATCCCTTTCGAATATCCCAATTGCCCGCAACTATCAGTATTTGAATTCATTGTACCAACTCTTCCAAGTGGCGATGCGCTTGTCTTTTGGTATTTCTCTCAAGTTTTCGATCCCTTTAACATAAACTAACCTAAGTTAGGCAATGTGGCGCATCTATTGAAAACTGTCATCTAGCTGAGGTTACAACTGGTGACGCTATGAAAACCATACCCGTTCAAAATGGGACTGTTCGCTGTCTTAATGTTTTATCGGATACCATAGAGTCATCTACATTAGGTACTACCCGTAGCTCCCTAGGTTTATCTTCTAAAACATCTACGATAGATAACCTGGGATCAAGCCAACCGACGACTGTTTCGTCAGTATCCACTTTGTGTAAAACAAGCATAACCTCAACTATTACAACAATTCCCTCTCCACCGAACGACTCTGTCTCATTAAACAATACTAAACTTCCGGTTACAACACTCGTCTCCCACCTCTGGAATAGCTCGTTTACGTTAATCCCATCTAGAACTCACGCAATCTCAGCTCTTATGTCAACATCCGATTGTTACCCCTCTTTACCAAGTACTATAGAGATTTCGAGTACAGCGCTCGCATCACACCTGTGGCAAACCTCCTTATCTTTATCCAATGAACCATCAAGCATGCCAACAGTCTCATCACAACCAGTTTTTGCAAGGGCGGTAAAAAATCTTCCGCATGCTGGAGTGATCATTGGTGCTGCGTTCGCAGAATTACTAGCCGCTTAGTTCAAGTGTCCCGAGGGAACGGAACGCTAATTTAGTTTGGTGCACCCCAGAGAAAGTGGGTCTGTTGTAGAATAATTGGATAGTATACGGTTGGAAGAAACATAGCATCTCAAAGCGATAGCCTAGTTATACAAGGATGACTTGACGATACTGTATATCTCACGGTGTTATATGTATTAGATATCACCAACAGGTGAAAATTTTCTTGAATCTAGAACGGATACCTTGGATGTTTAGAAGTCTATAACTCAATAGTGTGTATCACTTCTAGTTCTAGTTCTTTTGAGAAGGGCGAAGGTAGCAACCTATAGGAAGATTCTTTTAATTTAATATTATTACGATAGGGTGTAGTTAAATGTATCTACGTACTATTTTGGGCGCTTAAAATAAACCAAACATTTGTCTTGGAAACATTGACTCAATATTGGTCCATGTGAAAATAGAATTTAGACGCTGGCGCTTAGGACGATTCGTGCTTAGTCCAATAACAAATAAAGAGATGGATAGGGTCAAGCGTTTAAGAAAACAGGTGGCCTATAAATATCAGTAGGATAGATGAAGAAAGACAATAAGGATCGTAGTAATTATTTGTCTTTACAATATGACGTCCCAAGCACCTCTTTCCGAACAATTACTCGTTGTAGAAATCGAAAGGAGGGTCGCGGTCGAAGCGTACTGTCAATTATTACAAACTCAATTACGTATGCTCTCTACCGAAGTCGCAGAGGCAAGAGCACAAATCCTAGCATTGCAACATTTGGTAAGAATCTTGAAATCCAGTTTAGAATATCAGCTAATTGAACAAGATACCATACAATGGGCCAATATCAACAGAATGTCCACCACCACAATATACGTACATCGAAGAGCTCGCTTTATCAGCTCAAGAGTGCCAAGCAAACCTTGATAATCCGAACGAAGAAAACTCTTCAAGATTTGTTTACGATCCGTTGGTGGAGGAATTTCAACCGCTTGAAGACGAACATAAGGATAGGCAACAAACACACTAAATGCATTTTCAAGGATTTTAAAGCTAGCTAAGAATACGACCTACCAATAAGCTAAATAATAAGGAGAATTTTGGTAATATATAAAGAGATGTGACGTAACGAACGCCGAAAACCATTGTAGAAGAGATCGAACAAATCTCTACATCTTTTCTATAAAACTTCAAATAATAAATTGCCTTGCCAAATTACCCTGCTAATTCTTTCTCGTCCTTTGGTCCGCATACGACCTTCTATTTTCTATTGGTGCCCCCTGGAGTGCAAATTCAAATTCGGCCCTTCGTGGCTCTTATACCATTAAGGAATTCAATATCCAGATCTGGCTTTGAGATTATTTGGAATGGAAACATCTGTACCTTTTCCAATAATCCAAATTGTTGGAAGAACGGGACGGAAACAATTACGATTAAGGATAAAAAACTAAGATTAGGGTAGAACTTAGACTAGTTATGATGTTAGTTTTGTATTTATTGAAATTTATTTGTGGTGTTTAGGAACTGGATAATTGGTAACAGTTTTGTTAAAATCAGAAATGAGGATATAGTTATCTCAAGATATTTAACATTTCAGTACTCTCAATATGATTCAAAATTGTCACGGATTGCACCCAGATTGTCTGCCACCGCCGTTACAAAATGAAGTATACCTATACGTCGTACAACCTTATGGTAATCGAATCGAACAATATTCCAATGCAATGGAATATTATGGCAGCAATCTCTACCTGGCTATTCCTTGCAGGATTTATATTTTTACCAGGTACATTTACTTCTCTACAAAGTATTCAATCTCAAACTCGTACAGGAAACATAGTTAAGTCTTTTACTGCGAGCAATATTGTACTCCTTGTATTTTCAATAATATTTTGCGTAATTGCAGCGAGTATAATAGGAGCCTTATGGCTCCGGTACCATTATAATTATATTTGGCTATTACATCGCTTATTGTAGTAAGTACTTAACTTGACATCTATTTCTTCTATAGCTAATTTTGTAAGTCCTTTAGTATTGAATTCCTTAAGCGGATTAGCTACTATCCTAATTGGAGTCTATATTTCACATAATGGACACTGGTCTAAGACGGCGATATACACAATTAGCTTAGTATCTTCAACTCTGGTTTCTACGATCTTAATATCTATTATATATGAGTTCTGGTTTCTTAGAAGGATTTCCCACTAAATTACACCAGCTCGTTCTATTTAAGAGCGAAACAAAGCTTCTTTTTAGGGTTATATGCCAAAATATAACTTGATGGTAGGTAGAATATTAGAAAGATGTAGACAGGCAGTTTTCAAATAAAATACTATTAATAATACATTGTTATTATTAACTCCCTTGACATACTATAGTAGTTCTCTTTCCTTCTTGCTCTTCCTTCCGCTCCATACAAAAGAAAGACGATCTAGCTCAGTATATGAAAAGTCGTAGACCTGAAGATAATTGAATTTCAAATGCTCTACGACTTATAGTTTGTTATTCCTCCTCGTTGTTGTCACGGGACTAGCCCGTGCCTTGTCGCGATGTGCTGTCGCGGTTGGCACATGTGATTCAGCACTTGTCATGAGCGCGCATTTCGCACGCACATGACAGGCACGTGCAACTGCACGTGATACCAGCCTGGCCATCTCGCACTCTCTCTTGCTCTCTTCATACAACCACTTATATCCTACATAACCCCTAACGTCGTTGTCGCCCGTGATAGTTATCAATTTCTGGTTTACCTCCTAAATTGTGTTAGCGTTACATTGATTTATTTAAGAAAGAACATATTTACGTTTATCTGCACGCGACCGTCCTAAAAGCACGCCATATACAATGATCTCAACGGAGTAATCGGCTATAGGCAAAATTGAAAAGCCTGCATAGGGATTTTTGATAGGACAACTATTGTCATCGGACTTGGAGGCATCCACAAAATAAACCATGCGCCAAATATTTTTTGCGTCACCTTCGGACTCCAGATTGGTGTCATCTTCGGGATCTTGATCGGTGTCATCTTCGGAGCCCAGATGACGCCATTCCGTAATATAGCCATTAGCGTTGGTGAAGCCGAAGTAGGATGTATACGGCGATCTAAGTAGGTCAAGAGTAACATATAATCCTTCTAGAGGGCGTTGATAAGAGTCTCGAGCTTGGCAAATAATTGACATGCTGAAAAATGATGTCGGGTTGTTGATAAAATGTACAAAAGATATTAGGGGAGGAAGTAAGAAAGTGATAGGAGAAAATGAAAAGCAATATATAGATATATATACTCGGTATTAGATATTTCTCTTCTCTTTTTGTATCATTGTGAATCCCTAATCTTTGCCACTTACGCGTCTTACCTTAGGTTGCCTCCTCGCTTTTCTGATAAGAGGCGATTTAGGCCTAACGAATAGAAATACGTAAAAAAAAAAAAAGCCTTAATTTTTCTTTTAGCCCTATTCCTTGTCTTTCAATTGTATCGAAGTACTCGCGCTAACGTTTCTAATTTTAGCACAAGTGTAAGCTAGTATACTAAACGGGACAAGAAGTTAAATTTAAGGGGCGAGTGGCAATTATTAGTCATAAAAGTGGTAGTAATAATCAATCATTACGATATAGAGCATATGCAGCCTTTCTAGGATCTAGAAACATGATAAAATATAGCAAAATTACATTTCTAACTCTTTATTACTACACCCAGCGCATTAGGTATTTTACTAGCAAATATAACACGTTTGTATACTTACAACTTCTGTTAAGCTATCAAACTATATCCGGAGCTCTTTAAATTTCTCATCCAAGTTAGTTTGTTCAAGAGCAAACCGCACTTTTTTTATAGGTTTCCTTGCCGCAATAAGATTGTTTTGTTCCTTAATCCTTTCGGCAACATCATAAGGAGGAAAACGAGGAGGATTAGAATACTAACAATAATTAATAATGTAACCTTTAAAATAAAGAATACAACATACTCTATAGGATTTAGTATACACTGTTTCGATTTGATGATTTCCAAAGGGAGATTGATATTCAACCTGTAATTGATGTTAATATATGTTAAATTAAATATATTGTAGCGTCTTACTATATCGTATTTATAAGTATATTTATACAGCGGTTGGGCTTTATTATAATAACTTCCAATAACGTCTTTGGATGGTCTAGGCGTTGGAGGGCGCATTTTGTTGATTTCTACCGCGTTTAATAACTTGCAATGAAGGAAACTAGAGATATATATTACTAGACGTCAAAAAAAAAAAAGTGGAACTTACCAGTAGATCACCAGTAGATTTACTAGTAGACGAAATCTAAATTAAGACCATTCCAAAACTTACCAGTAGACTTACTAGTAGACGAAATCTAAATTAAGACCATTCTAAAAATTACCAGTAGACTTACCAGTAGACTTACCAGTAGACGAAATCTAAATTAAGACCATCTAGTAGACATACTAGTAGACCTAGAAGTATCATATCTATATTAAGAACACCATAGTAGACATACTAGTAGTGTCAGTAGATACGATGGATTGGAATTATTTTTAGTAGATACGATAGTAGATTTGAACTAATTATAATACATACGATAGATTGGAGCTAATTATAGTAGATAGAGTAGTAAATAAATGGATTAGGATTTAGGTAAGTGGAAAGAGTTTCAGGTATTCAAAAATCGATTTTAGCAAGCGGTACCGAGAAACGATTTTGGGTATCCAAAATTGTATTTTACAGCTATACGAATATAAATAGTACTTGAGCCAGTATAAAATTAAATTCATCATTGTCATCCTTAACAGACGGAAAGACAACGATGGCAACCGCAACTAGGTCGCAAAATACTGACATTTCCCCAGGCCTACAGCCAGGGCTTCCTACCGTAGCAAAAAAAATATTACCTCCCAATAGAAAATGCTAAGGAAGAACAGCAAAAGGAGATTGTTTAAATCCAAATAGAAAGGACAAAGACTTTAATGGGGCTATTGATAATACTGACCCGCTTTTTTTCTGTTATGCACATAGAAACCAAGTATGTAGAGAAGAAGAGGATGAGGATATTGAAATGCAGGAATTAGATGATGGACCGGAAGGAGAGCAAGCATATATAACCCAAGGAGCGGAAAACCAACAAGGACATACTACCCAAGGAACGCAATCTATCATAAATATCGACGTTGAAGATAACAACCAAGACCCTGGGTCTAATACCGCAACAAGAGGAAATCAAACGAACCAGGAGGCGCTAACAAACTACATATCCGAAAATTGGGAGGTTTTCGATACGATAAATATCCAAAACCCCCGCCAAAATCAACGCGTAAAATATAGTAATAATCTATATATATATATAAAGCATCCTGAAACCAACGAATTAACATAGGCTCGAATTATACTACGTCCACCCAAACCTAATCTCGTCATTATTACTATAAAAAATCAAGAAACTAATCTTCAAGCATATGCGGTTTCTCACTCCTATTGCGGCCTTTGGAAGGATGACATTGGAGCGGGTGTAACAGTGGACGGTAAATCTTTAAGAGGCAAAGGTGACGCGAGGATTTTATTCATAGCTCAGGATATCACATCAAAACTAAACCTGACCTCACGTATGTATAACAGAACCACTATCGGGCGAACTCCGAGCCAATGGATTTTTTTTAAGCAGGGTGGTAGGGAATTAATAACGACACAGAGTGGATGGACTATATTCAAAGGTAAACCACTTGCGTCAAAAGAGATTAGCGATTATTATACGAACTGTAACATTACCCCCCCTATAAAATCCATACCTCAAGAAATAATTAATTTACAGGAAAATGGCCAGGAAAATGACCAGGCAAATGGCGGAGGAAATGGCGAATATATAACAGCTACCGAGTTTAATGAATATAAAGCTAACACCGAAAGAATAATCAACAACTTGCAAAAGGTAGTAGAAACACAGGGAACTATGATAACCAAAATTAGCCAGGATATGATATTATAAGAGTAGTCAATTTAAGTATTGTATAAAACTAAAAGAAAATTAATATATAGAATATTTAAAATATATAAATCAATCAATTTAAAAAGACACAACTAATAAATTATAATAACAACTTATACCCAAATTCGCGATTGACGTAAGAGACAAGCTATATAACAACTAAAAATATACGTACAACGAACCTGGAGGAATGAATAGTGAGCTTTTCGAATCAAAGCTAGGAGGAGTTTCGTAAAGAAGATGTAAAAGATTAATATCACTTACGAGGTAATCCTTTTTCATAATATTTGTCATGGCACTGGCGTCGTGGCTGGCTGCATCTAAGGCGGCTTTTGGGTGGTCAGGCCCGGCAGAACTCGGGCACCCTATTTTAAGGCGCACCTCGTTCGCCGGCCTTCGGCCACCTCCTCTTTTCTACTCTTTAGCTTTATTGATTTATTCATATCGACTTCTTTTGGCCCAGCCCTGTCTGTGCCCAGAATCGTGTTGTCACAATATTTACCAAACCGGCCTTCCTCATTCCATCCTCGTGTAAATTAGCCGGCATAATGCCAACCGGCTTTGTAATTTGTCTTTAAGCTTCGATCGAAATGTTTCCCCAATGCTCCAAGACAAAGACCTATAGCGATGGCTGAAAGAATGTTAGTATTACAAGGCTTTGGGGGTAGTAGAATATATTTGCGGTCGACCCTTCATAAACTTACCAGTGCTATAAGTACCCAGAAGACTTTCTAAGACTATCGAAACCTTCAATACTATCAAGTCTTTCCCAGTTCTCTAACCTAGTAAATAAGGTACTGAATAACCTATTAACTAAGTCGATATTCAATTGGCTTTCGCTAACTGAAAAATATTCGAATAGTTGTTCTGATTCTTCGTACCAATTAAGGTCGTAAAAGAAGCCAAGGGTATGACAAAAAGTTTGGTAAACGTCGGGCTCGTGTTCGTTGATGTCGAATTCGGCGAAGAACCGGTTACTAAAACGAGAATTTACACATAAATCCTCGAGAAGATTAGGGTAAGAATCCGGTTCTAAAGCCAATTCTAGCTTGTAAACCGCCACCTGATGTTTGTAGGTAGTAAGACAATGAGGTTGTTCGGGGTAAAGAAGGCAGTGAAGAACCTTCTCCTTGTGTTCGTTGTCGTAGCCAGTTGAATAAATATATTCTTCGTATTCTGGCTTTGGATCAGGAAGGGCTACTGTAGTAAACCCGGGCTTATAACCTATACCCCGGTTTACCTCATAGCTAGTAACGATAGAAAAGGCATTGTAGAGGTTTGAGGATAGTTTGGTAGGATGAATAGCGAGGTAAATGAAATCTAATATTTCTTCGTGGAAAAAGATAGTTGCACGGTAGGACTCAGAAGGCATGGATAATACGTAAGTTTTTATGAAGAGATTTAAAATAAGTAATGTAGTTTGTACAGATAAGAGTTCGATTAATAGATATAAGTATTAATCACTAATGTTTGTCTATTTAAAATCTCTTTTTATTCGAGGCAACTAATGTTTTTATAAACTTTCTATCCTATGACGAATCGAATGTGCTTTTAGTTATCGTATAAGTATAAACTTGATAGGAGAGGTGGCGTTTGTAGCCTTAAGCGCCGGATTGAAGAAGTGAAGATCGTAACGCCTACAATATACGAAAGACTTGCCGAAAAGAATTATATTAGCGCTAGACCGATCACGGCACTTTGAGATCACACACTAGATTCTGCGATCCACAGCGACAGTTATGACCTCAGTTTATAAGGCGTTATTAGGCGAAGAAATAATTAGTTAACCGAATAAGAAAAGAAAGACAAATCGTGCATCCGAAACAGTTTTAATACTTCTATAGACAGTTGGATGTACTGGTCTCTACACGTGTATATATTATTATCTCCCTATTGGCTCAATATTGCCCTTGCGCCTTCTCCCGAAACGACAAAAAGGCTTGGCACCCTTGTCACTAAATTCTTTGCTTCACTCTTTTCACGTCAACACCATCTCCGCATCTTCCCACTACATACAACCATCGTCCTTTCTTCCGTTCTTAATTCCAGCCGTTTCAAAATGGAGGCGCTTAAGAGCGAAATTGAGTCAACTAAACTCCAAATCCAACACCTTTGCAATTTTGCGACTCCAGCTTAGACTGCTCGTTGACGCCGAATCGATGGGTCTCTGCATCATATTGAAGCCATCTGCCCTCTCCTTCCATGGCAATCCTGTAGCCCAAGTACAGAACCCGTGTGATTCTTTCATCGAAGAGGAAAGCCAATTCAAAATACTTCTCATCGTCGATGATCTTGTCTTCCGAGAACCAGTCGCTGGGGAAATACTTCTCAACCCACAGAAGGCCGCGCATGGCAAAGTCCTCAGGCAGAGGACGGGGAACCTCTTCGTCCTCGAAGATGCGTCAAAAGATATTGACGCTTATTATCGCCGATCTATGGTTAGACCACCCACAAAACCCATTCGTGAAAAGGGGTTACGTGGTTTAGGAAGTCAGTACATAACCAATACCAAGCATAACGAATTCAAGACTACAATTGAAAAAAGATTGAATGATGCTGAGGAAGAAATAAGGAAACTGAAGAGTAAACTGAATATAAGAAATCTCCAACTATTGGAATGAAGAGGTATCCGAATATATAATACGAGTTTCGAAATAATTTTTAATCTATAGAATACATAAAATCCATAAAATATATAAGTGTTTACATGAGTGGTGATATATAGCAAATAGATATTTTTTAAATTGTCTTTTAAACTTACTTAATACTGCTATTATAAATATTACGTATACTTCAATACTATAAGGGAAGGCGACGTTAAACGAAAGGGAGGGAGGTATACGAAGGTCTGCAGGGTAATCGATTTGTATATATTACATAGATATTGGATATTGTACTCTCATCTTCTCCGCATCAAAGTCCCGCCGGTTCAATTCGCGTCTCTCTCCCGCTCTTGTATTTTACTGTGTATGCCATGACCTCCTCCTTACCCATTTCCTTTGATAACCCTTACCGGCTTCAAGAAGTAAGACGGCACCGGTACTATCAAGCACTGACCCTAGGGAGGATAATAGTTGTGTTGGGGACGGTTCATCGTCGTCGCGATCATTCGCGTCGCGGTCGGCGGGGTGGTGCGAGGGAGGAGTGCAAAAAGAGAATAAAAAGAAGAAGAAGAAGAGGGAGGTGAAGTGTGGGTCACCGGTTGTTATCAAGCCCGGCATGCTTGTTTTGTGGGATAACATCCTTTTCTTCGTTGCGGTTGAGGAACCCTAACCCTAGAGCTGGCTCAGCCAGCTCTAGGGTTAGGGTTCTGACCACTATATCTAGAAACATAAGCTCCCCACAATCACTATCGGCTACATTTCCGCACCTCTCAAAGGATTGATTGATTGGGGGGATGCGGGGGGGGAACGGGCAAACGCCATTTCTCAGCCCGGAACGGGAACCTGTCCCAACTTTTCTCTTGTGCCTACGTATGAATAACCTTTCCCACTAGCACCGCTCTCCCAAGTTAGGCCCGGCCGCTGATGGAAGCTATCACCAATGGCCTCTTGGACCGATAAGTAATATTCTCTGCGTTGAAGGAGTGTTTGACCAGCAAGAACATAATACTGTCGTGGGGGGTGATAATTGGTGCTGCGTTCGCAGAATTACTAGCCGCTTAGTTCAAGTGTCCCGAGGGAACGGAACGCTAATTTAGCTTAATGCACCCCAGAGAAAGTGGGTCTGTTGTAAAATAATTGGATAGTATACGGTTGGAAGAAACATAGCATCTCAAAGCGATAGCCCAGTTATACAAGGATAACTTGACGATACTGTATATCTCACGGTGTCATATGTATTGGATATCACCAACAGGTGAAAATTTTCTTGGATCTAGAACGGATGCCTTGAATGTTTAGAGTCTATGACGCAATAGTGTGTATCACTTCCAGTTCTAGTTCTTTTGAGAAGGGCGAAGGTAGCGAGCTACAGGAAGATTCTTCAACGTGAACATCGCAATGTCGCGAATCCCCGAGTCAACCTATTTGTGGCGTGAGGCCGCCCCAACAAAGCGGGATTGCCGTTTGGTGGTGCCGTTGTAGTTCCGAAGTGAAGCAGGTTTGATCGGATGCGGGGATCGCGCGGGCAGTACAGCCGACTATTTCTACTGAGTCGTCATCTTTTGGATCCGTGTCACCTTTAGTTTACAGTCGATTATACTTTGGATCAGAGCACGCTTGTAGAGAGCGAGATGTGGCATCGTCGTTCCAGGAGGAGATATCTCGGTGGGAGAGATGGAGACAGCATTCTTATTTGTATTCTATATACTTAGGATTCTAATTTAGTACGTTTTATAGCTTCCTCCACTATGTTTTCTCTTTTCCTCTTGCCCGGCCGGGGCCCGGGGGTCCTAGGTCGGCCAGAATTTGTTTGATGTAGCACAATGCACAAGCTTTCAATTTCCATGTGGCATAGCTGTTTGACTGATCGGGGATTGTACCGCGGATTATGCCATGCCCATGTCCATGCTTCTCCTCCATGGCGACGAATCCTTCGACCATACGCTAACGGCAGGCCGTCCATGAGTCGCCGCAGATGTCAAAGTACAGAACGCACTCAGTACATCCCCAAGATTTGCACTGATCGTCGTGCCAGCAGGTAAAATCCCTGCAAGCCCGCTTGAAAATATCTCCCTCCTTCCCTCTTTTGCTGATATGAGGAAGGTCCCTCTTATAGCAGGTTTGCTCGACCTGAGAAGATGGAGCTTTGGTGTTAGTCTTTCGGAGAAGCGATAGAAAGCATTATATGAGTTTTTTTGCGAACGCCGGGGCAGAGCACGTACTCCAGCAACCCTGTAACTGTCATTGGTCTGAGTTTCGTTGACCTGCGTTCCGTTGACCTGTGCCTTGGTGACCTCGGCAGTCTCTACCGGGGCAGAGTGTACCGCCGAAAACGCGGCAGCGATGGCGAGGAGTTTGAACAGGTTGGCTTGCATGTTGGGCAATAGAATATTGCTATCTTGGGCAGGGTGTAGAAGAAAGTGTGAGCGTTGAGGATTAATCGGCTTGATGGCTCTGTTCTCTGGTCGTTCAGCGAGCAGGAGAAGGCTGCTCTACTTATCCTGACCAATTCATCGTGATTCCGTCCGGACCTTGCCATCTGTGCCTTGTCGTCGGGCGGCACGGTTCCACGGTACACGGCGGTATTCCGGCTTCATTGGGGGTTGTTGGCTGCTGAATGATGAGTCCCTGTTAAGGCAACGTGGGTCAACATGATGAAAGGAGGATGTTGGAGCAGGGACTGAACCAGGCAAGACTTCCTTCAGGAATGCGATAGTCCGGCTTCATTGGGGGAGTGGCTGCGTCTCGTACGGCACAGCGTTGACGACCCCAGGGATCCATGGTTTTCTTGATTGGCTTTGATAAGGCAACTGGACGTTGGTCCGCGTCTGTACGGCACAGCGCAACGATCCTCGTGATTCATGGTTTTTCTACCAATCGCATTAGTGTGACCATTCGGATTGCTTGTTCGACGTACATACATGAGGACCAACGGGCCAAACAGTGAAACTTTTGGGAAGGATGGCCGTGCCTACCTCGCCTTAAGAAATGGTGGATACTCATATTCTAGATGCTGGTTGGAGCAAAACTGGCCCCCAAACTGATGGCACGGGCCGACTGTCTGATTCACTCTTAACATACCACATTTGACCAGGGTCCCTGGTAGCGCTCAAAGTGTCTATACTTGGAAACTGTTACGTAGCATAGTCACGGTAGTGTCACACGCGAGATGGTCACGAGAACGGAATGGTTCGCGTTCTAATTCGACTACCGTCCATTGCCGGGTCGCACCCATACGGCGGCACCGCGGTTCATTCGGAGACTCTTAGCCCAGACGGAGACAACAGACGGTGACAGACCATCAACAGGATGTTAACAGGTAGTTAATAGACTGTAGATAAACTGATGACGAGCTTCACCGGTACAACTGGCGATTATCGGGGTAGCTGCTAATCAACTCTGTTAAGAGCCTGCCAACAGTTTGCCTATCAAAGAACCACTATCCGGCTGTAGGGACGTTACACGTGTAGGATTCAGCCTACAGCGCCGACTCCCCGAGCCAATTGGCAACAGGTTACAACGAGTCCTTAGTGAACGCGGTCCAATTGGGATCAGTTCCGGGGGCTGCCAACCAACACACCAGTGCCACCACACACTCCCGGGTCTCTCCTCCTCGTTCGTCTCGCCCCACTCCGTCAACCCCTCGCTTTGCCTGCTGGTCGAGGTCGTTACCGCTGCGGCTGGTGCTGTCCCCGTGTCTCCCGCCACGCCCTACTCGAGTCATCCGCGGGAAACCCTCGAACCGAAAGCATTTACTCATTTATAGTATCATTATCATCATAATCAGCACGACCTTTCGACGCTCCAACTTTCCTCTACTCTCATCTGCGCGCTGCACCGCCCGCACCTCCGGCGCCTACCTAGTTACTTCTAATCCGACCACTTCTGCTATCACTACATGCTTCACAAGCTCGTATACTCCCCTTTAGCTACCCCATCACATTACCACGCATTTGGAAAACGTAATTCTTGCTCGAAACATTCAAGCCGCGCCGTTATCACTTGTATCAACTCGCTGGCAATATGGCGGACAAACCGGCGGCAAGTACTCCTCAAACTCTCTTAATTGTCAGTATATATACCTTATGCTGACTATCATGTTAATCAACTGCAGAACCCCCCGACTACGCCCCAAGCCGCCACAGACCGACAGCCTGTAGGCGACGACAAGTCTCTGAGCGACATCAGAAGATCGATGAAGAGGGATCCAGACGGACAGGGCATAAGTGGGTTGGGCTACGACGGCGTGCTCCGTACTTTTGACGCCGAACGTAATGTTCTCGACGCAGTTGGCCTCAACCCAGCCCAGATTAGAGAATACTACGATGGTCTGCCGCTTCCCGAGAGACTACGCACCGCCGACGGCCGCAACGTGTCCCGTTGGGACATGTTCCACCCCGATGCGGAGAATGTTCCGAAGAAGTTTACGGAGGAGGAGAAAGCCAGAATTCTGGCACGGAACGAGGAGATGGCAAAGCGTGGAGTCACAACCTGTGTTCCAGGCAAGTCGGCAGACGAGGGGGGATCGAAAGCTTAGATGGTGCCTTTTGCTTTTCGTCATTATGAAATGTTCATGCCAGTCACTTGCAAGCCTTGCAGACAGGCCACAGTCGTGCGATGTTAATCCAGTGACCCAGCTCGTACTGCTGGTTGCCTGGCCTTGGCGCACCGGCGTAGCCGTTCAAAGTCAGTAACACGCAGGTCTTGGAGGTAGCTCGTGTGGCTCTGGAGGCTCGGCGCGGCCCGCAGATCCACGCTAGACGCCTATCTCGAATGGATGGAGGTGTTGTCGCAGAGGCACGGGTTCGACCCGCGGTGTTGGTGGTTCCGTGTTCTTTTGTCCCCTTGTTTTTTAATAGCTCTTAGCTACTTGTAGAAGTCTTTAGCTACGCAAGTAGTATTCTCAATAGAATATTCATTGTTCTACCCCTTATCTCGCTATTTCTTATTGATATAGGGGAATTGTTATGCTTTCTCGAAGCGTGCAGTGGCTGCGTGTAGAAGTCAAATGGGGCGCAAACGTGTGGCTGGTGTAAGTCTCTTGTGGTTTGCTGCTTTGCAAAAATCGCTCGGTGTATTTTGAACCGACGGATATTAAGGCACTCTATGCCTCGACCCCGCATGTTACTCCACGACCTGCGGGCGTGGGGGAGACGTCCACCAATCACGAGGCCCGGAAGAGCGACTTGCAATTCTCCGGCGGGGACTATGAGGGGGTCCCGTCATTTCCGGTGGGGGTGGGTACCTTTCAGCTTCTTCCTTCGTTCCACGCTCCCTCGTACCGCGCGAGGTGATCAGCTTTCAACGCGAGACCCTTCCAGGTTATCTCGTACGTTCGCTTCCGATCTCTGCTAATAAGGTGGAGTACAATGCGTGTAGAGCTTCAACGACCCTAGTTGGAAGCTGAGTGACCCCTTTTCAGATGCCGCAGACTGGGCCAGCTCTCTTCATGACGGAGCCCTGGGCCTTGACCGGCATATCCATCCCTTGGTACCACTCATTGTCTCATTCATCGAGGCAAAATGGTTGGCGAAGTGGGGGTGGATTGACAGACTCACAGTGGCAGAATGCTTCGAAGCATGCGGCGGCAAGGGAACACCAACATATAATTCTCTCAAACTAGGCCCAACGTCTCAAGGTGACACAGGGCAACAGACTCAAGCCGCCTTCTCCCTCCTCACAGATTGTTGCACGCGGTGCGCGGGGGAAAGGAAGCAAGGGAATCCGCTCATGAGCCAGGACCCCTCGGCACCACAGGCGATTCTTGTTGAGGGTCATTCTTTTTGTCGACGAAGTGGTACAATAGATACTTTTATTACATATTGCCATACAAACGGTGGCTGCAAAAATGGGGGGAGGGGTTGCGGCCTCCTGCTAACAGTACAAAGCGGACTCTCCCTCTCGGAGGAGTCGACACCAGAACGTCGTTGACCGTCAACTGGCGAGAATCCTCTACGTTCCCGAGACTCCGGATTCGGATCGGTAACAATTACGACAACGTTCGTCTCGTCTGGTTCATAGCACTTGTTTCGCGGCGTCTCCACCTCGTGCAGTCTCCGAGGTTCCGTCCAGGGTCGTGGCGTTATGGTATGGAAGACTGGCTGATGGAACACTCGTGCCGTGTAGGACAGAGTATCTGCCCAAAGATTACCAACGCCCCGCCAACGATCCTGCGTTCGCCTCTCTGCCGTTGCCAAGGATGCGCAGAGGGTGCGCAGAGAAAGTGCGGGTGGAGCCATTCGTTGGTGAAAAGCAGGGCAGGAGGTCGGTACACGGACGACCGGGGGTAGGTGAGACATATAAAAGGGGGAGAAGGGACTTATCTTTTGAGGGGCGTGTACTGTCCTTCGCCGCGGTCGTAGCAGTAACCGAAGAAGGCCGTGCCGGTTTGTGGCTGAGTGGTGAAAGAGTGGCTACCATCGGTCGATGAAGCCATCGGAACAGACTGGCTCAGCGTATCGGGACCTTGGGCGAGACTGAGATCAGAGCTGGGAGGTGCAAACTGCTTGTTGTTGTCGCTCGTCATCGTCGGGTCGGAAGAGGTGCCGACGCTCGATGCACATCGGCTCTGCATTTAGCTCTGGCACTTCGAGCTAATATCCCAATGGCGAGGGTTGAAGGAGGGCCAACTTAATACTTCAACGAGCTACCTTATCAGGCCATGCACAAAATAATGGGAACGGAGAAATGACCGTGATATGTAGCCGAGGGTGATGCAAGGAGTTAACGTAAAACCCAAAGCCCTTCGGCTCCTGGGTCTGTCGCTTGTATACGGCACCTCGCATCATGTTGAGATCGGTCATCAGTATTCATTGGCTGCCAGACCAGTCTTACAAGGTAACAAAAGGCGCTACTCCCAGCCCTCAGGAACAGGAGAAGAAAGGGCAGGGAACGATCTGCGCCCAACTACACGTTAGTTGCACATCCTGCACAGGACACAGGACAAGTTGATGTACTCACGGCGATTCGTTGCCGTTGGTCCACCAGGTCCCTGCAAAACAACAGCTCCTTTCGGTCCTGCGCTTTGTCAGAATCCACGTTCGATCCGGGCATTTTCGCTTTCAACGCGGGATACTCGTCCAGCCGGCGCGCATGTCCCCGCGGTTTCAGCCACGACGCGTGAAGAGACATGGTGTTTGTTATTGTTCGGTCCAGACCCAGCTGACCATCCGGTGGTCGCACCGGAGGCCCGGGTATCAGGCGATGCCGCCTTCTCCGTCTAACTCATACCCACCGCCGTGATTACGAAATGTGGGGACAGAGTACATAGTATGTACAGACGACGGGATCGGCCCGGGGATGACGATATACACACATACAACACAAGCTTAAGGGAACGAGAGTATCTACAGCAAAATCAGTGGAATATTTGCGACGTCGGTGACGATGGGGACTTGTTAATTTATTAAGTCACTGAGTGTTAAGGCTTGGTACTGACAGCACCAGAGAGGTACGGTTATGGTCGTGACAGGACTTGGGTCGAGATATCATGCAACCTTGACGAACCTCCACACTGTTCCCTCCTGCCCATCTATCCAAGTCATCGATATTTCGGATCCCTCTTTCCAGCTCGGCTCCATCCATGCCTTGACAAGTCGCGAGGAGTTTTGGAAGTGCATCACGTACCCACGCTGCTGCGGCGCCTCAGGTCCTTGCTCACAACCTCCTCCCGCCCTAACGCATAACAGCCGCTGTAAACGGTCATGGGCATCGTAGGCAACATCAAAACTGCCACGACCCGAAGGGGCGCCGAGAAACCGTCCGCTCGCGGCATTGCGAAACCCGAGCCAGCCGTCCGTTTCGACGCATTGCCAGTACCAGTTACATTTGCCTTCGAGGGGGTGGCCTTTTTCGAACACGGCCGGGACTTTGTGAAGGGTCAGCTTGCCGCCGACCAAGGTCAGGGCTAGGTTGGTGGGCTGGTGGAAGATGAGATATGTCGAATTGGCCGTGGGATTATCGTCACGGTCCGGGTAGAAGTCACCCACTGATCCAGATACGGACGATTCTAATAAGCGTTCCATCTTTGGGCGAGGCCTCGAAGCGGCGAAAGTAGGAAGAGCGGATGGTGCTGTTGGTTCCGAGTCGGACGCGGGAGTTTGGATGGTATTGCTTGAGGAAGTTGAGGATGCACGGGAGGCAGAAGAATGAGATGTTGAGTGCGTACTTCTTGTTGGCCGTGTGTACGTCTTTTCCTTCTTCCAGACGCGACTTAACCGGCCATCGAATGGGACGTTTATCTTGGTTATGGGGGAAAAGGTATTTATAATCCGAACTGATCATCAGGACGGAGGAAAAAGGATGAAGAAAGCAGGAGACTGCTAGTGTTTCTTACTCTGATGGCAACCAATGCCCAACGGGAACGCTTCAAACGGCTCTCTATTTCCCCATGCATGCCTACCTGACAGGAAAAGGATGGATGCATGCTTCTCTAAGCCGTTTGATCCAACAAATGTCCGCCACGCCGATACCTGCAAACGAAGTTAACAGCGTGCACGGCCGAGGACAAGTCGGTGTCTTTTGGGCGGCTGAGTGGAAGCAACAACTGGATTGACGTTGATTACTGAGGAGAAACCAAGATTCATTCTAACCCTAGGTGGCGCATGGTGAGGGCGCAAAAGCCGTTGGATGCTTAAGGTGGATAACCGACGGGAGGCCATGCCAAACGCCGGTGGGTGTTGTGAATGTGAATATTTCAGCGGAGGGTCGTACATGTATCGTGCCCATGCTTCCATAGACAACAACATGTGAGGAGATTCTGAGCGTTTGCTGCACAGACCGCTAGTCGTTTGCCCTGCAGGCACCCTCTTTGACAGCGGTTCTGGCACTTCCCAGAATCCCCTCCTTTGCAGACCTTCCTCCTCTTTGTATCGCCAGCTCTATATAGCTGGCGATCCCTTCCAGCCTCAGTTAGCTGGATCCCTCAATCTACATCATTCCCATCATTCGTGATCCATCTCATACAAATCAGGTTCTGGAATGGCGTTTCCACCCTTTCGACGCAGGCCAGCGGTGCGAGATGTGCTTAAGGAGTTGGGAGCTTTAACGTATGATATGTTTATATATATGCGCGAGATGTGCTTAAGGAGTTGGGAGCAATGATATGTTTATATATATGCGCCAAGAGCATAGGTTCTACTAAACTAGGTCTTAGGTCAGTTAACACGTTGACGAGATGGTCCTCGATGAGGTCTGAGAAACTATGCCACCCAATCTGGAGATTGAGGCGCTGGTGGCCATTGCGAGTTGCTCGGCTTCGGCAGTTACTGTCCGGTTGTGCTCCCACCGCTCCGTCATTCTCGGGGCCCACTCCGCCGCCACAGCCCCGCCCGGTCCGCAATACCGCCCCACTGATTGCAACCGCACCCCGAGATGTCGAGTCTCAAGGAGGATCACGTGAATTCTTCGCACGCCCAGACGGCACAACCAGACGGGCGGCACAATCAATCGGGCGGCACAATGAGAAACCTCAAGGCAATTGAAGGACTCACCATTGTTGCCGGGCTTGGTTGCGATCACGGTTGTCGCAATCGTGGTTCCAGGAGGAGATATCTCGGTGGGAGAGACGGAGACAGCATTCTTATTTGTATTCTATATGCTTAGGATTCTAATTTAGTACGTTTTATAGCTTCCTCCACTATGTTTTCTCTTTTCCTCTTCTTCTGTCCCTGTTTTGGTAGGCATTCCTTATCAATAACAACTCCTGTTTGCCATTTCTCAGCCCGGAACGGGAACCTGTCCCAGAATCATGAACCTTCTGTGCCGTCAGTGCCGTCAGAGCAGTCGTCTGTACCTTTGTCACAAGAACCAAGGCCACCCATATCGTATCACCAACCGTCCGTCTTCCGCAACTACGGTACTGGAACGGACTGGACTCTCTTTGGTATTTTTTGTTGATGCTCTTTTACTTACGTTGGTTTTGCCTTCCAGCTTCCTTTCTTTTTAAAATACCCTACTCAATCAAGGACCACATCTGGGTTTACCAAGGGCGGTAAAAAATCTTCCGCATGCTGGAGTGATCATTGGTGCTGCGTTCACACTGAATTACTAGCCGCTTAGTTCAAGTATCCCGAGGGAACGGAACGCTAATTTAGTTTGGTGCACCCCAGAGAAAGTGGGTCTGTTGTAGAATAATTGGATAGTATACGGTTGGGAAGAAACGTAGCATCTCAAAGTGATAGCCCAGTTATACAAGGATAACTTGACGATACTGTATATCTCACGGTGTCATATGTATTGGATATCACCAACAGGTGAAAATTTTCTTGGATCTAGAACGGATGCCTTGAATGTTTAGAGTCTATGACGCAATAGTGTGTATCACTTCCAGTTCTAGTTCTTTTGAGAAGGGCGAAGGTAGCGAGCTACAGGAAGATTCTTCAACGTGAACATCGCAATGTCGCGAATCCCCGAGTCAACCTATTTGTGGCGTGAGGCCGCCCCAACAAAGCGGGATTGCCGTTTGGTGGTGCCGTTGTAGTTCCGAAGTGAAGCAGGTTTGATCGGATGCGGGGATCGCGCGGGCAGTACAGCCGACTATTTCTACTGAGTCGTCATCTTTTAGATGCTTGTCACCTTTAGTTTACAGTCGATTATGCTTTGGATCAGAGCACGCTTGTGGAGAGCGAGATCTGGCATCGTCGTTCCAGGAGGAGATATCTCGGTGGGAGAGACGGAGATAGCATTCTAGTTTGTATTCTATATACTTAGGATTCTAATTTACTACGTTTTATTGCTTCCTCCACTATGTTTTCTCTTTTCCTCTTCTTCTGTCCCTGTTTTGGTAGGCATTCATTATCAATAACCACTCCTGTTTGCCCATTACAACCGTGAACATCCGACGTATGTGTAAGCCACGAAGCGAGGTCATTAATCTGGATATTCTCCCCTTCTCCCTTACATTTTGGACAATCGAATGGCTCTACGATTCTGTGATACTTATTCATATGCCTTGACAAACTGTTTCCGGCATAGAACAATTGGCCGCATCTTAAACAAGGAGCGGATTTCGACTTGGTAGTTGTAGCCATTGGTTTGGGTTTGACGATTGGCTTAGTGAAGAGAACCGGAGTATTGATGAAACCATGTACTCTTTCGACATGGTTACTCCACTCCGATGCCCTCTCGATTCTATACTCCTCCTTTCCTTGCCGCTGACATTCGGGGCATGAGAAAGGTTCAAAGGTCGTTGCTGTGAAATGGACGCTCCGATGGTGTCTACTGAGGTTACGTCGACGAGTGAAGCTTTGTAGGCAGAGAAGACATGTAGAGAGCGTGGAAGCTGCTTTCTTATGTTCGGAGGCTGGTTGCTCCATTTCCTGAGCAATCCCTTCTACTTCTCCGTACCTATCATTCAGATACGCAAAAAGCATTTCCGATACTGCAAGCCGCTTTTGGGTAGTTTGGTCAGAACCACTGTCGGTCGAATTTGGAAAAACCATTTTCGTAGCGGTGTCGGAAACCGGATCTTTGGGGTTCAAGTATCGACCAATGATTGTTGCTGCAGGTAAACTGGGACCGAAGGAGCATCTGAAAGGATTTGGAGGGGGGGCTGGCATATCTTCGGTTAACAGGCCACGAGCCCTAAGGGAATCAACTTCAGCGAAGTAGTTTTCTCGAGCCTGCTTGACAGCCAAGTTTGACAATACCGTCCGTAGATCTCCAATTTTTACGGTAAGTTGCTTTACCTCTCTATTGTCTGCAGAGAGTTTGAGCTCTTCCCGGAAGTGACGATGCTGTGCGCGAAGTGCTTTCATATCCTCGCGATTTTCAAACGTTTCTAGCGTAGCCGCTGTCGGGTAAAGCGGTGCTTTGTCATCCCTGCGCAAGGATGCGGAGGCCAGTAGCTTGAATAGCTTGGAATCGTCTTCAGATGTACTATCGAAAACGAATGACATCAAATTGTGTGGAATATGCCTCGCTTGGTAAGAGGTTTCGAATGTTTTTGTGTTATGGCTCAGGATGTGGTTTCGAATAGCGGATGTAAGGGAACCTTGTGTAAAAATTGTAAGCAAAATAGTAAGGGAAACGGGTAAAGGGTTCTTACCATCAATTTTATTTCCACCGCCGATTCGCAGCGCATAGGGCCGGAGAGTGTTTCTGTTGCCCGCTACCAACCATGTCCGGTTCCAAAGTTCCAGATATTTGTAGTACTTTAAGGGAAAGATAGGCTTTTCCTGCATCCCATCCTTCCACCTAAGTTCAATGCAATCAACATCTTCCAAGTTTGGACGCTGAAGTAATTCGTCGAAGGACGAAAACTCTGTTTCGAAGGCATCATCATGTAGAGCTTGAATAGCTACAAACGTAACTAAACAAACGATCTGGCATGGTACCATAGTAGCAGAAAAGGTCATCCTAGAAAAGTGTTAGTTTGGATCAACGGTTAAAGGCAAGAATACATACACATCTGCCCCCTTATCAATTTTGTTAGCCGATAGCTTGTTTTGATTGATCGTGATCTCAGCAACAAGCCTTGGCTGTTTTGTATCCGGATCGCGAACAACAAGTAGCTTGACTTGTCGATAAAGCATGTTCTCATAAGTGCCGGGCCGAAAGCCAATGCTTCCTATAAGCACCAATGTATGAAAGGCAACCCGATGTCTAGGATCACAAGGTATATCGACTGCGCGTTCCCACAAGGTGCTAAGAATAAGCAGAACATCGTCTGTTGTGGCTTCGGTTTTCTCAAATGTTTGTTTGCATGTGAGGTTGAACTTTTGTGCAAGAGTTGATTGGATCCACTGTGAGAAGAAATGTCAGTACACAGTATCGGCATGGGTAAGGAGGGAATCTACCTGGATAAGCTCTCCACGGGCCTTCCCACGGTTGCCAAGCAATGTCCATTGTTCGGAACCTTCGTCTGAATCTTCATTCGAATCATGATCCCTTCTCTTCGCGAGCACTACAGCATCAGCTTGAGCTACTATATGCTTCCATATAGCAATAATAGTCACTACTAATTGAACTATTAGTACCTGCTTCTGTTCCTCGGTACCGTCTATATACAGACGTCTGCATCTTGCATAGCGTGTATAGTCGGCCAGAAAGCTCTTGCAGATAGCAATGGACTTTTTCTTGTTTCGGCACATACCAAACCAAACCTTATCAGCCTCTTTTTGTATTAATTGTAACACATCTGTGACAAATCTAAAAAGGGGTAGTACGCAATATTAAAGAAAACAGCAAAACGATAAGGTACATACCTATTCCTTAGACGCTACGCGCGTTCTCGCTCGGCTTTGGTCTTTTTACAAAGCGAACGCTCATGTGTTGTTACCGTAAATTCGTCGACGTCGGCAAATGCTCTTCTTTTCCGTTCTTCGTCGTCAGGTACAGTCGGCGGTATCGGCGGTTTTTGTAGCTCCATCCCTTCCGTATTGCATATGGATGGAGTGTGATCAGCACCGTGAGACTCAAACAATACCCTCTCAAGCTGCAATAGCTAACGAGCTCAGTATGTTTGGGAGGAGAAATTCATTAGAAAACTCGGACGTGTGACGAACCGTTACAAGCACAGGAGTATATCGCTGGGAACAAAGAGTAGCAACGGTCGCAGTAGCCAAAAGGTACTGATCGATTGTGAAAGCTATTGCTTGCTGAAGAGCCAGTATCTAAAGAGGCCTGGGGAGGCCGTCTTTATATACCGGCCTTCATGGACTCGGTATACCGGACCCGTGGACCGGAATCTTCATCTCGGGTCCCCATGGGACCCGAGCCATAGACCCCTCCCCTCAGGTCCTCCCTTCGGGTCCTCTCCCTTTGGGTCCTCTCCCTTCGGATCCTCTTCCTTCGGATCTTCTCCCTTCGGATCCTCTCCCTTCGGGTCCTCTCCCTTCGGATCCAACCTGCTTGGTCTGTTGGTTCTATCTGATCTAGCTTACATAGGTGATCCTTGCTTGGATCGTAACAGGAAGGAGGGTTTCATATGAAAAACCAACGCAACCCTCGCAACGTAGGGGCCGTAATTCATGCGGTAGAATCAACTGGGAAGAATGGATATACAGTGAATGCAATGGGAATGGGACAAAAGTGTGCTTGTTTGGTTCGGTCGGGAATCTGAGGGTAGAGACGCAATATATATCTTGAGGCCATTCTAACTCGCCTGAAGGGTATACGTACGGAGAAAAGTTGTTTACTAAAGCCAACCACACCTCCCAAAAGCCAACCACACTTCCCAGTTAGAAGTACTAAGTATATGGAGTAGGTGTCAGGGGTAAATGGCAGGGGTAAGTACCTTGTGTAGTGTATGTGATAGGGTAACAAGGGTTCTCGAAAATACCAGTATGCATGTGCAATAGTATTATTAAAAAGAAGATGTCAGAGGGAGAAAGGCCGAGCCGAAGGCTGGCCCAGAAAGGAATCCCTTCATGGGAATTCCTTATCTTATCGCTGACCCACTTCATGTGGAGTCGTGCGACCTGACAGCCCGAGGCGCGCAGGGCGCGCGCAAGGCACGTGACCCTGCACGTGCACTTGCCTGTCAGAGCTTCTGACAGGGAAGGGCATGGCAATGGCCATACCCAGACTATCTACTCAATCAATTGATCTAATCATACATGTGATGCAATGGTCCCGCATCAGTATGCCTAGTCTACTCAGCTGGGCTTGGCGTAAGTGGAACGGTGCACTCGACGGCGAAGGCAATGGGAAAACGGTTCTAGAAACGGGGGCGGCGTTTTCAGCTGAGTCATCCAAACCCCTGTCGAAAACGGCTCCCATAGATAGTCCTCCGATTGGTAGCTTATCTATGGGAGACCGGACGGGATCCCGAGTTTTCTACCATCTATGGTCGTATGTGATTATTCTGGTCAGAAGAGTTACCTATATGCGTCCTCTTTGAAAGAGTGCTCACAACTCGGATTTGATGTCACTTGGAGATCTTTTGCTGTTTGTTGTACTCAAGTGGCCGAGAAGCTCGAGAATCGGTTGTGACGCTGATAAAGCATGTGGAGTTTGTGATTTCTGGATCTGTGTGGATCGATGTGATATGGTAATCCGTCTTCAGATGTTTCGTTAGTGTAGATATGTTATGCTTGGTTTAAACTGGACTGGATTCTTCTGTGGTTTTCTCGCATTGTTTGAACTTTAAATGCTAGGTTGAATCATTGAACCAGGCGAATTTTTGACATCTGGATTATCGCAAGAGCTAATGGTAAATGGCTATACTCTCCGGAACGATCATCCTCAACGACAAGGCAACCTTCTCGTTTTATGGTCGTGGTTGTATCTTTCTCTCTACGCAGTAAGAACCGCTTGGAAAGCCCCAGAACCACTGAATTGTTGAAACACCCAAGGCGTTGGAAAAGGACAAAGGACTCTGATAGTAGAGTCGTGTCCAGGAGATCTCCATTGCACATTGTCTTTTTGATATCGTTCCCGAAGCAATCGCCCGCATACAAACGTTATACAATTCCATCACCGTGCTTTGGAATGGCCTTCTACTTATGATCGAGAAACATGTTCTCCGCTTCGAGATGAAGTCTCATCCGCCAAGTCTGTTTTGCCAGTTGCCACTGCCGAGTAGAATGTGACATGGACAGTGTTGCTGTTGGGAGCAAAGGGTTCAACTTTCGCCTCAACACCATCGTTGGTTATCGTGAAGTTGCAGATCATGACGAACCGAGCAACCTCTCAGTAGTTCCGTAAGGATTGTTTTCCGAGAAGGAAGACGCGCAAGACTAGATGGAGGGATGCCATCAAGCAGACTGAGAGCGATCAGTAATCAGTCCCAGACCAAAGAATCCGAAACCTCGACTCCCGCTCCCGGCTTCCGACCTCGGAGAGATCTCAACCTCATGACGTTCATAACGTCCCCCCTGAATGCTGCGAGATGACATGATAGCTCACGTAGTACGGTTATTAGCTAGCGAAAGATGATGATGCTGCAGCTGAGAGAGCTAGTGGTAGGATGGCTACTCACAAGTATCTACACAGTAAGAGAGAACGACGCGGGGCAGTTGATGTCGTGAAACCATGGGATGGATGGTGTTGAGTTCTGGCCCAGACTGTACTGTGCCTACCTAGTACAGTAGAAATACCTTAGGTATTGATGCAAGTCTCGAGGGGTTGAGGTTTTTGCTTCCGGAGCTTTTGTTATTCCAATGCTCTTTTCCCCTTTCCATTTCCTGTGCGGCGCGCGTTGAAGTTTCACAGTCAGAGACTGCTGCAGTGCCCTTGCGCCGGCGTCATAAGTAGGAAAGGAGACGAAACAACCTTGCCTCGCTCCTGCCTCATTTCTGCCTCTCTCTCTACCTATCTTCCCCTCAGTATGAACCCACTGAGTTGCATGAGGTGGGTTTGGAGCTGAGAGGAAGGAACGAATGAAGGAAGGCAGAACTTGGAAAGAACTGGAAATGTAACGGACCGGACCGGAGACCTGAATGCCTCGGTTCCGAGGTTCTTGTTATGGTACCCTTGTAACCTTTCTTCTTCCTCCCATAGTGATGGTCTTTTGATGGTCTTTTGCCTAGTAGGAATTTTCAAAAAAGGAAGGAATGAAGCAAACAATATTCTATGTGAAGTACTGACGTGATGTCAACGACCACAACGGCCGTGGGCGTTGAAGGAAGCAGATGGTATTGCTTATTGTTTACTTATCTCGGTCCCGATATTCCTTCGGTTTTTCCCGTTAAGCTTTTCTTTTTGGCTTTCAACGTTGCTATTTCTCTCCCTTGCTGTTTTCTAACCTCAGAATTTGCTCCACTTCCCATTGATCATTGTCCAGCTTCACTCCATACACTCCCTCTTTGACTTGGAACTGCTTCCAACCTCTTTTGACGAATGCAGCCGCAGTGTAAACAAGCGCCTCACTTTACAGCTTGTAGAATTGACGCGATGCAATACAGCTCATCTCGCAGTTGTGCCTAGGCGCTTTGTGATCCTGCGTTCGCAGTAGCTCCATCCATGCTCCGCATCCAAGCAAGCAACTCGTATCTCAACCAGCGTCATGATCCCATGGCTAGAAAGGCAACAGGATATCAAGAGCGAGGCAACTTCGGTTCCATAGACATGGCGTTATGGCAGGGCGCCTCGGCAACGAACTGGCGGTAAGAGACGCGGATAGCCGCTTGAACAATATACTCAACATGCGCTTGACACTCGAAACGAAAGGAGCCGCATCTGCTCGCCCCCTGATCCGAACCCTGCCCGGTATGTTGTTTTCTTATGGTACTCGCTGGAGAAGAAGGCAAAATGCACGAAGCCGTCTCGGTAAGGTTGTGGTTCTCGAATTCGGTCTTTCCCCTTTTCACAGCTTCATGCCTTTACATAGTAGGCGGGTCACTTGACCTTTATCGAAGGCGAGCTCGTAACGATGAAAACATTGACGATGCCATGTATGTAGCTGCCCTTGTCCTCGTTTACCGGACCGACTTTGACCTGGGATTGAGATTCAAATTAGCTCCTGTTGTCCACCCAATTTCGGATTAAAGTGAGATATGAGATCTGCCGGCGAGAACGATGTATCGTAAGGTTTTCATGTACTACATGAGCATTCGGCATTTCTCGTTTTAGTAACCCCCAATCGTCCAACTCCTGGTATCGGTCGTATTACCAAGGTGGCTTGTTTATGGTGTTTCATTGAAGTGATACATACCTGCTTGTCTACAACAATCTGATGGCCCCGCCCGAGGTCTGGTCAACACAATGAAATAACAGCGGCTCTGAAAGCAGGGAGTTCGATTCGACTTTGAGTTTATGGTTAGCATATAACATATATACCTGGCATTTCGTAAGTAATTGGATGCAACGTGAAGTAGTGTCAGTAGATCGGGACCGTTGCTCACCTATATTGCCCAGAGATAGGCGAATATGCCTGGCTAGATTAACGAGATTTGGCATCTCAACCTCTCTCCAATGTTTGCTTAGACTGAACCCAGTTCGTCTTTCGCGGTCCATACCAGACCGGTGTAGGTATGGGTGATTCATCATTCTCACTGACCACCCGACCGAGTAGGAGCCTCAGCCAGCCCTGCGCATCCAGAGAACACTAGCCTGGAGGAAAAAAACATATCTCCTCCGGCAGAACATTCCCCCACCTACACGCTCTCTCACCTGACGTTCCCAACCGTTCGACGTCGTGACCAGACATACCTCCTGATGTAAGCTGAGCCTTGCGGCATTAGCTGGTGCAAGATGGAAGACCGGAGACTCCAGAAGATGGAAAAGATAGCACACAGAACAGGAAACGCCATCGAGCTACTGCAGGTGCAACGGTGTTAGGGATAGTATAAGGGTCCAGGTCCCTTCAAGGAGGGATTCCCAATCTCATAATCTCATGAAAGGGGTCACACCAGTGACTCGCACCACACATAACGCCTATCAGAAAGGAATAAGAAGAGAATCGAGAACTTGTGTGGCGGTAGCAGTCAGTATCTCATCACTGTGTACATCCGCCATTGACGATAGCATTTGTGGTGTGATGATGGGATAGGTTCTAATAAACTTGGTTCTCGCCGCTGTGAATCAAGTCACAACCTGGCTTTTAACTTGGTATCAAACTTATCAACTCGATAGTCATAGCAAAGATTCCACTGCAATAACAGTAGCAGCTAACAACAAGTTATCCCCATGGTAATCTCCAGATGAATTGAGGAGAAGAAAAGAAATCCGGCATCTAACAAGATTACCTGGTACACAATGGTGATCTAGATTGCCTTTTCTTCGGCTGTAAACATTCAGACTGGTTCACAATCGTTCCACGGCATGGTAGAGCAAGGCTCAACAACCAACGTGGAGAAAAGTTCCGACTGCTGCTGGGCATAGTTTTGTGTACGCCGAGTATCAGTGGCAATTCGCAGTAGGTGAACTTGAGGGCACTACCTCGTTTCTGAAACGGTTGATGTGATATGCCCTTCTCGCACTCGGGGCCAGTATGCCAATGAAGAGGGGAGCAGTCAACGATAGCAGGGAGTTCAAGGACTAGCTTAGTTTCCTTTTCCTGTTTTGATAATATCGTCCGCCTGAAAGGGTGTGTATCTGTGAGGGGGCCTCCAGAGCTGGCGTACGATAGTTGAGCGATGAATGTTACCCACCTACATCGCACACCACACACTTGTGCACAGTTTCGGGGCTATGTTCGATAACGGCTACTGCTGTCATTTCCTCTAGACAGACGGCAAATATGCGCCCACGGGTGATCGCAGCTTTTTGGTGGCTCAAATGTTGATCCGGCTGGTGAGAGATAGAGGAAAGAAGGAGGAGTCAAGGTAGCATAGAACATGCACGCCATCCCCCCATCCATTGGAGACATGCCTTTCCGCGCACACACACGCACAACTCCGTATACCTACACACTTGTGACTTCCAAACATGAACCCAGTGGGTGTCCACGGAGGTGCTGATGATCACTGCGGTCCCGTATGCGACGGGACAAAGCGACAGGCTCGGGAGAGAGCGGCATACACGGACCCGGCTATGCTGCATGATAATCGTCTGTATGTCTCACAGAGTGAAACCGTGAGGTGATGGCAGTCTGCCTTGGCGTCCGCGTGGAAATGCTGAAGAGTGTTGATACACAGGAGGAATGTGTAGGGGGAAAAAAGAGAGTGTCATTATCCGCTCATTATTGTCTCTCCTTGAGATCGGCGGCAAACTGCAGCTCCTCTTCTGTGTCTCTGAGGCACCAGCCCGACCGGATCGAGGTCAACACCCGTGTGCCAGTGTACCCGCAGCCAGCCCGGCGTTGAGACCCATACACCCAGCCAGTGAGAAATGCCCAAGACAGCAAAGGGCACCGAACGGCTGGAAGGGCAAGAGGCACAGGAGAGTAACCTCCCGGTTGTGAATGGTGGTGATAGTGCGGGGCTAGCCAATTTGTAGCAACAAGTCGGTAGCCTTGGGCGGGTGGGTGTGAACGAAACAAGAGTCTCGCCTAATGGCTTGATAGAAAGCTGCTATCGAATAGGGGATTTCTCTAGTGACGGGTAGGTGCTCTACTGGAGGAGCAACGCAAGCCCTTTTGGGAAAGCCGTGCATGCAGTAGTGGTATGCCTCACGGGCAGAACTTAGGACAAGCTAATCACTGTTGAAGTTAGCTTCGTGAAGAGAGAAAACGGCCAAGAAGGAGAAACTTGGCATTTGCTGCGCAGGTGTTCACCTAGAGAACATCACCACCACCCTTCGATGCAACCCTGCCGCGCGTGCTTATCACGCTAGCTCCATCGACGTCCACATGCCCATGCTAGCTGGTGATAGACAGCCATGAAAGTAACGACGACGACGACGGGTTTGGTGATGACTATCGAGGAATGGTGGCTTGATAGGGGTCACCAAGTAGAAAACCTAAGATGGAGTGAGCATGGAAAGTCGATATAGGGGGATTTTGGCTTCCGAGATAACCGCTACCTACCAGAGATGGGACTACCAGAGATGGCATGTTGTGAAATTGAATACGACGGGACCACCCTCCATTCACAATCCTCTATCCCATCTCATATCGGAACTGTTTTTAATGCACAAAAGAAAAGGTTTCCCATGACCCATCATCATCACACGCTACGGTAGGAGTGGGCTTGCAACAGTTGACAGTGATACTGTGTACAAGATCAACATTTCAACGGCCAGATTGTAACGCTCGAGCAAGGAGAAGCGAGAAAAAAAGCAAGTGAGACGTTGTGACGAGGAAGGGAGGCGACAGAAAATAGCTGAGACGTGGCTTGCGAGGGAATGTTTCTAGACTGGGACGACCAGAAGGAAAGCTCGTTCTCGTATGGCTCGCTCGCCTGCCCATCTTGCTCCTACGTACTCGTCAGAGTGCCTCAGCAGGAGTGACACAGCGTCAAGCGAACATCATATCGCCACGGACTTACTCTGCCTACTGGTCTTGCTTTTTTGTCTTATAGGCTCGACCAGACAAGTTGGGTAAGCCGGCAGCTGTCGTGGACATCGCATGTTTCGGAAGATGAAGGCTGAGAATGGACGAAAATGGAAGCATTGCAGGAGAATGGGAAGATGAAAAAGATTTCGCATTCGCTTCCATCATTTGTCTGACGCCTTCCTCTCCCTTGCTTGTCGATATGCTCGACCGTTGAGAGGAGGTGGGTCTCAGATGAGGTGCTTGGGGGGAAAGAGCCCTGGAGAGTTGGAAAGTGCCCCCAAAAAAGCACCGTGAAAGGCAACCACGCTGCCACGGGCCTTCCCGCTCAGCGTGTGAAACCCCACCTCGTGCTTGCTGATTGGCTGGGTTGGAGGGACCTGCTCGCTTTCGGTCACTTCTCATTCTTCTTCTTTCCTTTTTCTCCTTGCTCATACCATGCGAGCCATGCACATCACGACACTCAACACGAGTCGCCCTTACTTTTTCTCGTGCCTTGACCCAGAACCAGAGACAACCACAATTCCAAGCCGTTGACGGTTCTCCGATAATAGATGCATAGCGCTGCCGACGAACCGACTTCCCCAGCACGCCAAGCATCATGGCGAGATAGCATCATGACCTTTGGGCACTGATAGCCAGCGAGCTAGCTTCCATGGGAAACCCCTCCGCCTTTGATTTTGCTATCAATCTTTCCACGCCTTTCATTCCCGTGAAAAGGGTCTATTGATGAGTGGACCCGAGACCTGTCCGCACAGACATGGACATGGCCTTGACGCTTTTCTTATTTCACGCGATACTGGCGGTAGATGATGACCAACACTGGCTAACCATGTGCCCTCTAGTTCTTACACGCTAGAGGTGAGATTAGGTTCAAATGGTTACCAGAAATCACAATTAGGTTCAAACCGATAGCCACCCCGTCCAAGTTTGCTCGTCCGCTCCGCGCGGGAAGGGAAAACCCAAGCCCAAGGTTGCGGGTGCTGGACCACCCGCTCGCTCATCATCAGCCATCACATTCCAGGCAGTCGTTTTGCTCCCATCAGTCATCAAACATGACCCATCAGTGTGATCACCTCCTCGCCAAGTGGTTACCAACCAAGGACATTCACTTCCGAGCAAGCTTGTTAGGTCGACACTAGCACCAACATCCGTCCCAGTGTCCATTGACATGCCCATTTTCTCGGACTTGAGCCATCGGAGAGCCACTCTGCTGGGAGCTGGAGTGGATTGCTTGCTTTCGTGGCTTGCTTTTGCTCCTTCGTGAGCAAGCGGAAGCAGAGAATAAGAAAAAGAAGCTATCCCAAACTTCGGAATCGCAACGGCCGAAATGAGCTGGCGAGAGGTAAACTTGAACGGGATGGCTTGAACAAGCAGTTGGTAGCGAATCGGCCTGGCATATTTGTCATCTGGTGGTGGTTTCCACTCCTCCGGATAGCCAGCTGAGTTTGTACCAACACAGTGGTGCCCTCTGGGTGGCCGAGTACACAGTGATGGTGATGTCGTTGTGAATAGTCTCACGTTAGCGCCTTCTACGCCCAGGGTGTGCGTGAGTCAAGTGCTTGGTAACTGGGCAATCGGTCGGCCGCCGGATCACAAGGCTTCCACGCCTCTGGGTCAACTAGTCTACGGAGAAAAACACTGAAGGAGGCACTGTTCCCGCATGTTTGGGCAGTATCTACCGTGTCTGAGAAGGTTTGTTTGCTTACCCTCATCTCCTGATACACACACGGTAGGCATAGCAAGATGTGTCCAGCAGATCTATAATATTCTCCTTTTCATTCTTTGCTTCGCTTTTGTGATCACGCCTCTGGTAATGCTGAGCAAGACCGACGGTCCGGCGCTGCTCGCTGTGACCTCTCTTGCCGCTCACGGTCAGCCGCTCCGCTCACCGGTCACCTGGCGGCCGGTTTCAAGATACTCGAGAGTGTTTTGAACAGTTCCGGCGAAAAATCCTGCTAACACAGTAGCGTAGGCATTTCCGTCAGAAATCAAGTTTACACAGTCAGTCATGCTAGCATCGAGAAAGGCAAGGCACCCAGGGTGAACTATAGTCCTGTATCTGCGTAACCTTATCTTGAGAAGAGCACATGGCACCCTTGATTCCAAGGGTCCAAGTCCTAACGTTCCTAGCGTGGAACCTCTCTTTCACTCATGTCTGGTTTCCTATTTTCTCTTATGATTTTCATACCATTACTCCCGTGTGATTCCATTTCTCAAATCTCTAAACGGGTTTAAGCGGAGCCGTGTGCCGGCTCTTCAGGTCAGGCGAACAAACCTACCAAGAATTTTAGCCGACTCTCATCACGAAAGATAGACTAGTAGACTAAAGGTAACTTGACGAAGGAAGCTATCTTCGCCCGATATCTCGGTACCGGACCGAGAGCAACACTGCCCATCCAATCGACTTAGCACTCGTTCGCTAAAGCATTCGCTTGTCCTTCATCCTTACTCGTCGTGTTCGGTTATCCTACCGAACCAGCAAAAGAGGACGATCAAAAAGATAGATGGTCCTACCTACAATCTTGATCTTCTCAGAGAGGTGTGAAATATGAAGAAGGCTCCAGTTTCAAACTTCCATTCAGTTACCTGCCTTGCCCTACAAGCTACGGCGGCCTACCAGCCTGCCACACTGTCTGTGCTTGCCCATTCATTGCTTGGATTTGCTGCTAACCCACTGCCACTGCCACCCACACCAATATCTTATCCGCAGCAGTACTGCAGCGTCGTCATTCATTGTTTGCTTCGTACACAGTGAAGGATTCCCGATACAGTACACTACATAAACGAAACCCTGGAAGCGGAGGGGTTACATCCGAGAAGAGGACGGGAGGGGGTGAGGATATTTTCCTTCCTTTCCCATCAAGGTCCTCTCTCTCACACAGTCTCCCTCTACCCACACACCCCCCTCCCTTTCCCTTCCACTTCCTATTTACACTTGACCTCTTCCAGAAGCCCAAAAAGTCCATGACAGCTGGAAGCCAGCTGGTAGGCTTGCCGTGGCCGCTCAAACAATAAGCAACCTCGAAGAACAGAAGCAAAACAGTTAACCGAACTGACCACTCACCAGTCACCGTTCACATCAACCACCGAACGAGCCGGCGACTACATATTGTGTACACTGTAGTGTACTGTATCGATGGGAAACTGCTCGCATCAGAATCGCATCGCATTCCAATTCCATTCACTCAATCACCCATGCTGCACTTTTTACGCTACTGCTGCGTGAATGCGGGGTGTTTGAAGCGGATCGGTAACTGGCCTCATGGCAAATCTCCGGTAGGTATACGGGTGCGGTGCTATGCTGTGCTTTCAAGCGCTGAGTTGTGTTAAAGTCCGGAGGAGGCCCTTCTGGTGATGGCGGATGGCCTCAATCATGATACTAGCTTCATATGGCCTCCTTGGGTTTTGGCCTCTTTGAGGGATGGTGCTGCGGGGGAGGCCATTGCTCTGCAGTACCAAAATGGCGGAGTAGCAGGATATCGAGAAGAGAGTAGCATCTTCCCCTGTCTTCTGACGTTCTTCAGGTCTTTTTCCCCAGACGGGACTGCACGATGGGACGATGGAGTTGCTGGTGGTTCCGCCAGGCGGAGTAAACAAGGGCAAAACACCTTGTCACCGCCAGTATAACTATCCACTTCCTCGTGCGATTTTCTCCTGATCTGAGGTTCCATTCCGCCTTTTCGTGACCAAGAAGAGATCTTCCAGTTTCTTTCTTTCGTCGTTGTTCCGCCTTTTTGCTATGGGGAAATGATGGTTCGGATTGTTTGCCGAAACGTACATGGTAGAAACGCATTGGGAAAGGAGGAGGAAAGCTGCATACCTACCTTGCAAAACCGACCTCACAGAAGGGAGATTCACTGTGTGATACATTTACCACTTCCGGCCCATGGAGCAGAGAGCAAATACAAGAAAAGAAAAAAGAAAGGGGCAAACCCTCCGGGCGTTACGGAGTTCGGAAGCAATTCAACTTTCTCGATATGGGAAATGGTGGGGATTAGGGGATCAGGAGGACCTTTTAGTCAAGGGTTTCGAGATCGAGGTTTTCCATCTTCCATCACGGTTCCAAGGTGACTGAGTGTGAGGGTCATCTCAGGGTCATTACTTTTTCTTTTGGGTCTTGGGACAGAAGCAACAACCCAGGCGGGGGAGGGAGGGGAAGGGGGTGTTCGTCGAATGGTCGGTTCGTTCCTGGCAGCTGGCCCTCACGGCAACAGCCCTGGCCCTGGCAGCTTGCTCGCATCGGCTCCACATGTTAACTCTAACAATTTTAAAATGCGGAGGTGGAGCACAGTGACAATGACAGTGGGCTCCTTCCCTCGTGAACTGCAGTGAAGTTGGCAGCAAGGAAACACTGCTCTAACACTGTCAACCGCTGACTATTCTTCGAGGAGGTAGATTTGTCTTGAGAACCTCAAGGCAACGAGTTGTACCACCCTCTCTGGGCTGAGCTCTCCTGATCATCACCACCACATTGCACAGTTCAAGCCAAGTTGTGGAGCGGGAACGAATGCGACTGGATGCCCGATGATGAAGATCACGCTTTGCAGTTGGGTGATGGGCACGGGGATGAGCATGGGGGAGGAGGAAGCCTTGCAGGGACAAGGCTAGTAGCTAGGAGGAGGCCGATTGTCGTCGGCTTTCCTCCGTGCTAGGGAGTGGCTTTCTTTCTGGAACCTGTCCGCTTGGGCAGCAGCCCTCTGGGAGCATCAGCAAAAACTTGGAAGTTAGGGTCACTTTAGGGTCGATCTGGGGAAGATGCAGGGGAATGAAAGGGTCGTTGTGATCCCCTGATATCGACCTAACGAAGGCATTTTACTGTGTACACACAGAAACCTCCTCCTAACGTCGGGCTGTGAGTCCAAACACTCCACTATAGATCAACATCACCACAGCGCCTGATCCGCGCAACCAACGCTAACAGCAAGTGTGGATGGTAGAAGTGTACACACGAGAACGCAGTACTCGATGTCTCAGACTACGTCGCTCATCTTGATAAGCCCAAGGACATGATCAACCCAAAACCGGACTTTCAGATCTTGGAAAAAGATGGCAATCTCAGGAAATGGAGATTTGGCAGGTTGATCAGGCTACCGAGATATGGCGGGGACTCGACTCACTCGGAGACGGATAACGTCGGGTCCCTGTGAATCATGTCTGCTCGTCACCCTGATGTTGCAATATCTTGGCTTTCTTTCCAGTCATCTGTATCACATCGTTAGGAGCCGCAATCCAAGATCTCGGTCCTTGCAAACCTTGCAATTTCCTCGCGCAGGCACGACAAGTTTCAGCCATATGGCGTCTTTTTGGCGCCATATTTCACAGCTACAGTGGTTGACAGCTCAGCAATCTCACTGGAGTCACTGGAGTCTCACGGTATCAAGCGACCCCAGACAGATGCCATTCCTCTGGTAAACATGCCCTGGCAGTCAGACTCTGGGGCACTCTGACTCCGACATCCGCGTCACACATCAACCAAACTCCATCACGGCATTCACTTCCTGTGCAGTAGTGCAGTTTTACTATCAACTGTGTACCTACCTGACACGAAGACGAAGGCGACGTTGGGTACATTGCCCTGCTGCCCCGGTCTGTGAGTTGAAAATTCCACTTCCACACTGGCGGTAACCAAACAAACGATGTGCGGTAAAGCCTTACTGCGTAAAAAGAATCCACTTTGTCAGGTCAACTCATGCAACTAGCGACCTGAGCGGTACCTGAAATCCACATCAAAAGGGCGGTGATATGCAGGT